AAATCATCCATTAGAGCAGTGATTGATTTTGGATCAATTTTTTATGGACAGGCCTCACACTCTTTCTTGAAAAAAATTGACATTCTGCGTAATGCTTGCCTAAGACGCATCCATGGTGGGTTGCCAAGTACTCCGATCGTGGCTCTGTCGGATGAATCTTGTGAGCCCCCATTGGAAATAAGACGATTAAAATTGGCACTGAATTTCCTCACTAAACTACTCAGTCAGGAGAGCCCGGTTTTTAACAATATAACTACTCTCACAGAAAATGTTCAAGCCTGCAAGTATAGGAATAAAAAAAAGACCCCCCACATTAGTTTCGGCCTTTCTACATTCAATCCCATACATATACTCACTACATAAAAGCTTTGCTGACCCTTTATACCAGCTAGATTATAGGACTTTGACAAATAACATTGACACAGTGTTTTTAAAATACTACTCGAAGTCTGCTCAACACTTAGTACAGAAGGAATTTATAGCAGACATGGCTGAAAACTATCCAGACCACCGGCAAATTTTTACGGATGGATCACTCTTGGATGGCAGGGCAGGTTGCGCTATTTTCGATTACAAAAGTGAACATAAAGAACAGTATGCTCTACCAAACTCAATCACTGTCTACACTGCGGAATTAACCACCATAGCTAAAGCACTTGAATACATAAAAAAAAAGAATGAAACTAAATTCTGCATATTAACGGACTGTCGAAGCGCTGTAGATAGTATAAGTAATGTAACCCCATGCTGCAAAGTTAATAATTATATCATCGCAGATGTTTACCGAAAGATCTTTGAGCTAAAAAAAAGATGGAAAAACTGTGATAATATGCTGGATTAAAGGTTATTTTTCATAAAGAAACAGTGGATGCGTTGGCGAAGGAGGCCACTGTATATGGTGTACCCCATCAGTTGAAAATTCCTAAAACAGACAGAAAATTTTTTTTTCAACAAATTGTGTTCCAATCTATGGGATCAAGAATACAGCTCAGCAACAGGTGGCGATTACTATCGAGCTTTATTCCCAAAGCTTAAAGCAAAGCTGTGGTTTTCGGAAGGAGGCAGGCAAAAGGAATTCTACTCTACTATTTTCAGAATCAAAACTAACCATGGCCTGTGGGGGAGTTATAGGCATAGAATTGGAATAAGCACTTCCCCTAACTGTCCAACATGCGACAGTCCATCAAATCCCAGTCATCTAATACTAGAATGCCCAGAGTACAATAACCAGAGGAAACAATTATTGGATGATCTGTATACGGACCCCAGTATAATGGGCCCAATAAATCTTGAAACGCTGTTGGCAATTTAATTATATTGATTTAATTTATAAATTTCTTAAATCAATCAACATTTCCTTTTAACGTCCGAGAGAAGGATAAAAAAAATTAAATAAATGTATAAACATTATATGGCAATATTTCCAAAGGAAAAAGGAAAAAAAAACAACGAATAAATAATACACTTTTAAAGTTGACAAAATGCTTTATAGGAAAGCTTGAGTAAATATTTATTACATAGTTGAATTTAAATGTTACGAGAAGATTTAACTTGATCGTCCTTGGTCATCCTGGTCTTCATTGGTTGGACTGTGTGTTTATTTGGAAAAAATTTTATGAGGATAAACCCCCCTCCACCTGTAAGACCTGTTTAAAATTGTTAAAATAGGAAGATTTGGAAGTAAATATAGTTATCATTATTTAATTTACATAAACAATTTAAAGGTGTGAGGTAATGTGACTTGATCGTCCCTGATCATCCTGGTCTGCCATTGGTTGGTCTGTGTTTATTCGGAAAATTAGCAGACCTGGATAATTGTTCCAGACGAAACTACAAATAATTCTTGGGAGTAAACATAGTTATGATTGTTGAATTAACACAAACAATTTGAAGGTTGTGATGTGATAAGAATAGAAAACATGATTATACCAACTAGCGTTATTTTTATCCTTATAAGACTGATTAAAGTCATTTGCAGCATATAGTGTAACACATTTGACGACTTCGGACCTCCAGGTGATAAGAATAGACAAACAAGGATAATCAAAAAACCACAAATTACAAATAAATAATACTCAAGACACATAGGAAATTGGCAAATCACTTTATAACAAAACTTAAGCTTTATCTTTCTAATATATCATATTTCATTTACTAATTTGATTATTGTTAAATATGTCTTGATTAGTTCAGCTTATGTTTGTTAGCCAAGCATTATTTTTATACAACCACTGACGATGATGAAATTTTGCAACATTTTTGACAGACAAAACCAGTGAGAATAAGCAGACCTGGATGATAAGCAACAAACTACAAATAAATAAAATCGCATGACATCCTTAAAATTGTCAAAATATTTTATGTCAAGACTTAACAGTAATTATAATCCCAATATATCAGTGTTGAATTTTTGACAACTATTCAGTTATTAGTGGTATGGCATATTTGTTATTTGTCAGTTCTTTCTTTTTATACGACCACGAAGATGGCAAAATGTCGAAACGCATCTGACAGATGAGACTAGTGAGAATGGGGAGACCAGGGATAATAGTAGACTTCGAACTTCGAATAAATACACATGGCCTCTTGATCTTGCCAGAACACACTATATCAAGGCTTCAAAGTACTTAACCAATCCTTGAATTTTATTTAACCATGATATAAAACCTAGTGAGCTATTATGTGTAAAATGTTGAAATACGACTGACAGAAAATTTTATTGAATTTACATCAAGTGATTTTAACTTTTAAAGTTCCGTGGTTTTGCAAGGTGGTTTACCTTTATTTATATTTTCTATTGAGAATAGAAAGGCCAGGATAATCAGAAAACAAATAACTCACAAGGCCCTTTTAAATTTGGAAAAATAATTTATTAAGAAGGCTTGAAAGATAATTAACTCGTATCGTTACCACAAGAGAATTTACATCAACAATTTAAATGTTTTTAAGTCACATGTAATGTAAAAGTTTTTAAGGTTATCTCCTAAGTCATCCTGGTATTGAATGGGCCTTGAGCATTTTTTTGAAAAATTGAACAAAACAGAATAATCATATCACACCAAACTACAAAGTAAATAATTTTAGAGGTTGGCAAAATACATTATAGGAAAGCTTAAGAGTAAATTATTACAGTTTAATTTAAACATTGAGAAGTGAATGTACCAGATAACCAGAAAAGTTAGGGCGGTTTGTGATTTGTTATTGTTTCAATGCCGTTAATCAATGTTTATTATAAGGACAATTACATGTTTACATCATGTGATACTAAGATATTGTGTCATTTCATAAAGAAAGTGACTTGAACAGTTCACTGCAAATGATGAAATTATTTCTTTCTTATGGCTTCAAAACCCACAATTCGTGCATGCTTATTGTATGAATTTAAATCGGTACTAGGGTGGCTGAGGAGATTCTTAAAATTTGCACTGCATTCCATGATGAAACAATAAATGAACCCACTGCCCAAAAATGATTTAAAAATGTCGCTTGTGGGAATGAGGAGACAATTGTTAAACCCTTTAAAACCGCAACAAACTTTTTTGGTTTCCTGGTAACTTAATTGTTGTAGGTCATCGTGGTCTTGAGTGGTTTGTTTGCATGTTGAAAATTAGAAAATTGGCAGACCAGAATAATTGTAACCATACCAAAGAACAAATAAATAATATACAATACCTGTTTAATGTTGTCAAAATACATTATTTGTAGGCTTAGGATATAGTTATTGTTGATTTTACCTAAACGATTTAAAGGTTGTGATGGCTGAGGTAATATTGGGCATGGTAGTTCTTGGTCATCCCAGTATTCATTGGTCGGTCTGTGTGTTATTTTGGAAAATTGGCACACGAAAAGAATCTCTCGAAATTGCAAAACACTTTGTAACAAAAGTTCAGAGTGATATTAATCTCAATACTGTTTTGATTGTTGTGAAGCATCAGGTCTTCAGTCATGCCAATTCCAGTGAGATAGCAGATGATCGGAGACGAGTTTTGCCTGATGGATATGTCAAATTACTTCCGCAATCATTCAAATTTAAAATGAGATTGACATTTTTGTCTCAACATTCAAAACTGATTAACAAAAGCACATGAAATAAAATAAACACTAGAGTGCTGAAGCTGTAATGGCAAAATGGTGGTAAAATCAAAAGAAAACAAATATCAGTTATGCCTCTCCTGGAACCATTAAAAATAAAAATGTTCGCAACTAGTTTGGTTAGACTAACTTTTATTTAGAAAAAAATAGCTTTCTGACCTGAACTTGGGCTTTATATTTCTTGTAGAAACCTAGCTGGTTTCTCTCTACCTCTCTCAATTTTACACTTAATGACGATCAGTGCGTGGCCTAATAGCCATTTTTCAAAGAACATCTGAAAGAAGAGTTAATACTATAATCCAAATTGTGGATATTTATATTGCTTGATGGTGGAAATGAAAAACTTAATCTTTTTATTACTTATTATTAATATTTTATCATTTTATTTTTGTTGGAAGTGTAGGCCACTGTATTAATATTTGTCATGTTGATGTACTAGAGGTACCACTCTGATTTTGAATGAATAAAACTTTCTACTTCAGTTTTTCCCATAAGGAAGGATGAAGGACATGTTTTTCTGCTTCTAATTTCCCTGTAGTTGGGTATGACCACAGAGCTTAAAATGGATAACTCTTAAACAACAATAACTCTTAACTCATTAACAAGAAAAAAAATTTTATGACAAGCTTCACCTCTTTAATTACCATTTTCATGTTCACTAATTTCTATAAGCAATGAGTCAGACTTAACTGAAGCAAACCCTAGTTCATTGACCGAGTTTATGAGCACTTTTTAATTGCACCAATAGAGTCTCATAGAGCTAGATGAACGCTCTTAGTCAGGGCAAAGTTAAAACTAAGTTTAGTTCTTTTATTTGCTTTATATTTTGTAAACATGACTAATGTTAAATTCAAGTAATTCTCTTACTAAAGAATATAATTATGAAATTACTTAATAAAATATTTCAGATTGGATCGTTTGTTTACGCTGCTGGATACAGGGTCGTCGAATGTGAGAAGAAGGGCTGCTGCCTCTCAACTGGGCGAGGTGCAGAGCCTCCACCCCCATGAACTGCACAACCTACTTAAAAGCATTTTAACTTATCTGAAGTCGCCGTCATGGGATACGAGGATAGCTGCTGGTTGGGCAGTCGAGGCCGTATTGAAAAAAGTGCCCGAGTGGTGTCCAATAGGAATGATGGACGAAGGTATGTGTGATTTTATTCAAAGAATGTTTTGTTTTATAATTTTCATCGAAAGTTGCTTTAAAAAATTTCTTAGAGTCAAACGAAGCTGTCAACATCAACTCAGGACGTTTAAGCTGTGATACATTCAATTTAGACAAAGTTATTGCTGAAAGTGCATATTTAATGGGATCTGAAGGGAAGGAGTACGAAGTTGTTGAAGATGCTGGTATGTAATTTGGTAAAATTAAAAAAAAAAAGTTTTTTCTTCCTTCTCTCCCCATCACTTCTAAATAATTTATTTTATTAACATTTAAAATTTGAATATAGGAGACTGTCAGGAAAATTTGGCAAGACAAAAAGAAATGATGAATAAACAGTTAGGTTTAGATAGATCAGCACAATTTGGATTAGACACAAGCACCTTATTTACTGATGAAGATTTGAAGATTGAATTCAACACCAAATCAAAACAAAAAAGCAAGGTGTAACAATAATTTTCATTCTAACTCTAGATTTTTTTTTCTTTTGTGCTAAACATTTGATGTTCTGCTTTAAGTTAAATGTGGGTGAAGTGGTAGGAATGAGCTGTCGGGAAGCAAATAGGGCTAAAAGGAAAGCGAGGCAGGCAGTTTTGAAGCAGAAGACTCAGAAAAGCACAAGTCAGGACAAGGAGAAGGATGAGGACGGGGAACCGCAGACTAAAAAAATAAAGACAGAGTCTACGACTCCCCTCGAAGAGAACACTTTTTGCCTTCCCGTCCCAGATAATATCTACAGTTGGCCGGCAGATGTATGTTCAATGTCAATTTAATTTTTAATTTTTTTCATTTGTTCTATTCTTCCAGGTGAATGACTGGCCATTGGATTGGTTTTGTGACCAACTTACATTGTCTCTATTCAGCCCGACTTGGGAGGAGAGGCACGGTGCAGGTACTGCTCTAAAACACTTGATGAAGACACAGGGAATGTGTGGAGGGAAAACTGCAGACATACCTCAGTCACAGGTAATTTTACCACTATTCTTGGTTAAGAATCGTGATAATGTAAGTAGGATCTGTGTTTATCGCTAAGCAATAAGAAAACATTTAAGTACTTAACTCCTTTTTGTGTGGAGAAGATAAGGTAAAAAATACAATAAACCAGAGAAATTGTATTCATAAACATTTATTACACTGGCAGTTTAATATTATAAACAAACAAAAAGTCAATCAGCTAAGGTAAATCAGCCACAACTGTAACTCTAAAAAATTAATTAATCTTTATGTAAGGTATTGGTTGAGATAAAAAAAAAGTCAGTGTCACGAGCGGGATTCGAACCCACACCTTCGGCTAAATTTGGACACCAACTTCCCATCTCATCAACCCACCTTTCGAATTTCCCCCCCTTTTTGCAATTTTTCAAATGTGTAATCTATTTGATTCTCGGCGACAAATGAAATGGCCACGGAGAGCTTTAGTGAAGATATACTTCATTTTTCTTATTAAATCCATTAGACAACACCCACCCGGGTGCCTGATGCGACCCCAAATTTATGTGACCGCAGCTTGATGAACTGTATTTCCGACAACCTTCTCACACTAACTCCTTGACTTTGGTTATTTAGTGGGGCTATTGTTGCTAACTTTCTGCTTTGTGTAAAACTTCTCTTTACTTCCTACTAGGTAGGTGATCAGTAAGATTTACAACCTTATTTCCAGCATATATTTGAAAATCCTTGCAACTATGTTTAACTTATATTAACAATTATTCTAAACTTATGCTAAGACGGGGACCGGCTTACAGTAAAAATTATATCTGTTTTTTTAGATGGAAGAACACCACCAGAGCTGGCTTGAAGATATTGCACTGCGCCTTATTATTGTTTTATCATTGGACAGATTTGGCGATTACATTAACGATCAAGTTGTTGCTCCTGTCAGGGAAACCTGCGCTCAAGCACTAGGTAACTTAAAAAATAAAAATAATTTGCGTAGTTTATTTTTAAAAACACGTTTTATTTTTAGGATCTGTTATTTTTCTAATGGAGAAAGACAGGATCAAGAAAATCTTGTCTGTTTTAATTAAGTTTCTAAATCAAAAAGATTGGGAAACAAGGCATGGAGGGCTTTTAGGTATAAAATACATGTTCGCCGTACGACAGGTAATAAAACTGACTTCTTACGACAAAAAATAATAATAATTCCAAGATTTAATTTTTTTTTCAGGATTTACTAGCTGACCTTCTTCCGCAGGCGTTTGACTCCCTTTATAGCGCTTTAAAAGATGCGAATGATGATGTTACTGCCGTGGCTGGGGGCGCTCTGAGCATAGCTGTTGACATCATGGCAACGTCCTATCCCGAATATGCGCTTTCCGTCCTGGAATCCCTTTGCTTAATAATTCCAGAACAAGATGACCTGACACCAGCCGCAAACACTCTTGTACCTTTACTTGCTCAACTTCTCTTGAAGCCTAACATTAACTGCTTAATCAAGTATGAAGTTTATTTTATTAAAATGTAATATGAATAATTAGTGTATTTAAATTGAATACTTTATAGAAGTGAAAATACTGTGATTGAACTAGTCCAGAGATTGTGGTCGCTTTTAGAGCATAACAATGCAGGAGTCAGGAAAGCTGCTTTGCAGGCCTTCTGCTGCCTCCCGTCGCAGCCTTCGTTCTCGTCTTGGCCCAATTTTTTACAGCCGACACTCCGCCATGTGTATCAAAGGGCCTTGATCGAACACCAGACTAACGTTCACAACACAGTCGAGTCGGTTTGGTCGGTAATCCTTGAAAAAAGCCAGTTGTCTGATATACTGATAGCAGCTTGTCCTTTCATCTCGATCTGGTTGTGCTTAGCCATGCAGTCAACGAAGATTCCTTTCGATCAGAATTTACTCATCCAGGCCAAGTCGTTAATGAAGGTATTTCGGTTCTGTGCAATGTTAAAAATTTCACCTAGCAAAGTCTTTTTTCAGGAACACACTGCCAAGCACTTAAAAAGTATAACAGGCGTTGACTGCACTTCTAGAACAAATCTAAAACAATACATCGGAGGGACTGAATCTCTGCCGCAATCTGTGAGGGAAGAAAACAGCACTCATACTCGATACGTTGCTGCTAAAATGTTAGGTAAATATTAAAATTTAAAATTTTGTTGGGTTTTTTATTTACAATTTTTCTTTGCTCAATAGGTAAACTGTCGACATATATCGTTCAGCCTGCACCGGGCATCGATTACATGGACAATGTTGAATCTCCAATAGACTGTTATATTAAAGTCCTACTCGTTCACTTGGAAAGCAAATCCTCGCTTCAGAGATTTGTCGCAGGTTTAGTGATCACAGAATGGGCCAAATGTAATCCTCCTAGTCCTCCGCCCAAAAAATTAGTCGAAAAGTAAGAAATCTTGGCACAAGTTAAAGATAGAAATCTTTTTAAATGTGTTATTCTTTTTTTAGATTAATCGAGTGTTTAAATGAAACATTTTATTACGATGAAATAGGTTTGTCTTATTCTAGACTCCTCCAGGATACCAAAGATTTCTTAGCTCTATTAAAACATTACAAGTTACCCCAAGTCGATGAGTTTTTAAATATTAACGTAAAAATTTCAAACATGATAAAAAAAAGTTTATATCATTTTCATTGTTGATTTCTTCAGGTTTTACTTCTTGATAAAATGGAGGAAATTATTGGAAAGAAGGTTCAGACTTTGCTTCAAGACAGCAAACTAAAGCCAAAAGTTTTAGAAGAGCTTTTAGAAAGGCGTCAGGTCATTCATACATCAATTACAAGCATTTTGGCCCAGCAGACTTCTCTCCATGTAATGTAAGTTACAATTGTACGTCTAGTTAAAAATTAAAATTGATCATTAAATCGTGCCATCAGGACTCAGGCTTCGTTGGCGAGCGCATGTCTCTGGCTAGGCCAGCTCCCAGACAAATTGACCGTCATTGTCAAACCGCTGATGGAAAGTATAAAAAAAGAGGAGAACGAACAACTACAAATTTTGTCGGCGAAACATCTAGCAAGCCTGATGCAAAAATCTGTTTCACGGCGACCATGCCCCAATGCGAAAATCGTAGGAAACCTTTGTATCTTCATCTCAGTAGATCCGGAATTCACACCAAAAGTTTCTATGGTAGATATTATTTTATAAAAAAAAATTTTATTGTATTATTAAGTTGGTGGTACAAGTAAGTTTTAAATGATTTATAAGAGAAGGCGTTACTAGTTATTAAATTGTCTTAGGCCATAACTTGACCTTCATAAACAAAGTAACTCATAACTTTTGTGCTAACAAAGCTAGAAGCTTAACTTTTCTGCTTCTATTTGAAGAAAAAGCAGCTGGAGGTGGGGATTATGCTCCATCAGTTTCAAGTTAGGAGTTTTTAGAGGTTTAAAAATGGTAATCTGAAGGAAGGCCAGAAATGTTTGAAGATGCAAAATTAGAGGCATTATTGAACGAAGACTCGTCTCAAACGCAAAAAGAACGTTCTGAATTTTTGGGAGTGACTTAACAGGTCTTCATTCATTCAAAGCCCCAATTCATTTAGAATGGTCCAAAAGCAAGTAATTGGGTGCGATACGAATTTGATCTGGAAAGGACATTTTTTAAAATTGTAACTTGATGAAAAGTGGATTCATTATAACAATCCGAAACAAGAAATCATGGAGTAATGGCCATGCATCGCCAGCGAAGCTAAATATCTGTGGATCAAAGCTCAAAATTTCTTGGTGGGATCAGCTCGGTCTAGTTTATTACGAACTGCTAAAAACCATCAAGGGGGATCACTGCTGACTCAGGGGCTGCGGTAGCCGAGTGGTTAAGGAATCAGACTCATAGCTAGTAGATCCTGTGGTCGTAGATTTGATCCCCACCGTCACCTCTGTATTTTTTTTTCTGACACCTAAGGGGACCGGTGGCCACAATTGAAAGAAATTGACACGGCACTCATCAATGGAAGGAATGAGGCGGGATCAGATCTCAGCGACCCTCAATTTGGTCCCAAGTTCCCCACTTCAAAAATGAGTTTCTTCAATGGAAGAGCACCGACACACCAGGGCTCAAATTCACACGTGTGTTGTGAGCCCTTAAAAAAATAGAGCCAGGAATAAAGTACAATAAGCTGTAGTGCGCAGCTGCAGTGCTCAGGAGAGAACTCCAGTTACTGGTATCCATTGTTTTAAAAAAAAAAAAGTATGTCCGAGTTGAACAATGAAGGAGACACGACCAGAATATTAGCAGAAGGACAACACTTCTCGACCATGTGTTGCAATGCCCGTCAGAAATGATATATTCTACCCCGTCTTCCATGTTCCCCAAACATAGCTCCTTCCAACTACCACTTGTTTTGATCAATGGCTTGTCTGAGAGCACCTTTATTTTTACGAGTACTGAAAAAAATGGGTTGATTCTTTCCTTGAAATACCAATAGATCTTTCAACGTGAAATTCGTTTGTTAACAGCATATGTGGGAAGTTAAGGTCTGACAAACAGCTGAGGTCATCACCAGCCCTCTGTTTTACTTTTTTTTTCTGGTCTTTCACATGTAATTTTCAGCCTGCAGCCATTTAAGCATTTCGATCTAGTGCCAGATGCTTTTATATTAGAACTTGTTGATATCCTAAAATGATGATCCTCTTGATTGTACCTGAGGTTGTCAACTGCAGATTACATGTAAAACACACAATACTGAATGCTCCATTATACAGGAATCTAATTATTCTAGCCCCGGCTCTCAGTATACATATACTGTGTATATAGGTACATATTTTGCAACAAGTCACTTCATATTCGAAGAACACTGTCTTTTATTTTATTTCTATGAAACTCCCATCAGTCTGAGAAATTCATTAAGGCTGTCGTTCTAGAACGACGCACTAAACCCTACTACATTTACGATTTCTTTCCAGAACGACACATCTCTTCTACAAAACCCTCACTTTCAAAGCTTATATTTTTGGAATCAAATTGGTGTCACAGGGCTTTAGTGCTTTGTCAACATTCTGTGAAGATCATTTTTCGATTTGACCTTTTGGAAATTGTTTACAATTTTTTGAAGGAAAGAAAGTGAATCAAATGTTTTCTGTTAGATAAGTAATATATGAACACGTGTCTTCTTAATTCACCTTTTAATTAATTTTTTAAAAAAATCCATTATCCGAGGTTTCTGATTTACTGTGGACTCCCCTCCCTGACATTACCTCGGATAATAGAGCTTTTATTGTGCTTACATGTACATCACCACAAATATAAAAGTCTGGTCACCATTCACTCCCCCAGAGTGCTCAATATTTCCTGGGGCAGGGTTAAACAATCCCATCCTCTACCAGAAAGATGGGGAAAAGTAGTGGCTAACAAATGGACAATACATGGAGTAATCAATTTGTTACCGTTTTTGCAGCCTTGCTACAATAAAGCCCAAATTTTCAAAACTTACTTGTACCCTAATACATAAAAATATATTAGTTTAATTTTTTTTCCAGTTTCCTGAAGATGACCCTCGCTACATTGAAAGCACTGAAAGAATAATCACTTTAACTAATCAGCACAAGGTAAATATATTTTTTAAATATTACACTTAAGAATAATACAAAAATTGTTCAATAAAGTTTGCAGAAAGGGCGGTGATTCTTAAAAAGAACAACTCTACCTTGGGCCGTGGGAGACCTTCACTGCATGATGTACAATTTGAAGAAATAGTTGTACAAGAAGAGCAGGTAATTTTTTTTTTTCTAAATTAATATTGATGGTTATAATGTCAATGTTTTGATTGCAGTATCTGAGACCATTCCGAATCCAGAGGCGAGGATGTAAAAAAGCCCTAGAACAAATCACAGAACAATTTGGAGAAGACTTACCTGAACAACTTCCAAACCTCTGGGAAACAATTACTCAAGTAAAAAATGTGGACATAACTTTACCACCAAGTAAGAATATTGTAGATTTATTTAAATTTGTAATTTAATCAAAATAGGAAGCTCTACATTGTAAAAAAATATATCAGTTTAAATTTAATTATTTTATTATACAAATTGTTATACATTTTGCCCAGTTATTGTTTTATTTGTTTTATTTATAGGTAAAAGCTTTGATATAAAAGATGAGACTGCTTTAGATAAGTTTATAGGTAATTTACACATCCTAGAAGTGACCTGCCCATTGGTACATCTCTCGCTAAGGCCAAAAGTACGTTGAGGCTCATTTATCCCATGACTTTATAATAATAAAAAAATAATATTTTGTTTCTAGATAATTGAACTCCTGCCTAAATTGGTCCATTTGCTTAGTCACAATTACAAAACCGTTCGTCACATGGCGGCGAGATGTATTGGGACATTCGCTCAATTCAGTCCTGTAGAGGTGATCACAGCCATAGTGGACAAAGTCCTACCAATGGTAAATTTAAACAACAAAACAGTCGTCAGGCAAGGAGCTGTTGAAATGTTTGCCGTACTCTTGGAGAAATTAGACCTCCAAATAACACCTTACATAGTTTTTCTTATTATCCCTGTTCTCGGTATTTCTTTCATTTAAATATTCATTCAAATTCTTTTTTCTTTTTTTAAATGTGTAAATTAAAGTTTTAAATATTTAGGACAAATGAGTGATTTTAACCCGTCTATACGCACTCTTGCAACACACACATTTGCAGACCTGATCCAACTCATGCCGCTTGACGGCGCGGTCAGTACGGTGAAACTCCCACCGGAGCTCGTAGAGTTGAAAGAAAAACGGAAGAGTTTCATCGAACAGTTGATGAATCCGACGAAGATAACTGATTACAAAGTACCTGTTCAACTCAATGTACAGCTTAGATCTTACCAACAGGTGAATTTGCTTTTTAATACTTTTTATTATTAAGTATAATCTTATTTATATCATTCTTTTTATCTCTCAGGCTGGGGTAAATTGGCTTGCTTTCCTCAATAAGTACAGGCTTCATGGGCTGTTATGCGATGACATGGGTCTGGGAAAAACTCTCCAGTCCATTTGTATATTAGTTGGGGACCATTATCATCGCAAGAAAAGATACCAGGTTTACATTTTTATCAATTTCTCAAAAAAAAATATATATATATATTCAATTATTTTAGGAGACTAGAAAGGAAGGAGGTGATTATTGGATCCCTTTACCGTCTCTCGTAATTTGTCCTCCTACTCTAACCGGTCATTGGGTGTATGAAATAAAGAAATTTGTTCCAAAACAATACATGCAACCGTTTTATTATGGCGGGCCTTCATTAGAGAGGAAAAAGTATGCAATGTTTCTGTATATTTGATTGATTTTTATATTAAAAAGCCATATTTTTCTAGATTAGCAAATATGATTAGAAGTGATCACATTGTCGTATCATCTTACGATGTTGTACGCAAAGATATAAGTTCTTTAAACGTCATGAGGTGGAATTATTTAATACTCGACGAGGGTCATGTCATCAAGAATGGGAAATCCAAGGTATTGTTTATATTAAAAATTAAATTATGATAACAAGATGAACCTTGACCATCTATAATCATCCTGATCATAATAATCATGATAGTTTCGTTCTGTAAAAATTATGATGAAATGAAAGAGACAAAACTCAAAAATTTGGGAGATTAGAGTGATCAAAGTTCAACATCTGGGAACCGCTGTAGCCGAGTGGTTATCAGGTCGTAGACACTATGGTCGTGGATTCAATTCTCACCGTCATCCTTGGAATTTCCTTGCATACTCCTCTTCCTCCAAAATTATGATATATACATACTACATGGAATCTAGCTAATATGTAATAGCGGGTCATTTAAAAAATAATAATAATAAAAACAGTTAACATCTAATATTTTATTTAATTGTAGTTGACAGTTGCCCTGAAGCAAATTATAGCCAATCACAGATTGATCCTCTCAGGTACACCAATCCAAAGCAATGTTCTTGAGCTCTGGTCTCTCTTTGATTTCCTGATGCCAGGCTTTTTAGGAACAGAAAAACAGTTTATAGCAAGGTACAGCAAGCCAATTTTGGCCAGTAGAGACCCAAAATGTTCGACCAAAGAGCAAGAAGCAGGTTTGTGTAAACTTCTTAAATTATAACCTATTTCTGGCTTTTATTAATTAAAGTAATTTTATTATTTAAATTTTATTCTAGGAGTCATTGCAATGGAGGCACTTCACAGGCAGGTGCTTCCGTTTGTGCTGAGAAGGACCAAAGAGGACGTCCTCAAAGACCTTCCTCCAAAGATAACCCAGGTATCTATCTTAAATCGCGAATAGAAATGCAATCAAAAGAATTTACCTTTGTAATTAAAATATTCGAATTTCAGGATTATTACTGCGATTTGAGCCCTGTCCAGCAGCAGCTGTACGATTTCTACAATACTACGACATATTCGCTGGACAAATCCGCCCATATTTTCCAAGCGTTGAGGTATCTTCAGAGAGTTTGCAACCACCCAAAATTGGCGCTGACACCAACGCACCCACAGTACGGTAACATCATGGAAACCCTTAACAACCAAAAGTCTACCCTGGCTGATATAAAACACGCGTGCAAATTCCCAGCACTTAAGTATATTGAAATGACTTAAATTGTTGTTCTTCTCTTTTTTTAACTGGCTTTTATTTACAGACAATTGTTAATCGAATGTGGCATTGGAGCACAACAGGAGCAAAATGACAATATTGTGAATCAGCACCGGGCTCTTATTTTTTGCCAACTCAAAGCCATGCTCGATATTGTTGAAAATGATTTCTTAAAGTTAGTTATTCTTTTTTTATAACAAAAAATACATAAACATTCTATAATGAATGTTTAATTCTTAGGATACATATGCCAAAAGTAACATATCTGAGGTTGGATGGATCTGTACCTGTAAATCTAAGGCATTCGTTGACCACAAGGTTCAACAATGATCCATCGATAGATTTGCTCATTTTAACAACACACGTTGGAGGGATCGGCCTTAACCTGACTGGAGCCGACACTGTAATTATTTTTCACGACAAATAAATAAAAAAAAACCACTAGATAAATTACCTGTTGTAATTTTTTCAGGTCATATTTATTGAACATGACTGGTCGCCGATGAAGGACATCCAGGCGATGGACAGAGCCCATAGAATAGGTCAGAACAAGGTCGTCAACGTTTACAGGCTCATCACAAGAGACACGATCGAAGAGAAGATAATGGGATTGCAGAAATTCAAACTGAAAACGGCCAATACCATAATTAGCTCAGAGAATGCCAGCCTTCAAACAATGTCAACTGACAAGGTAACAAGTCTGTCAAATTATATAAACTTTTTATTCTAATTCATTTTGTTTGTTTTTACAGCTCTTGGATTTATTTACAAGGAATGACGAGAATCAGTCATCCAGTAGTAAAAGCGATAACCAAAATAAACCAATATTTTCAGAACTTTGGGATAAAATGTGTTCAGATTACGATGAAGAATATGATTTGTCCAATTTCATAAGCAGTCTACAATCGTGAAATGCTGCGATGTGTAAAATAACAATAATAATAAAGTTTTGACCAATGTAATTAATTTTTCAGGAAAAAATGTTATCATGACAATGCTTTAGTTAGCAATCATTGCTCAATAATTTATATTTTCTATTATTTTCTTAAGAAATGAGATAAATAATCTTACATGTGATTATTAATTAGGCGAGAGGTATACTTTTATTGCGTCTCGTTTTCCTTAGTTTAAGATAGTGATAAACCAATTCAGCTCAGAACAGGAACATGTTTATTTTTACAAAACATTCGATTCAATAGAGTAATGGTTATTTTCTATTTAAGTTTTTCAATTGCACAGAAATATTTCCCTAGCCCTTTTTAACAATTTTCCTCAAATGGTTTATTGCATAAATTACATCACCTTATCCCTTGGATAATAAATTCCTACAAGTATTATTAAAATAATGACATTTTTTTCAAAATTTCGGCACAAAGTGTACTATTCTTTATATTTAATAAATAATATATTCAAATATTTTGCAATCTGTTTTTATTTTTAATCTGAATTTCTTTGAGACTGAATTCGATATTAAATTCATAGGATTTGCAGATAAGTTTTCAGGGTATGGCCTCTGCCCTTCAAAAGCTATTCAGCAGTTCCAAAACATGAGCTCTTGTGCCCCTGCAGATCTACGTATTACAAAAAAAAAATGGACATGAATTTTTTTCTAAATAAATCTGGTTATAAGTAAAGCCTGGATTTATATGTAATAAAAAAACCCTCAAATGTGCCTTACAATATCCACAAAAAAAAAATATTACTACTGTAATATGCATTTTTAAAAAATCCTCAAATGTGGTGTAACATGCATTAAAAAAACCTCAAATATGCCATATATGCACAAAAAACTCAAATATGTCGTACAATATGCACCAAAAAACCTCAAAAATGCCATACAATATGAACTAAAAACCTCAAATGTGATATAATATGCACTAAAAAACCCTCAAATATGCCATACAATATGCACTAAAATCCTCAAATGCGATGTAATATGCATTTAAAAAAAACCTCAAATGTGAAGTAATATGCATTTCAAAAAAACCCTCAAATGTGATGTAATATGCATTTTAAAAAAAACCTCAAATGTGATGTAATATGCACTAAAAACCCTCAAATATGCCATACAATATGCACTTAAAAAGCCTTCAAATATGCCATACAATATGCACTTAAAAAACCCTCAAATATGCAATATATGCTCAAAAAACTCAAATATGTCATACAATATGCACTAAAAAAACCTCAAAAATGCCATACAATATGAACTAAAAACCTAAATGTGATATAATATGCACTACAAAAACTCTCAAATGTGATACAATATGCACTACAAACTCAAATATGCCATATAATATTCGCCTAGAAAACCTCAAATGTATATATAATATACATATAATACGCTACCATATAATATGCTTTTTTCATCAAACTTTTAGTTCCTTAACTGACTAAAAACCTTTTATATTAAAATATAAAAAATTAGATTTATTTTCACTTTTTTCAGCCATGGGTTTGCAGTCAAGTAATTTAAATATTTATTGAGAAATTAATCAGTTTGGGGGGTATTTGTGTGATTCATAATAAAAGATATGTTCTAAATATATATAATGGATCTTGATTTAAAAGCAAACCAAAAAGAACTTCAGGCACACACTACAGGCTGGGTTTGTCCACATTCACATCCTATGGTTAAAATACTAAAGATGTTTCCGTTAAATAAGCAATCGCAATTACATTTGTTTTCATATTTTCAAATGCCTGTCCTACTGACGTTACCAACGATAATGGGGTCGTTAATGTCTTTTAACAGTATAACAAATTGATTTTTAACTCTTTTTTTAAATGCCCTTGAGGCCTGCGATTAGGTGGACATTTTATTCCTCTCCTCCTACCTCTCACTTCTCAAAAAGGCTTCCAAAAAGTAAAAAGACGAATATTATGAAATTTTAGAAAGTAAGGCTGATGTTTCCCAGGGAGGCATCCTAAGGCCAATTTTGTTTCTGTTTTATACCAGAGGCTTGTCACCAAAGCAAAACTGTACCAACATTCCCTTTCTATTTCTTACTCCATTCAGAGGAAAATTGTATTGAAGCACATATATTAAAATAAACAAGTATAAGTATTAATTAAATTGAAAAATCACAGGCAGTACATTATAAACTAAACCAAAACAAAATCATCATTTATAACAAATTCCTTAAACCAATCGGTTTCTGTGGCAAAATAACTAACATAGCTGTTACAAAATGTCCAAAACAAGAATTAAGGAACATGGTTGATGCCCCTTGGTATGTATGGAATAGAGAGTGAAAAAAAAATAAGAGTATACATGGATTTTGGGGCTTTGTAGAGGTGTGTGTTTTTTCCTGGTGAAAGCACACCCTAATACCAAGGCATTTATTTGATTATGTGCTTCTTTAATATTACATTTATGATGTTGATTAATAGTTTAAACTGTATTAGAAAACAAAGATTTTCAACACAAATGAAAAGTTTTTAATTGTTTTGTAAAATAAAAATGGCATTCGCTAATTTCAAAAAACACGGCAGGAATTTCAGTCTCAGAAATGCATACTTTGCCAGAGGCCATCGTAACCTTTGAGTCACTATGCACTGGTGGCAAAGGAAGTCTAGCCAGTTGGACGCTTTAGCACTCCATTGATTGCAGGACTGTTAGTGATGGAGAACTGATACAGGAAGTCTGCCATTCTGTCAGAATTTGCGTCAGCCTATACTTTTGAGTAATTTATTGTAAGTGATTCATCCAAGGCAGGAAACAGGAAACATTCTTTTTATTAGTGTTGGTTAATGTTGCTCCATAAGTCCTATCTTCTTGCTAGAGGAATCCTGGTGTAGGAGAGAGGCAAATCGTCACTTAGCCATACACTCTAACCCACAAAAATGAAATTATGTGACTATGCTTCCCTCTCCATGAGGAGCATCTTATTTTCTCTACAAGCAGCAATGTATAAGCATATTGAGCAGAGTTCAGGGTGATCGCATTTCAAATCTTGGTCACCTGATGCCACCCTCTCGAGGGCTTTGTCTACTGCCAACTGTTCGGCTGATTATTCAACCAAAAGCCACTCAATCTTAATTTCTGTTCAAATATATTTACACCCTGATGATGACTATGAATTCACACTTTCACATATTCATCATCCTTACTGCCATGAGTATATTTATTCCCAGGTCAATCTTGTCCAATTATTTGTTGATCACCAGGCAGGATGAATCCAGTTTTTAACACTTGTGGGTCTGTCCTGTATGTCCTAAGCCTTCCTTCCCCGTTCTGTACCTTATGAGTCGAGTCAGTTCTGTGAAAAGACAATTCGGCTTTGCACTCGCAATCACATATGCCGCATTGTGAGAGATATTTTGTTACCCTTTAATAAGCCTAAGAAGAATCAGCCTCTGCATTCTTTAAATTTTCTTTTGTTCAGGTAGAGCACTGCTGCTGTGCAGTATGCTATTCTAGTAGAACACTAGTATAGACAAAACTAATGACTTGTAGAAAATCCTAGAGGATGCTGGATTAAAAAAAAAAAAATGTATTACAAGCCGAAGTTTTTCATCGAAATAACTCCAAGATCTGACACAAGACTCTATGACAATTTGATGGGAAGAATATAGATTGTAAGTCTGGAGAATGATGGAGTGTTTGGAAATGAGATTTTGGAAGAATTTCTTGAAGAAGGGACGTATAATGAAAATGGTAAAAAATCACAAGAAATTTAAAAAATAATTATTATAGATCATTTCATGGGACTGCAGTGGCCGAGTGGTTAGGGAGTCTGACTCGTATTTGCCACACTAGCGGTTCTTGGTTTGAATCCGGACAGAGCCCTTGATAAATTGGCTAGTATATAATTACATAAACACCAATAATTTAGCAACGTCATTTCTTTATCAGGCTAAATTTGTTTTTAGTTAAAAATAGTCACAAAAAGGAAATTTCCTTTACTTCAAAAATTAGTTAAAATTCACAAATGACTTGCAGAAAATTCCATTGGGAAGAGATTTGGACTTAATGGAATATAAATTGACTCCCGTTTCAGAAGATTAGTCGAATTCTTGGAGGTCTTCAGCATGTTCATTGTGGCTCTCTTTATAGGTTTCTGGCTGTTCGCCGATGCAGCAAAATTGCGTAAATATACATTTAGATTGGAGCCTTCATTGATTATAAATTTTAAAAAAAAATTCTAATGTATTTAAATGAGTAATGGAAAATATAATGCCCCAAGAATGTTCTTCATATTCAATGAAAATAAAAAATGATGATGATTTTGTCAAAATATGAGGAACACAAGTAAAATGTAAAAAATTAGTTTGTTTACTTTCTATGAAACAAGTCTAAAACAGAAATATAATACAACTATCCAAATATAGAAAATAATAAGGAATGGAAATGAGAAAAATTTTGCATATTAAAAAAGTTGAATAATTTAAATAGTATCCTTCTTTAAACAAATTAAAAACAATGAAAATATTTAAAAATAGATCGGGATCAATTTCCATTTTTAATATATTTATTCTAGCTACCATATTTCACAAGTGTGCACGGACAGATCCACATTTCCAACATTGTCTCCAGTTAGCAATAGAAGATGCGTTTCACAAGCTAGCGGCAGGTGAATAAACGTTTAATTTTTTTTTTATTATTGTTAAATCATTTTTTTTTTTACCAGGCTATCCTAAACTTGGACTGACTCCCTTGGAACCCCTTGTCATTCCAGTATTAGATATCGGCAGAGGAAATGTACCATTAAATATAAATATGACATTTCGTAACGTTGAAATTGGTGGTATCACAACAATTAATATTACAAAACAGGCGTAATAAGTTGTTTGTCATTAAACTGTAGATATGTATTATATTTTGGGCAATTCAAGAACTGACATTGATGCTTATAAATCAGAATATCATACTTTCAACAAAAAACTCATTTTGGAAGGAGATTACGAAGTAGATGGGAAAATCTTACTAATTCCAATCAGAGGAAAAGGAAAAGCTCACATTGAATTACGTTCGTTTCTCATTGAATAGCATTTTTATTTACAACTAAGAAATTAATTATATTCTCTTTTTTTTTCTTTTTTTTCTTTTTTTTTTTTTAGAAAATGTCAAAGGGGTTTTAAAGCTTAAAGGAAATAAAAAGGCCAGAGGGAGGCACACGTATTTTGATCTTGAGAAGTTCGATTACAAATTCAGCCCATCGAACATGGTCATAAAATTCGACACGTTCAACAGTGACAAAAAGTTAAGTAGGTATTTCGATATAAAATTTCAAAACGAGACCATGCTGGAGTCTACAAAAACGGTTTTTATGTTTGCTCTAAATTTCAGACAATGTTATGAACAGAATTCTCAACAAATACTGGAGAGAAGTTCTTTGGGAAGTAAAACCTGGGTTTGAAGAATCTATTTCTGAAGTTTTCAAAAACATAGCATCCAATCTCTTCAATCGAGTTCCACTTGAAGAAATTTATCCAGAAAAAATAATTAATTAAATGTAAAACCATGCCAGTTGTCTTAAATAATTGCTAATGTTTTTAAGGTGTCATTTGTACAGGTAATTTATCCAGTGTGATAAACATTATTTTAATTGTCTTTTGTTGCCTATGGACAAAATAATTAAAGTCTATTTGTTAACTGCTGAAATTATGTATAAATACATGAACAGAGACTTGATTTGGAACAAGAACACTTCCATGAGCAGTTCTACTTTTATTTTCTGACGGGATAGATCAAAGACTTGATTCAAGACTTAAAGTTGTAATAAAATGAAATACTAAATAGGACCAATCCCAATCGTACTTTTTGGTTTCTTAATCATCTTTAATCAACTTTCTAATGTTCCGTTTTGAATTTGTGTTGGAGTGCTCAATGATCCAATTTTAATTTGACTAGACCTACTTATTCAGCATCTCATGACAGTAGCGACCATCGTTCTTAACTTCAGAGACATCATGTTTGCTGAAGAAACTCAAACCAGGTTATACATGAACATATGATAGCACAAAGAGCCTGTGATTTAAACATAAGATAACATGAAGACAGAGGAACGAAAGTACACTTCTTTTAGCACTTCTGCTTTCATTTTCTAGTTTAAGGATATGACAGAGACTTGATTTGGGACTAGAACATTTCCTTGAGCACTTCTGCTTTTATTTTCTGTCTTGGGATAGATCAACAACTTGATTCAAAACTTAATAAAGTTGCAATGAAATAAAATCCTAAGTAGGACCAATCCCAATCCTAACCTTGATTTCTTAATCATCTTTAATCAACTTTCCAATATTCTGTTTTGAATTTGTGTCGGAATGCTCAATGAACTCGTTTTAATTTGACCAGACCTACTTCTGCATCTCATACCAGTGACGATCATTGTTCTTAACTCCAGAGACATCATGTTTGCTGAAGAAACTCAAACCAAGGCTAAAGTCAAGCCATACATGCGATAGCACAAAGAGCCTGAGATCCAAACATAAGATAACATGAAGACAGATGAGCCAAAGTACACTTCTTTTAGCACTTCTGTTTTTATTTTCTGTCTTGGGATAGATCAAAGATTATTCAAAACTTAATAAAGTTTTAATAAAATAAAATCCTAAGTAGGAATAATTCCAATCCTACTTTTTGGTTTCTTAATCATGTTTCAACTTTCCAATGTTCTGTTCTGAATTTTGGGTTGGCGTACTCAATGAATTCGTTTTAATTGGACCAGACCTACTTCTGCATATAACAGACGACCATCGTTCTTAACTTCAGAAACATCGTTTGCTGAAGAAATGCAAACCAAGGCTAAAGACAAGTCACTTCACACAACAGCACAAAGAGCCTAAGATGCAAGCATAAGATAACATGAAGACAGAGGAGCCAAAGTATACTTCTGTTAGCACTAGAACATTTCCTTGAGCACTTCTGCTTTTATTTTCTGTCTTGGGATAGATCAACAACTTGATTCAAAACTTAATAAAGTTGTAATGAAATAAAATCCTAAGTAGGACCAATCCCAATCCTACTTTTTGGTTTCTTAATTATGTTTAATCAACTTTCCAATGTTCTGTTTTGAATTTGGATTAGCGTTCTCAATGAATTCGTTTTAATTTGACCAGACCTACTTCTGAATCTCATAACAGTGACGATCATTGTTCTTAACTTCAGAACCATCATGTTTGCTGAAGAAACTCAAACCAGGTCATACATGAACTTATGATAGCACAAAGAGCATGGGATCCAAACATAAAATAACATGAAGACAGAGGAGCCAAAGTATACTTCTTTTAGCACTTCTGCTTTTATTTTAAGGATATGACAGAGACTTGATTTGAGACTATATAAGTCCCAAACAAGTTCTCAAATCCTACTTTTTGTATTTAATTTGTATACATTGAGAGAGATGTGATTGTAGTTTAGGGTTGCTCTTTTTAGTTTTTGACAGATTGTTACCAAAAAAAGGGTTGAGTTGTTTATTTGGCTCTGTGTGCATTGTAAAAGATTTGTTGTTTGTACATTTAGCCGTTTAAAAACCGTTGAGACAGTTAAAAATTCAAATCTGCCTCCTGGAGAAGTGGGATCGTTCTGTCAAAAGGGGCAGCACGTTCAACGGTGATTCACAGCGCTGACTGGAGGGGCATCAGACACGTTTTTCCTTCCGACATATTGAGATTTTTTTAAGTTTTGACAATTTTTATTTATTTTTTTTGTTCAATTCGTGTCTCGTTTTTTGTGAGGGTGGTTCGTCGATGCGCTGTTGACCTTCGTCTGAGATCTGTGGAGCCGTTATCTTTCTGAAGGTGAGCACTTGTCTTCTTCTCTTATTGACTTTTTACCTATTTCTTTTTCAACCCTAGCTCTATTTTCTTTTAATTGACCAATCAGCAAAACCAGCTTTTTTGGGCGGAAATGTTAATCAATTTCACCAAATTAAAGGCTTATCTGTTAATTTTTTTATAAACAGCCAAGTTTCTAATAACCTTTTCTCACTATAAAACAACCACCAGCTTAAAAGTGAAATCATATCAAAAAAGTTTTTTTTTAATCTATCCTCACCATATTTGGGACAATCTAGATGAGAAATCCGAACAACTCGAACAATTGGTAAACTTTTTCATTTTCTTTCTTTACCTCAAATTTCAACTGGAGTTTTGTCCAATTTGACACAAGATTACCTTGACATTGATACAACATCCACAGAAATGTCTTGGACGGACCAAATTGTCAAATTGGCTGGCCCAGTGTCAACTTAGAACTATTGCAATAATAAATAATTAATTCTCAGTAGAAGTTTTCTCTTCTAGCTTTCACTTTATAAACAAAAAATAATCAATTTTATTTTAGCCCATCCATCTCAATAATAGTCCAATTTACAATAATATTTCTTTTATTAACGTCAACATCCTTTTTCCAGTATTACAAGTGACCACTTTTTCACTTCCGAACCCTCTAGGTATGGTCTTGAAAAAGAAAGCAAATTTAATTGCTACTACCAAGCTATAATTTCAATAATTAATATTGTTACAGTCCTTGGCAATGTTGGGACTGAGTCGGTCCTAGAAATTTGAGATCGCCTGTAAAAGCATAAATATGTTTATCTGTAGACAAATTTAAGGTTGTTTTGCCCTGTGATGACTTTAAATTAGGTCAAAAGCTTGTCAGTAGTAACTAAATTTGCTTTCTTCCTCAAGGTGATACCTTGATCCTTACAAAAAATACAGGCAAAAGAAAAAGATCCTCTCAATGATGGATATTTGAAAGAGGTAAACGAGACTAGGTCCGCACATAGAAAACGATTTACTGCCAAACTGTAACTACTTAGTGAGAGAAATATTGCACTTCTCCCCGACAATTTAGAATGTTTCCCCGTGGAAGCAAATAATACTTTTTTTTTAATTTATATAACGACCAACCATTCTGGTTTTAAAAGTTATTAAGTTCTGTTATTTACAAATATGTTGTATAACACAGTTATGTTTTTAATAACAGATAGTTCTTATAATTCGTTCACTGCACAGTTAAAAATTTGAAATTAATGCAAATTAGATTAAGAACTATAATAGATATCATGGTTTATACTGAAGTAGGCGAGGTTCAGACTGTGAGATATCCTTAGTCCCAGGGAAAATCCTGGATTGGATCCTCGTAAGATCCTCATAAGATCAGATAGCCATGCAGCTATTAAAGCATTAGCATGTAAAAGAACCACATCAAAATTAGTCAGTGAATGCATCCAAAATCTCCAAAACCTGGGGAACACAACAACTTGATGATATTTCGGGTGCCAGGGCACAGGGGAATTTTGGGTAACGAGAAAGCAGACAGACTGGCCAGAGGAGGATCTGCAAGACCATACATAGGCCCCGAACCTATACTTGGGATAACAAAAACAAATATAGAATCCTTCATCGCAGAATGGATCCAAGCAAAACAAAAGGAGAAGTGGATAAACTCTAGTGGTGCTAGACATAGTAAACTTATGATGAAACAACCCTCACCGAGACTGGCAAAAACACTGCTGCAATTGGAGAGGGCCAAACTCAGAGGAGTGGTGGTAGGACTACTAACCGGTCACTGGTATCTGAGAAAACATCTACACAACATGGGTATATACAGTGATGATCCCATTTGCAGATTATGTAACGAGGAGGAGGAAACAGCCACTCATATCATATTCGAATGCGAAGCAACAGCTCAATGGAGATTTAACCTAACGTATGGAAAAGACTTAGGGAATCAAATTGCAGCAGCAACAGTCAATGACCTGATACTTCTAAGAAGAAGGATTGAGTCTATTGAATGAACTAAGGTCCAATAAGCCGGAAGGCTGCAGTGCCTGGGGAATACAAACCCCGCTTCCTAGTAACCTTTTCCACCATACCATACCATACCCAGGGAAAAGTGTTTTGCATCATTCACCCTGTTCAGATTTTGGTGGAATTAAATTTTTTTACTGATAAAGTCGAGTATGTTGGAGATCTGTAGTTCTCAGTGGAGTTTTTCATTCCTGATGAACCAGGGAGCATTAATAGACATTCTTAAAATTTTAGTTTGCAACAGCTAAATTTTATTAATAGAAGGAGTTGCTAATACCCATATTTCATGGTGTATAGCATTAGAGGACATAGTAGTGATCCAGAATGCAAAATGTGGTTTTTAGCTTGGATATTCTATTTATAATTGGACACAGCGCAAGTGTTTGAAATCCTTCCTTGACTATTGTTTTTATGTGCTTCTCCCAGTGATCGAAGTGCACTTCCAAAGTATCTAACCATCTGTGTCTTATTATTCCAGTGTATTTGATGGATTCCTTGCTTTAGTTCATTTAGATCCTTTGGGAAGCAGAGAGTTAATATTTTTGCTTCACTTTTAGCAGAGTTGAGCTTCACTTTCCAATTAATTATGTACTTTTGTACGTTGTCTTGCACCTTCTGGTGCCATGTTACAGGCCTTTTAATATTTGAGTGGCTAGCATAAATGGCCATATCATCGGCGGAAGTGACAATTTTGGCGTTTGGATTATTTGGAATATTGCTTACATATAAATTGAATAAAAGGGGGTAAGCACTGATCCCTGTAGAGTTCCTTATGTTATTGTTTGGGCTGTTGATTTTTGCCCATTTATTTTGATCCAGAAGGATCTGTCGTTCAGGAAGGAGAAGAGGATTTCAAGAAGATATTTTGGGTGGCCAAATTTTTTAGTTTATATTATAAACCCAGGTGCCAGACTGTATCAAACGCCTTCTCCAAATCTAGGAAGACACTGTGTGTTCTTTTTTCTCAAACCCGCTACAATTCTATAAACTTGATGTGTGGCCGAATGTTTTGGAGAGAATCCAAATTGGTGATGAGGTATACGGTCCTCTAACAGCAGTTCTAACTTACTTTTAAAATACTTTTCAATTAATTAGTCTAAAATCGAGAGGAGGCTTATTGGCCAGTTGTTTTTGACTTGCTTATCCTTAAAAATACATTTTTAGCTGACATAGACAATTTATGTGCACAGCTTATAGATGGGTCAGTAAAGAACGATATGGTAAGCTTTATATGACCCTAAATTAAAACATGGAAAATAACTCAAATTCTCCTCAAAAATGGCAATACACAAAGCAGAACTAGTTGCTATTCTAAAAGCGTTGCAACACTTTTGTGAATTAAACTCATCAGAAAAGTTTTGTATTTGTCTGACTCCAGAAGTGCAGTAGATAATATTAAAAACTTCAGAATAAAGATAGGCAGCAACTTATGTGTACAAATGGTTAACAATTTAGAAGTTTTATCACAAGAGAAAGGTGTAACAACTTATTTCTGTTGGTTTAGAGGATGTTCAGGAATAAATAAAAAAAATGAGATAGTTGATAAATCTTGAAAAGAGTGGCACAAAAGAGGGAACTCTATTATACCTATTCTGGAGATGCACGGGTATTTTTTCACACCAGAATATTAAGGAATTTGCAGAAAGATTTGAAAGAGATCCGATCAGGAGTTTTCTTTCAGACAGAGAAACTCCAAATCTCCAAAATTCCTTGGTTCCACAGCACTTGACAAAAACAAGTACACTACAATCAGCAGGCTAAGATGTGAGTTTGTGGGGTTTTCTGCATCGAATTGGAGTTATGGAAACCCAGTTCTGCTTGGCATGTCCCCTTGAGGACTTGGAACACATGATAATGCACTGCAATAAATATTGTTCTCACAGAACAATAATTTTTAATGACCTATGTAGAATGCGAGACGTAGAGAAGCCATTCAATTACAAATCATTGTTCGCTAAGGAGAAAAATAGCATTTGTAAAGCCCTCTTAAATATAACCATGATGCAGACATGTCCATTTTAAATTGAGGAGCATAATTGGAAGAAAAAAAAAAGGCAGAAATTAAAGAAGAAGAAATTAAGAAAAAAGAAAAAAAGAAAAGAAGGAACTAACAAATAAAATGAAAAGCAAAAATTAAGAAATACTATTGAAATATTTTAACAATTAATTCTTCTTGGGTCAGGGTTACCAAATAGAGTTATGGCTAATTGGTAATAACAAAGGCCAAAAAAAGTCTACTTGTATTATTTTTACTTCTATTAATGTTATGATATGGCTTCTATGTTAGTTGGCTTGACGTAGTGTTTAAATCATTATACTGCGCTAAGAGTGAGTCAGTATGTCATGACAATTGATCTAAGATTCGCCAGAATTGCCTGCAAAAATGTCAAGTGAAAAAATGTAGGTCATTTTGATCTGCATATTTTTCCTGTTTTGCCATTTCTCCATGTCGATTCTTGGGGTTTTACCCCTTACGTTAGTCCAACATTGATGGTGATGAAAGACCAAACGAGGATAGGCACACATGTAATTGTGTAGTCGAGTCATTTCCCATAATTTTTTTAAATTGATTTATTGTAGTTAACGGGTACAACCCATAAGTTATATGTAAGTACAATTATGTTTTCACTATACTATAAATATCTAAGAACAATTTTTTGATTTGGCGTATACTGGAACAGAGCCAATAAATATCTAAACCTAATTTATTTGCTAATAGCATAGTTCTTATAACTTGGTTTTTTGTATAATTATTACAAATATTAGGAACATAGAAAATAGACTTAATTCTAGAATTAAAATTAGGAACTTTAAAATTTGCACTAGATTAAAAAGAGCAGTCTAAACAGTTATTTAACAATGTATACAGAAATATAAAACCATATTTCGCCGTTGTTCTAGTGTCACTAGATTCATATAAAACAAAATCGGTGTATAACAATGTGGATCCTTAGGAATGTGAAATTAAAGCTTACAAATCTAAAAAACTTATTTTGTACTTGCTCTAATTTTTTCACTTCTTGAGCATATAAAGGGCATATTTTCTCATCCTTTACCCTGCCGTGCCTGAGCCTGAGGAAGAACCCCCCAACCAGCGAAATAAACACCTACTTGGCTAAAAATACAATTTTTTGAGAGGGTTTAATTTCTTGAGGCCTTCATTTGGTCTCGCTTATAAAGGGAGGCCAAAGGAAGGTAAGGGAGATTGATTAATTTATTATAATTAAAATTGATCTCTCTTTGCTTTTTCCCCTTTTAGACTGGTATGTGAAAGGGCTTTTAAAATATTTACATGTATATATTAACATGTATACATTGTCTAATTAAGTCGAGAGAAAACCAGCCTGAGATAAAATTTCCTTATGATTGCAATTCACCCAAACCTAATAGAATAAATAAACACGTATAAAATATGGTAGTTACGTCATTTGGACTAGGTCTTTGAGGACGGGTGCTTTGCTACTCGACTATTCCTTTTTGAATATGTCTCGCGCTCTCTCAAACTTCTCACAGAACATCTTGTGCTAATTGTCCCTTTGGACTCGTACCTCTGTACAAAGGAAGCTGTCTGTTTGAGGTTTTGCTAGCTTTAGTATGTTTCCAATGGAGGTAGGTTTTTAATAGTGCTTGTAAGGCAGATGATGATTCATTTTTATATATTTCTGTGAATCTGAAATACATTGATACATTAGATGGGGATTATTTAGGGCATCTGACTCGTATTTGTCATGCTAGCGGCCCTGGGTTCGAATCCGGGCACAGCCGTGGCTTTTTAATAGAAAATTGAAAGAAGTATTGTAAAACGGTTTGACCCTTGACCCCTCGTCCATTACATCTATGGGTAGTTGGACGTTAAGCTATTCTGTATGACAGGATTTTTATTTATTTTTTTAAGAAAGACTGATTAACTCAACAGCTAAATGATTGCATCATACTTTTGTTGAAATCTTGTCAATATTTTTGTTATTCTTACAATAACCACTTTGATACAGTATAAGCACTATTGTTCTATTTGACAGAATAAAGTAGGTCATCATTGCATGTAGTGTTCCCGACATTTTTTTAATCTGATTAAGGTAATTGTTTTTTGTCTTAATTAACGACTGAAACGGTAATCAGAGTGTAGTCAGGGAGGATAAATAACTGACAGTTAAATCTAGGTCAGTTAGGATGGATTTCCTGCATTGATAATCTGTTTTTTCCCCCTTTTAATATGGATATATTGTATATGAACTTTATGCAGTTTTTAGCAGGATTCGGAGCATGTGATTAAATATTTTTTTACCCTGTTCGATTTTTATATATTTCAAATAACTTTTTACAATTGTATTGCAAGGGATTAATATCTTAATAGAATAAAATACTAAAGAAATAAATAAAAAATTTCTTTACTGTTTTAACATGGTATTGACCAGGGATACTCATAGTGGATTTAATAAAAATTTATGATTAAAAATATGCCGATATAACATTGGGTCCCAAATGGAAAAGTTTTAGAAGCTCTGTAATAGACAAACCCAGGAATAATTGTTTTAAAAAAATTGTATCTTGCCATTATTGTACAGGGTGATTCACTACTTGTACGATAAAGTTCACCAGGTGATTCTACGCCTCACATGAAACAAAAAAGTTCGTATGAACTGTGGTCTGATTCTCAACCCTAGGGCAGATATTCAACATTTTAAGTTTTTTCCAACTATCTACTGTTTACGTCATAAATCTACTCTTAGATCTTGAACTATTCAGTTTTGGAGGAATAAAAAAAAATTGAAATGAGAATTAAATTTCCTTTAAAAAGGTACTCTTCAACAATTTTCAATTTAATTTAAGGTAAAAAAAGGTAAAGCTTTCAAAAACTCCTAAATTAAAAAATAAATTTGCAACCCCCTTCGAAAAATTCATGTTAGAGATTGGCAAATTTCTTAGCTTCTTCATTTAATAAGCTTTCTAGCGGTATGCTTTTTCTTTAATTACATTGAACCAAAATGAAGAAATTGTATGTTAAATGGGAAAAAGTAACAATGTGGGAAAAGGGAGTGGGGCATATTAATTCAATTTTTTGCCCTGGTCAAAAATTATTTTGATTTATTTTTTGTATATTTTTAAAATTTGTTTTTAGTAGTGGTTGATTCCCAGGATCCCTGTGTTCAAGTTTTTATTTATAGGCTTGTTTAAGTTAGATGTATAGACAACTTTTTTACTCACAAATAATCTGGATCACTGTATGGTCTGGATATAAAATCAAATTCAATTGTTATCTGTCAAACTTTTGACCTATTTTAAAGTCATTATCAGGGCAAAACAATCTTAAATGTGCTTACAATTTACATAATTTGTAAATTTACATAAGTAATAGTGCCAAGGACTGTAACACTAGTGAATTAGTAGCAGTTTTATTATTTTATCTACCTGATAACAAACATTAAAATAAGAATACTTTATATAAAGCTCTCAAGTATGGCTAATTTTTATTTGTTAAAAAATAGTCTCGAAAGATTTAGTCACTGTTTTTTGCCAAAAATTAAATTGAAAGTTCTAGAAGGCTGCCTTTTTAAAGGAAATTTAATACTATTTTTATTATTTATTTTTTAATCCCCCAGAAATGAATATTTCAAGAGCTACAAGTAAATTTATGACCAAAACTAGATAGTTGAAAACACATAAAATGTTGAATAACTGCAGAAGGGTTGATAATTAAAGTTTAAGTAAGTAACTCCACATACTTTGAGTATGTGTACTGTTGTAAAATTGGCTACTTGCCGTTGTTGTAATAAATAAATAATCAGACCATGGTCGGTTCATAAGAACATTTTTGTTGCATTTGTTGAGGTGTGGAGCACCTGACAAACTTTTTCGTACGAGTAGTGAATCACCCCGCATTACAGTTACTTAAATTATAAGAGAGTAATTAAATATCATGACATAAAGAACGTGTATATTTTGAGAAGGGGAAATAATAATAAAAACAAACAACACTCCAACTTGATTTTTGTTTCAAAGGTGTCAGTTTGATATTTCACATTTTCCAATAAACTCTGTAACAGTACAAACGAAAATAATGTTTTGAAATAAAAGATAGTAAAATCTAATTCACATTTAATCTAAAGTCAGTGTAAATCCCCACAAAATCCTTTGCAATATTGTAAAATTCACGGTAGGTGGGTTTCACCTTGTTATTGTTATGCAATTATTTTGTAATCATTATTTAATGAGACCTTGTATAAATGTACTACACTGTAAACTATTTATATAATAATATGGATGACAATTATTGGATGTAATGTGAATTGTAAAATATGACTTTAAAATGATATTAATTAATGCTATAAGGGTTCATGGCCTTGTAAAAGCTCATGAAGTAACATTCAGATAAAGAGTGAGTCATGTTACTCTTTGATTTTATCTATTTCCCCCTTCACACATAAAAAAATATTAAGAAAGTCACTTCCACACTTGTAAGTCTAGTCAGAATATACCAGCTGTGTTGTTTCACTATCATAATTTTTTTTCTTTTTAAGATGTATTAATTATTCAATTTTAAAACCCAGGTAACTGCTTCAGAGTCTAAACAATGAGCAAGCCTGTAAAAGACGCCGAGTATTGGAAGAGCAAGTGCGATGAACTCGAAAAGGAGCTTGAAGACTTCCAAGAGAGCTCACATATGCTTGAAAAGGAGCTCGAGAGCTCTTTGGAGCAGTCCGAAAAAACAATCAAAGAGCTTAGGCGCAAGACCAACTCGCTGCAGTTTGAAAATGACTCTTTGAAGGTTCGCTCATGGAACAAAAACTAAATAAATAAATGTGAAAACATAAAACATCCAAAATTTTATAAAATTTTACAGGATAAGTATGATGAACTTAAAAAAAGGACGGAAGCACAGATCACAGAGCTGGAAGAGGAAGCAGCGCAGAGTCACAAAAGGGAGGAAGAATACGTGAAATACATACGAGAGCTGGAACAAAAAAACGATGACCTAGAACGAGCTCAAAGGTACATTTTTAAAGAATTACCTATTGCTGAACTTTTCTAATACCTATTTTTATTTTCAGAGCTACATATACTTCTTTAGGAGAATTTGAAACTAAATTGAACTCAGCTTTAGAACGAAACGTGCTTTTAGAATCCGAACTAGATGAAAAAGAATTACTTAAATCGATGGTTCAAAGGTTAAAAGATGAAACAAGAGGTAAAAAATTGTATCTTAATATATTCACTGTAATAATAGTTATTAATCTAGCTGCATAAGATACATTTATCACTATTTACTGTAGATAATTAAACCTAAAAGTGCACTTTTCGCTTAAAACAAAAACTTCAGTTACAGTATTTTGCCATTTTTGGATTATTTTTCAAAAACAGAAAGTACAAATCTGCACTAGCCTTCTGCTCTTAGTTATTTTGCTCTGGATGTTTTTCGCATAACAAACATAATAATTTTTAGGTGAGATTATTACTTATGTAAAAAGAAATTGCTGTCATATAGGAAGGCATAACGTCCTAACTACCCATTGGGTGTCATGGACAAGGCAACATACCACTTTGTATTACACTTTGTATATTACTAGCAATTAAAATTCTATTTGATGTGCCAGGTTTCAAACCCAGAACCTCTTGCGTGGCAAATACGAGTTAAATGCCCGAACCACTCAACTACTAGGTATTACCAACAAAATAATAGCCATTGGACAGGGTGCATAAGTCTAAAGTCGTTAAGTATTGTTGACCATTAGGAACAACAAAATTACGCTTGTTACGGTGCAAGGGCAGAAGAGGCAAAGAAGCCCATGAATTGACAAAGTTTGATCACCCCTATCGTCCCTGAATCCTTTTGTGGCATAGCAAATTGCCAAAAATGTAAATCTATCGGAGAATGGGTTAAGAATAAGCCCTCGGATCAATCATGACTGAGTGAAAAAACTATTTAAACACCATCTCAGAAATTAACGGCATGGAATACTGCTGGACACTGTAACATGTGGACATGAGTAAAACTTGGAGTAGATTACCAAGGAAAAGAAAAAACAGCACATGTTCTCTGTTTCGTCCAAAGGCTTATGATGATAATCTTACACCTGGCAAAAGAAAAGCCAAGGATACACACTTGAGGTCTTAAAGCTTTGAGATCTGATAAAAATCTTGTCGCGAACTTGTGGCGGTTTTTGGGCATCATCGGCTCAAGGCCCCCTCCAGACAATCGGAGGACGACTCTCTTGGCCAGGCTTGAGAGGGACTGTGTTTTGGAATCTTTAACAACTTGAAGATGGCTGATAAAATAATTAATTGGTTTCATTCTTAAGCTGTGGTGAGCTTTTTTTTATTTTTATACAAATTGTTTTGTTACGTGCCAAAGATTGTTGGAAATACCCACTTTAATTTGTCCGTTTATTATTTTTTCCTCCTCTTCAGTTTTCTTTTGGCCCTTTTTGATTCTGAGGCTTTTTGGCTAAGTTTCCTGATGGACCATTGCCTCCAGTTTAAATTGATTTTTGAGAGACCTCAAGGAATCCCTGTTATAAACTTAACAAAGAGCTCTGGTTTGTAATGGAGATTGTGCAACAGGCCATTATTGGTTGTGCTGCGCAAGGTCATAAAGAGACTCTTTTTAACCTTAACCTGAACGTGACAAATACGAGTCAAGCCATAACCATTCTTATAAAAGTGCCAAAGGTTATTTATCTAGGGTTAAACAAAATACAATTTGAATATATATTTAAATTAAATGTAATATTTTTATTTTGTATTTAAAATTTTCAGACTTAAAACAGGAGATCGAGGTGAGAGGGAAGTGCAATCACCACAGTAACGACCATACGCGAATTGTGGACACGAACAAGCTAGACTCCGAGAGCAACTCGTCGCCTGGTCATAACCCCCCTCTGAAAAGTAAGCTCGCCAAAAAAACTCGAAGCAAATTAACTTTTCCATTGCGTTTCATTGGCTTAACCATGCATAAAAATGGTAATACAAATCGCTAAGAAAGGCATTGTAAAAAAAAAAAAAAAAAAAAAAAGCGGGTGAATACCTACCTACTACTTCCTTGTTCTAAATTTATTTTAAAAATATATATGAGGGAAATACAAGACACAAGCACAAATTCCGTCCTTAAACATCCCTCCAAATTTGCACTATACTAACATTTAACTTTTAAATAGTATAAAAACATTCCTTTTTCTTCGTTGAAGGTTTATCACCATTGTTTATTACCCCTTTTTCAAAGAAATTATATCATTTTCGTAGCTTTTTTTGCATGTATGGTGTATAAGCATGAATTCCCATTAAGGCATGTTATGCCCGGTTAGTTCCTTAAAATGATAATATTAATTTTATGTTCTTATAACTAGTCATACTTTTTTATTTCTTTCTATAAAAATACAATACCATGTTTATGTGAATGGTAAATTTGTAATAATGATGTAAAAAAAAAAAAAAGTACCGACCATAATGTAAACAATTTTAATAAAGTTTTGACTTTATATTAATTACTTACCTTGTGTTTCATTGCTTGCTGTTTAATCAGTCGTTATAGCTGTTGTCACACGAATGCAATACCTAGATAGAAATAACTTCGACTTGTGAAGCAAGTCACCTTTTTTCCCCTGCAGTGTCTGTTAGAACTAATAGCTGTCTTTAATACCATTATTGGACTGTATATACGATGCATGCTTATAGTTATTTTTAAAAAAATTTGAAAATATATTTGGGCATGGTTATTTCAATATTTCCTGTATATAAACAGGTAAGTATGCGCATTTTGTTTTTCATCAAAAGTTAATCTTGAACTAATTAAACTAATAAAAGGACTAATCTATAGTATTAAGTTGGTTGGCACTTAAAAATTATTTACATTTAAATGATCTAGAACTATTTCAGAGTTTTATTTAATTAACACTGTACATAGCTTCAATTATTTCAAAGCCATTGAGAGCAACTATATACAAAATTGTTAATGTTGCATTACAAATTCTGATTATTTAAAATCCAAGACAGCGTACGAAAATTCTAAATTGAACAAGTTTTTATTCAGCATCGTAACATTGTACATGTTTTGTGAATTGTTGACAATTATGCCCTGCTAAGAAGAAATGTCGTAATTTTTTGACTTAATTTTTGTCCCTCTTATTCTTAGGTATGCAAAATTGACATAAATCAGCAAAAAATATCAGTTTAAAATCATGTTTTTTACTACACTGTATTTCCAATGCTTTACCTATCTTAATAAAAAGTGGTTGTATTACTAGATAAAATTAACTCATGTGTCATGTTATTTTCCATTTGTTTTATGCCAAGAAAACTCGTTTCCTGTATAAAACTTAACAATTATTGTGGACCTGCATTGTACTGAACAAAGGAAATGGAAATTCTGTGCTGTTAATTTAAAAATGTGTTTCATTATGCGCTAAATTTCGATTGGATTATAAAAGGAATAATAAAAAAAACAATGTATGGTTGTAAAAACACTTTCTTTTTAGATACGCTCTTTTTCATAAGTACTTATCACAAATCTTTGATAGTTAAATTTAATGTCAAACTTTTTTTATTAAAAAAAAAAAAAGATAAAAGTGAATTGATAAATAAGTTGTAATGAATATAGTGAAGTCGAGTTCTAGGCCAAAACTTTAAAATATATAGCAACTTAACTGAGGCCATTTAGCATTACACAAACTTCAAAGCTAAATTTTTCAAAATTGTCAAAACAGTATATGCATTTCTTATCAGGACAGAATTGGGGAGGGTTATTTTAAAAATGTTAAGGTATATATTTACAAATCTATTCTCCCCCCCCCATATCGAAAGGACTTATTTTTAATTCAGACATTACCGATCATTTCGGTCTGCCAATCCTCGCTGGGCTGGTTTGAGTCCAGTTTTGGGACCTGGAGTGGGCAAAGTTCCAAAACAACGAGGTTAGGTAGACTGAAATGATCGGTAACGGCCAAATTACAGGTTCATTACTGTGCATACTACACATAGAAATATCAGAACCTATTGAAAATCAGTTTGCGTATGTTAATTGATAATTCAGTCAAAAAATTATGAAATATCATTGAATTGTATTTGAAAATGTCTTTTTTTTTATTAGACATGCTACTCAACATATATGCAAATATAGAAAATAAAAATAGTCATTTTGATCAACTGGGAAGTAGAAAACTATATACAAACTTATCCAATTCAATATTTATTTGTTCTTTTTCTATTTAACTAAATTAATTCATTTTCTCCTGTGCTTTGCTGGGAGATAAACTTGTAATTTGATCGTTACTGATCATCTTGGTTTATCCTTACCAGGTTGCATTCGCCATTTCGATATCTTAAGACAGATATTTAAATACATAGTAAATTTTTTTAATATATGTTAGAATTAGAATTAACAAACACACTGAAGATGCCAAAATGCTGAATCTCATCTGACAGGCTAACCGAGCAAGGATAGACCAAGATGATAAGTAGCGATCAAATTACAAATTATCTAATTCATACATTGTTACATTTAAAATTATCAAATAAAGCAGTTGGGCGGTAATTATTTATAAAAATATGCGTTAATTGTTATGTAAGTAAATTTTTTATGTTTTCACCTTACTTCAGGAAAATGATGATAATATCTATTAATTATAAACGTAATTTGATCAAACTTGTTAAACCAAACAGTTGATAAACTATAAATAAAAAACCCACACCGCTGATTTTACTTGGTTCAGTGAGGTCAGAAAATACTGCAAATATCTCGTTATTGAACATTGTGCGTTTTTCCCGATCTGTGTGATGTTTTGAAAATTTAATTTTTTTTATAAGTACAGTCAAGTATCGTAGAGTATCAACTGTTGCCATGGTCACGAACAAAATACATCAATATTTCTGAACGCCTTGTTTAAACTTTATTCAATCAAGTCGGTAATTTAAATTTATTGTGGGAAATGAAAAAGTTAAAAATAAATAATGGAAAGTTTCTAAAAGCGCTTAACTAAAATCTTTTTTTTTTTTTTTTTTTTTGGTCAATTTATGATCATGATTTATAAGATTCTTGTATGTATATTGTCTCTGCCAATATTATTTTTAATCTTACACTATATTTAAACAATGCCAATAAAAAATTTAAAAAATACCCTATTTAGATATATAATTGCACTTGAACCTGTAATTACATTTTTTTAGTTTATGTTTATTAGAAACTTCTCTTCACAAAAATCACACAGACAGGAATAGGGTCTCATGGAAGATGATGAAATGCTGAAAAATGTCTGACTGTTGATCAATGAGTTTTGTACTAAAATCAATATTATTGCTTATATAATTATAAACAATATGGTAAAATAAGTTCATAAACTCGTCAAACTTTAAATAACGGTCACCAAACACTACACATTTAAATAAACTTGTCATATAAACTCTGCCTTGTATTAGTTTTATGTTTATAGACCTAATAGGATATTTTAAACAACTGCTTACTGTTTTATTCTTTTAAAAAAAGTTTAATTATTTATCGATGTTATAAAAAATCCAACCAAAATATTCTTTGAGATGATAGTATTGAATTGTTAAATATTTTTAAACTGCTCCCATTTTTTTTTACATTTTTTTTTCGATGATATTTAACAGTTAACATTTTTCAGGTTTGAACGGGCTGAGCACGTCAAGAGTTTCCGCTGCAAACATAGTCAGCGAATTGCTTCGAACTGTTGGAGTAAGTCAATTTACAATTTCATGCTTTAACTCTTTTCTCTCTCTCTCTCTCTCTCTCTCTCTCTCTCTCTCTCTCTCTCTCTCTTTTCTCTTTCTCTCTCACTCACTTTCTCAGCTCAAATTATATAGTTTATTTATATTAGTTTTTCTAGCAAGAATACCAGGATTTAAATATTTAGCTTTTTATTTTTTTTTTTAACAAGTTGGTAAATATTTTGGGGTACAAATAAGTTTTAAAAGATTTATAAGATGTAACTATATTAAATGCATTGGACCACAACTTAGCTACCTTCATCTTAAAGCATTATTCATCAGGCTTTAATTTTCATTACATCTCATTTTGCCAAAGTCTAAACATTTTTTTTTTCCTCCAAATATATTGACTTTTGTGCCAACGAAACGGATTTTGCTGGTAGCGTTACTTTTCTGCTTCCATTTAGAAAAAAAAATAGCTGAAGGTGGGGACCATGCTACATCAATTTCAGGTTGAGAGTACTGGGAAGGACAGAAATATTTGAACATGCTGAATCTTTGGTAGTGATGTAATGCCCTCAAAGCCATAAAGCCAAGAGGAAAGGAGATTTTTTCACTTGTTTTTGTGAAATTTTCAATAGAAGTAATTTTTGCATCGTAACTGATGGTGAAAAGTGGCATTACAATAATCCAAAGTGTAAGAAGTGGGGTAATCCCAGTCATGCGTCAGCATCAACGGCGAAGCCCAATATTCATGGATCGAAGCTCAAAGTATTTTGTGGGATCAGCTGGGTGTAGTGTATTATGAGGTGCTAAAACCGAGTGAAACCACCAACAATGAACTGGGGGATCGCTACAGATTGTAATGGATGCATTTGAGCCGAGCATTGAAGGAAAAACAGGAGCAGTATGAATAGAGGCACAACACTGCTCGACCACATGTTGCAGTGATAGTCAAAAATTTTACCCCACCTGTATATTTTCTAGATACTGCTTGTTTCGATGAATTGCCTGTCTGAGTGCACTCACGAGGAATAAAAAATAAAAAAATAGGTCAATTTATTTACTGCCTTGAAAGACCATTTGTTCTTTCAACATGGAATTTCTATGCTGCCAGCAAGTTAGCTAGCCATGGACAATACTTTGTGTAATCAATTTATTGCCATTTTTGCACCAGAAAACCCCAATTTTTACAAAAAATCCTTTAAAACTTACTTATACCCAATGTTTTTAGTATTTTTTTTTTTTTTAACTTTTAAGTTTATTTTCTTTCTTTCTGCATGTTTAATTTACATAAAAAGTTAAAACAAGGGTTATTGCGCAGCTTGAGAGGTTGCTGTGTGCACGTTGCAACAAGATCAAGTGCATCTGCTCCACCCCGATCCTTGCCACAATCAAATGACATTCCTTCCTAATCCTAATCCTAATTGAAATAATTCTTTTAAGTCATTTGAACAATTGTGATCCTGTGATTATTATGATTTATGATTTTTATTTAATTGTTAGTCAATTAATCGATTAATTCAGTTCTCGAGTCGGAAATGCTCAAATTACTAGCTAAATCAAATTCCTAGTTATAACAATTTTATTTTATTTTATTTTTTAAACTGTGATGCAACAAATAAACAGGATAATAAAGACGATTTTGTGTTTTCAAAATTGAAACTAATTATTTAAATTATTCACACTTTTTATGTAAGGTCTTGGTTGGGATGAAAAATAAAGTATAATTAATTTAAATAATTAATACAGTCGATTATGACTACTAAATATGTGGATTAATTTAAACTAATTTTTATCAAAGTGATATAATGCTCAATTAATCTGTGCCTAACTAGTTTTTATCGATTTTTTAAAATCCGCCAAAGATTTACAATAATGAAAAAAGTTAAAAAACAAGTATATTTTTGTAAATAGATAATTTGTAAATAATGAAATGTACCTGAATGTAATTACAATTCTTTCACAACTTGAAATTTCCATAGAGCACTACATAAAATTGCACACGATTAGAAGTTTCCTATTCCTTTCACCCTCCACCCCTTTTTTTGTCCCCACGTCACAAATTTGGAGTGCCTTGGAAGATATCTGGAACGTTCCTGAATAATGAATTCAAATTGAAAGGTCCGTTTAATTTTTATTTTATTTTCTTCTATTCTTTTCATTTGTTTCTTTTGAACCCCATGAACGATCTTGTATGCAGTCTTCACACTTTTTCATATTTCACATTGGAATGCATAGCTTGGTGTAAAGTGCCAAAAGGTGGAGAACTCACCGCAGTAATTAACATGTGCAGTAATGCTTGCTTTTATCACTTTTTCTGTTTGACTCTTTTTAAGTACTGTATTTCTTTAAATTGTGGGAAAAAATTATAATAACAACATTTCCATGCAGAACACATTCTCCTGTTAACCATTTTCTTACAATGCTTTTGGGAAACTTTTCCTTTTTTTATATTTATTTAAGATTGTTGACTTCCATTTCTCAATTTTTATTATTTATTTGTTTTTAAGTAAGATCATACGAAATTCATTACTGTATTTTTTATTTTATTTTAGTCTTCTTTTCAGCGTCTTTACATATTGCATGTTTTCATTTCATCCACTAAAATTCATCAGGCAGCTTTGGGTACATTTGCAAGTACAAATTGAAATAATTAATCTTAAGTTGTTATTATAATTTTTTAACTAATGATAAAACCTAAAGACATCCCAACATCAGTATGACTAAATTTAGTAATGTTGTATTTTCCGGATAAAGGTTTTGGAATCGAAACTGATAGTGAGGGCGAATCAGAGGGATTTTGTGTCTCAAAACGACAGTGCCGGAAAGGACCATATGAGGTAAACTTTTCAGTACATTTTCAATTTCTCTTTGTTAACAATTTTCCTTATTTATCTAAATGATTCCTTACTTGTAGGGAATCGGAGTCGGGAAAACAGAATTTGATAAAGGCAGTTTCTTTAACGCAGATCTGCTCTTGAATAGTTTGGTATATGATTTGTCCCCTTTTTTATATATCGCACCTGGGTTGTCTCATCCCTTCTTCTTCCGATAGTTATTTTTGAAACTAATGGATGTTTTATTTTCAGGAGGGGAAAACTAAACAGAGGAGCATCTTCGCCGTCTATCCACAATCTTGTGCGGTCTTAGACCTATTATTATTCTCTACTGCTAATAGATCGCTAAGCTGATGGAAAAAGAGAGATTATATATTTTTTCTTTGTATAAATAATCATGTAAATAAATTGAACATCCTGCACAACCGATATAGAAGAGATTAATTAATTTTATTGTTTGTCAAGGCTCAAAACATGTAATTTTCAGTCAAAGATCCTATATTATTTATTTTTTATACAATCTCTAAAGAGAAGATTATTTTCAAATTATATAAAGCCAGAACGCATTATTTTTTGCGATGGATTGTAGATGATTTAAATATATAACCATGAAATTTTTGAACCAGTCGAAAATTTATCCAAAGGAGAAATCGTTTCTTAACGCTAACATAAATTATTGACATTCATAATGTATAAATAGTTGGTGAAAATTATATCTATAAAATATTGTTACTGTTAACTGTAGGTAAATTGTTTTAATTTATTTGTCCTTTTTTGTATGTTTAACTTTTTTTGTAATAAATGCGTTTTCAATATGGAATTTAAAAATTAAAACTATATAAAAAATTTTATGCTTCTTAGATCACCCAGTTATTTTATTTTGTCTATAAAAGGGTATATTTAAGGGATCAATTGAAAACAATATAAATTACAAAAATAACAAACTATACACTTCCAAACACATAGAAAATGTATTTATTTTTATTATCTATTTATTATTCAACAATATTGTTTGAATAAACTTGTAAATTATGTTTTAAGCAATTAATTACAGGACCATAGTGGTTGAGTGATTTGGCCATCCCAGCATAGCCCATCTTAATTGAGAACAATTTTTTAAAAAAGTACTGTAAAATGGTGATCTGTAAAATCGTATGTGACAGCCAATAGGTGATTGGACCCTCTATTACAGAAATTTATCTTGCCTTGAGAAAAATTCGTAGTCAAATATATTTAAACTTTTGAACTGACTACTCATAATAGTAGTTTTTATGTACAATTTAAACTAATTGTTGGTAGATATTAAAATAAAATTGTCTTAGTATTAAGACAAACGACTTAAGATTTGCATCGCCAAACTTTTTCACCATAAAGAATGCTGATAAAAATAGTACATTATTTTTAGATTTTTTTTTCTATTCATATTTGAACATTTGATTCTAAAAATAAATTAGTGAGAGTTGTATCATAAATAATTTTAGAAACAGTCCCAAAAATGATAAGGTTAAATGAAATTATATAAATTACTTCTGTTAATTATTCTTTTTATCCAAGGTAATTGAAATGAAACGGTTAAGTGTCACAAGTGGCATATGAACAAACAACCTGTGGCTACATTAACTTTTTCATCTAAGTCAACAGTAAAAGAATAATTAATATGGTCAATTATGACCATTAAACATATATGGATTAATATATAAATTAACTGGAAAACAAAAATGTATATCGCTTTACATCATGATAAACAAATTACAATAACTGTTTTGTTATTATAATTTTTTAAAAATAAATATTTAACTTACTCGCATAAGGCATTTTGTTAATTAAATATTCAGAGTTCATGATGAAAATTTAAATAATTTTTTCATGAATATCGTTTTTCATTGCTTGAACACCTGGTTTTTATTAAGTTAACAATTGACCTACTTAAGAGAGAATGGCAAAGAAAACGAAAAAAAAAAAAAATAGGAGTCTAAACCTTGCACTTGGCCTTCTAGAAAGCAACTTTTGCAACTACAGCACATATGTGTTCATGAGACATTGGCCTCAATTACTTTGAAAAGGTGTTATGCCTTCATTTAATATCTTGAATCTTTTTTTTTTATGTATGCGGAAAATATATTAAAATTAAACCAATGAAAAAATATTTGAATATATATATATATATATTTTTTTATTGTATGCAAAAAACATAATAAATTCAGTGTTAATCAAATATAAATGATTCAGTAATAAAAATATATATTGAATATAACCAGTAAGAAATTATTTATAAAATTAGAAATTCTTGTCTTTCTAGACTCTAAAAATTTTCTTTTATTTACCATATGAAAATATATTCTAATTTGGCTTGGGTTCAGCATAAACATAATCAATGATCGTTTCAATATTATCATCGTATTTGACAGTTGATCGAATAGTTAAATAATAAGAGATAAGAGAAAAAAAATCCTTTTTTTTATGATAAACTCCGGCATTTGGTTGAGTTGTAACAAGATGATTCATTTCTTTGCATTGTTCTTAAACAATTAAATTTCCAGGTTCACCATAAATATTAATCAAAGATTTATTAATAATATTATCATATTTGATAATTGATGTTATTTTACAATAAACTCTGGCATGAATTGATTTGATCACGTCTCATGATTATTCATTTCATAATATTGATCTTAACTTAATTAAATTTCTATTCTCATCATAAATAATAATCAAAAAGTGTATCCATATTATTATCATGTTGTTAAGTTGACCTAATTTTATGATAAACTATGGTATGATTGAATTTGACTACATGATACCACGATTAATTAGGTTAGATTTGACCATGTTGTACCAGATGATTAATTTCTTTGTTTTATTCTTAAACAATAAAATACAAGGTTCATCTTAAATAATAATGGCGCGATAAAAAAAATGTTTTTCTGAAACCTACATCACACCAGACCGCATCTCACGATTTCTGAATAATTAAATAATAATCAAAGATCATATCGACATTATCATCCTATTTGACAGTTGACCTAATTTTATGATAAACTATGGTATGATTGAATTTGACTACATGATACCACGATTAATTAGGTTAGATTTGACCATTTTGTACCAGATGATTAATTTCTTTGTTTTATTCTTAAACAATAAAATACAAGGTTCATCTTAAATAATAATGGCACGATAAAGGAAATGTTTTTCTGAAACCTACATCACACCAGACCGCATCTCACGATTTCTGAATAATTAAATAATAATCAAAGATCATATCGACATTATCATCCTATTTGACAGTAATTTTACAGTAAACTCTGGTATGGTTAGATTTAACCATGTTGTACCTGATGATTAATTTTTATGTTTCATTCTTAACTTAAACAATATAATTTCAGGTTCATCTTAAATAATAATCAAAGATCATATCAACATTATCTTCGTATTTGCCAGTTGACCTAATTTTACAATAAACTCTGGTATGGTTTGACTGAAATTTGACTACATTGGACCGTGGTTAAAAGTTTAAATAATTGCTTTTTGTGTGTATAAACAGTGTGACAGTAAAGAGATTGAAATAACTCGTTTCAAAATGGAAATATTTGAAATTATAGCGACAAATTCAACAATATTAAAAGGTTTAAAAACTTTTAAAAAAAAGGTTTGTCAGTATCAAATAATTCATGAATTACAAAATACCCAATATTCAATTATAACATGAATGATGAACTTTATTGTTTTTTATATTGATGGTAGGTAGCAAAGTAAATGAAAAATGTGCACATATATTTCTAATTCGTCTTGCTTTGTTGCAAACTTCATTTCTGTGTATCCAAGGTGTTTTGTTACGTTTTTAATTTATTATGTTGGGTAAAAAAATTTAAATAATAGAATATTACTACAGAATTGGAAATTTTAAATTGTGTATTTGTTTCCTCCCTCTGCTTGATCTATTTTGTCTTGTTTTTATGCTAAAACAAATTCCAGTGTGGTTCGACTCGCATATGACGCGAATGACCTTCGACCCTTCTCTGCTCCCACCTCCTTTTGATATTCCGCACGAAATTGTGATTGTTTATTTTATATTTGGGTTTTTATGCGTCTTTACACGGATTATCGACGACTTCCGACGTTTTGACGGTCGGCCCAATACAAATTTACTCCCAAGATACCCAAACATCAGCTTGGAAATGATCATTGCCTTTTGCTTAAGAAAATTTTAAGAAAAAACGCTTAAGACATCTTTAAAAAAATCTTCGTTTTATGCTTAAAAACTATAAAATATTTATTTCATTCATTATTTTCAAATCTTAAGATTCTACTCTGTTAAAATGTATAGAAAAAAAAACCCAACTGCAGGTAAAGTCTTCGACGACCCAATTTGCAAAGGTTGGAACCGTTTATCCTGTAATTTACGACCTACACCTGCTTGGGTCCGAATGGTAAACAGCGAAAACGGGCGGACACATGTTCACCAATGTTGAAATTTCCGACTCAAAAGTACATGGATAAAAGTGACAAAATACATTTTTTTATGACTTTTTCAGGAGTTGCGCGATTTCTATTTGCAAACTTTCGTATTGATTAACGTTTATTACATAAGTGACATTTTATTTTTTCTCTTGACAACAAAGGGGAAGAAATGATTTCCAGACATTTTTTCAGCACACTAAAATACAAGTGTAGAAAATAAATCATAAATTATTAATGAAAAATAAACATTATTTATTTATTTTTGAACCTATACTTGGGGAAATTAATCGAATTTCACAGTTTTACTTATGATGCAATAAACTCTGGTATGGTATTTGAATTCGTTATAACATCATTATTAATTTATTAATGTTCTTAATTTAAACCAGCCAATTTTCTGATTCATAAAAATTAGAGATCTTATCAATATTATGATCGTATTTGACAGTTGATCTCATTTTAAAATAAACTGGTATGGATGGATTTAACGTTATTCCATAATTATTCATTTATTAATGTTGATCTTAACTTATATAATAAAATTTCAAGTTCATCTTAAATAATAATGAAAGATCATAAATCAATATTATCATGGTATTTGACAGTTGGCCTAATTTTACAATAAACTCTGGTATGGTTAATTTGACCATGTTGTACCAGACGATTAATTACATTGCATTGTTTTTAACAATTTAATTTTCAGATTCATAATAATCAACGAACTTATCAATAGTAATATCACATTTCACAGGCGATTGCTTTTATGATAAAATCTGGTATGGTTAGATTTGACCATGTTGTACCATATGATTAATTTATTTCTTTTATTCTTAACTTTGACAATAAAATTCCATGTTTATCTTAAATAGTAATTAAAGATTAAATAATAATCAAAGGACATATCAATATTATCATGGTATTTGACAGTTGGCCTAATTTTACAATAGACTCTGGTATGGTTAGATTTGACCATGCTGCACCTGATGATTAATTTCTTTGTTTTATTCTTAACTTAAACAATAAAATTCCAGCTTCATCTTAAATAATAATCAAAGATCATATCAACTTTATCATCGTACTTGACAGTTGACCTAATTTTACAGTAAACTCTGGTATTTGACCACGTCGTACCTGATGATTAAGTGCTTTATTTTATTCTTAATTTAAACAATTACATTTACACACAGTTAGTCTAACTTAACAATAAACTCTGGTATTGTTGAACCTGTCTACTTGGCAATAGTATACTAGGATCGTTCTAAACTTATACCACAGTTGTAAAATGGTGATAGCTTGTATTTTACAAATGAAACTTGAAGGGGAAAAATTGTTTGATAGTTATATGATACAATAAACTCTAGTGTTGTCATTTGACTACGTTGTGCTATGATGATTCAATTGTTAACGTTACTAAAAACCCAAATTAATTAACGAAAACGATTCGATTAAAAAAACCGTCGATAACTCTAGAATAGATTCAAAAGTGCTTAATTGGTTGCAATTTGTTTCTGTTTGGAAATTTTTTAGTTTTGAACTGAAAAGAGCTTTTTTTGGTTCTTGGCTTGGATCAGGGATTTCGAAGAGGGTCCACAAGGGGCGCAACCATGCACGTAGTGACGTCCAATTTTGGTGGGGGGCCCCGTCATCCAATATTCCCTCACTCATCAGCGACAGCCTTAGCTACCGTCCACCACCACCAACAACAACAACGCCAACTGGGATTTCGGCGAAGCTTGATAAACATAAAATACCTATCAGAGCCCAGCTGTGGCCCAAGACAACCTGATTGTATTTTGTTCCGTTCAGTGCCGTTCTGTGATGATGTAGTGAAGGCCGAGATCGGATTCGAAACAAATCCATTTTTTTTTCACAGCCAATTCCAACAGTTTTAATTTCCCGAGACGAGTGCGAAGGCCGTCGGACTAATGAATATCATCTCGAGATCTTTCGATACGGCTAAAAATGGGTGTTTCATTAGTTTTAACCAAGACAGCTCGTAAGTGTCCGATCCTTTACTCTTTTTTTTCAAGCTTATTTCCTCATTGTTTATTTTACTTTCTAATCTCAATGCCTCTCCTTTTTAACCCTCGATTGACCTTTTTACAATATTTCTCTCTTTTCAAAACAGGTTCAACATTTACAAAAGATTTTTATTTTAATATTTCGACATTTAAATCACCTCCGTTTAAAAATAGGAGCCCCTACTTTTTGCACTTCCCTTTTTAATTATTAGTTTCTTTTATATGCGCATCGGGAGACGCTAATCAAGACAGATGTTCATTTAAGGTCGGTTAACATTTAAAAAGCGATCGCCTTTGTTCCGACTTCTGGGCAGATGCCTTTTTAGATTTGCCATATGCAATTGATTCCCGAGTTGTTTATCCTTTCCTATTTAGTCAATTGTCGAATCGCTAACCTTTTGAGAAAAATTGACCCTCGGAGGTTCTAACAACAAAGAATGACATTGTTCATTTTTCACGTCATTGTGACCGTTTTGGAGAATTTACTCGATTATAGAAAGAATTCCAACCGTCCCCTATGGTTGGATTTGACTACGTTGTTATAATTTGGTGTGATGTATGAACGATATTTGACTGCATCGTCATAGTCAATATTGTCGAAAGACCCGCTTACACTAAACTAGGCTTATAAAACCTAAATTTTCAAAATGAAGATAATCCAACCAATATTGTTGAATGATAGCCAAAAAATTTAAAAATATAATTTCCAACAGTATGTTCATTGCCAATTTAATTTTTATCACGATTTATTATTTTATTTGCAATATATAATATATATAAAGAATCAGTTTACTTGAATGATTGGAATTGACTATGTTCTTATTATTTGTGGTGATGTATGAACGATATTCGACTACATTGTCATAGTCAATATTGTTGAATATTATAATTATAATTATTATAATATTACAAGGAAGTAGACCTATTGGCAAAAGATGCTGCAAAAAATGGGAGCCAGTTTAAATTGATAACAACATGTGATATCAAAGCACATATAAATAAAGTGGCCAAACAGAATTGGCAAAAAGAATATGTCGAATCCAAACGAATTAAAGGGAAATACTATGCAAGAATACAACCCGCCATTCCCTACAAGCCATGGTTCCATAGACTTACTAGACTAAGGAACTTTTTCACTACCATTATCAGACTTAGACTTAACCACAACCAACTTCCGCACCATCTAGCAAAAATATCCCTCATAGAAAAAGCAAATTGCGACTGTGACGGAGAAACATATGCCGACCTGGAATATGTCATATTAACATGCCCCAGCATAAACAAAGGTAGAGAGGAATTATATGAGAATTTAAGAAAGCACGGAGTAGCGTTCCCAACAAATATAGCAACTATATTGAGCGACACTAAAAATATTCCAGTATTTGACAGTTTAATGACCTTTATAAAAAAGAATGACATCAAAATATGAAGACAACAACATGTAGTGAAAGAAACATAGTAAATTCTATAGACTCCGGCGACACTGAAGGAAAACGCATGGACGATGCATTGATGCAAAGCGAAGGAAAAAAAACTATTGTTGAAAGAGTAGCTTATACTAAACTAGGATTATAAAACTTAAATTTTCAAAAAGAAGATAATTCAACCAATATTGTTGAATGATAGCCAAAAAAATGTTTAATAATATAATTTTCAATAGTATGTTCATTGCCAACATAATTTAATTACAATTTATTCTGTTATTTGCAATATACAGTCAATTTACTTAATGGTTGGAATTGACTATGTTCTTATTATTTGTGGTGATGTATGAACGATATTTTACTACATTGTCATAGTCAATATTGTTGAAAGACTCGCTTATACTAAACTAAGCTTATAAAACTTAAATTTTCAAAAAGAAGATAATTCAGCCAATATTGTTGAATGATAGCCACACTTTTTTAATGATACAATTTTCAACAGTATGTTCATTGCCAACTTAATTTAATCACAATTTGTTCTTTTATTTGCATTATAAACTATCAATTTGCTTCAATAGTTGGAAATGTCTATGTTGTTATAATTTGTAGTGATGTATGAACGATATTTGACTAAAACGTCATAGCGGACATTGTCGAAATATTCGTTTATACTTAACTAGGCTTATAAAACTTAAATTTTCAACAAGAAGTTAATTCAACTAAAATTGTTGTATGATAAACAGATTTTTTTTAAATTATACAATTTCCAACAATATGTTCATTGCCAATTGAATTTAATCATGATTTATTCTTTTATTTGCAATATTAACAGTCAATTTACTTGAATAGTTGGAATTGACTCTATTGTTATAATTTGTTGTGATGTATGATATTTAACTAAATTTTCATAGCCAATATTGTCGAAAGACTTGTTTTTACTAAACTAGGCTTATAAAACTTTTAACATAATTTTCAAAAACAAGATAATTCAACCAATATTGTTGAATGATAACGGTTTTTATTTGTTAATAATAAAATTTCCAACGTATGTTCATTGCCAACCTAATTTAATCACAATTTATTCTCTTATTTGCAATATAGACAGTCAATTTACTTGAATGGTTAGAATTGACTATGCCCTATATACTAACCTTGGCTTATAAAACTAAAATTTTCAAAAACAAGATAATTCAACCAATATTGTCGAATGATAACAAGGGTTTTTTTTAATAATACAATTTCCAACGTATGCTCATTGCCAACCTAATTTAATCATGATTTATTCTTTTATTTACAATATAAACAGTCAGTTTATTTGAATGGTTGGAATTGACTATGTTCTTATAATTTGTGGTGATTTATGAACAATATTCTACTAAATTGTCATACTCATTATTGTCGAAATATTTGTTTATATTAAACTAGGCTTATAAAACTAAAATTTTCAAAAACAAGATAATTCAACCAATATTGTCAAATGATAACAAGGTTTTTTTTTAATAATACAAATTCCAACGTATGTTCATTGCCAACTTAATTTAATCATGATTTATTCTTTTATTTGCAATATAAACAGTCAATTTACTTGAATGGTTGGAATTGACTAAATTCTTACAATTTGTGGTGATTTATGAACAATATTCTACTAAATTGTCATACTCATTATTGTCGAAATATTTGTTTATACTAAACTAGTCTTATAAAACTTAAATTTTCAAAAAGAAAATAATTCAACCAATATTGTTGAATGATAACCAGATTTTTTTTTTAAATTGTACAATTTCTAACAGTATGTTCATTGCCAACTTAATTTAATCATGATATATTCTTTTATTTGCAATATGCTTGGATGGTTGGAATTGACTGTGTTACTATAATTTTGTGTGCTGTATGAATGATAGTAAACAAAATTTTCATAGTCAATATTGTCAAAAGACTCGTTTGTACTAAACTTTGCTTATAAAATTTTTAACATAATTTTCAAAAAGCAAATCATTCAACCAATATTGTTGAATGATAACCAGATTTTTTGTAATAATACAATTTCCAACAGTACGTTCATTCCAACTTAATTTAATCAGATTTGTTCTTTATTACTATTATAGTATTTGCCAGTTGATCTATTTTTAAAGTAAACTCCTGCATGGATGGATGCGACTACATTGAAATAATTTCTTATAATGTATCATTGACATTGTTCTAAAATTGAACGATATTTGACTACATTGCCATAGTCAATATTGTCGAAAGACTCGCTTACACTAAACTAGGCTTACAATTGTTGATTGATAGCCAGAAACAAAAAATTAATTACTAAAATTTTCAACAATGTCATGCTGAAAAATCACCAACTGGTAGGTTGGATTTTACTAGATTGTAATAATTTGTTATGATGTACCGTTGGAATTGCTCTTGGATCAAAGAATAAATGGATAAATCATAGATTCATTTATATTAAACTAGGCTAATATAACTTCAACATAATTTAATAAAAGAATGTTCAACCAATATCGTTCGTTGAATGATGGCCAGCAGATATTTTTTATATATATATAAACTGAAAATACTTTCAGAAATTATATATATAAAATTTCTGAAAGTACATATTTTAAAACTGAAAAATGATCAAGTAACTTAATCTCAATTTTCTCTTTTACTTGAAATACATATAATATATTTGCCAATAAATTTGGTATGGTTGGATTTGTCTATTTATCATAGAACTATAAAAAGCCAATTAAAAAATATTGTTGAATGATGGTTAGTAAATATTAATTGAAAAAATCACTTTTCAACAGAAGGTTCAAAACTAAACTTTGGTTAGATAAACTTAATCAAGACGTTTTATTTTTAATACTTCCAATTTTGCATGGATATAAATTCCCCTGTTCAATTTTCTACGTTTTAATATTTTGTTATGATGTATCATTGGCTTTGTTTTGAAATCAGACGATATTTATCAAAATTGTTTGTTTTGACATGAAAGTTAATACTAAACTGCTTATAATAATACCAATAACTAAGCTTATAATAACAACACGATTTAAAATAAATAAAAAGGTTAATTCAAACAATACTGTTTTTTGATGGCTTACTAAACAATAAAAAATTAATTTTCAACAGAAGAGCTAAATTAAAACAGTCATCATAACTTAATCACACAAATAATCAATAAATTTTGTTAATGTGGTTGGATTTGACTGTGTGTAATAATTTGTAATGGTGCAGCATTGGCATTATTCTCAAACGAACAATATTTGACATCATCATAGTCAATATTACCAAAAATTTGTTATAAACTAAACTAGGTCTAATATAATGAATTAAAAATTACTGTTGTTGAATTAATAAAATCTGTGAGTAATAATTTTATAAAAATTCCAACAGAATGTACAAATTAATTTTGCTTTGATGAATTCTCATATAGTTAATTTTGGGTATGTTAAATAGTGTTTTGAACTAAATTAATACAGTATTTATATGAAATATAATAACGCATTGATAAGTGGTCAATAAAGATGGTGGAATTCCTAATGCGCCTGACAGACAAATACAGTGACGATAAGCAGACCAAAATGATCAGTAATGACAGGTTAATCACCCTGCAGACCACTTAAAGAAATCTTAATCTAAAGGTTAATCTCCCAATCAAAATTTATTGTTTTATTTGTAATGCACACAATCAATTTGATTTAGATAAATTCCATCCCGGTTGGTTTGACTCTCAATATTAAATATTTGTTTAAAATATTATGCAATTTCAAAAAAGATTATAAACCCAGAAATCGAATCATACAACAATATTGACTACGTTTAAGGCAAATGTTGTACAAGTTTGTAACAATGCTATCAGTCACCATTTTATGTTTTCCAATCAATCACACTAAAATTTACAAAGGCAGACGTTAAAGAATTGAAACTCAACTGTTAAATATGATAAAAGTTATCTGATCATAGTTTAATATGAACCTGTGGAAATAATTTTTATTTGTTATTATTTTTATATTGTAAGGCAAATTGACATCATTCCTCACAGAAATGTTGCTGATGTACAAGTTTTAATACCACTCTACACCTAATTAAATTTGGCCTTCAGTACAAAAAAAGTATACGAAAAGCCAAGTGTTTCATGACAAATACATTTTTTATTTGTAATGTGTCTTTTGGGCTTATTAGACCAGCAGCCCCAATGGGTCAGTTACAGTTTATTTAAAATTGTCCGGTGTATGGAGATGAGAATTTAGTGATGACCCCTTTTGAGGCTGCTGTGGGTGATCCAATGAGCTAGAAATTTACAGAATAAATAAAAGATTTTTATGCCACGAACACTTGATTTTCCGTTCTCCACTCTACAATAGACATTGTCCATGATGGGGGGGAAATAAAACTTAATTGTTTTTATTGCTTACTGACCACTTAATAATGTGTTATAATGTTTCATATAAAGTTTATTTGTTTAGTTCAAAACACTGTTTAACATACCCTTACTACTATTAATCAAAGCAAAATAGTTTAAAATGAACAGATTATTGGAATTTTATAAAATTATAAATTACTGGTTTTATTAATTAAAATTTAAACAGCATTCTTTAAATATTAATTGCATTAAGTTTTGTGAATGTAGAATAAACTAATGTTTTGGCAATATTGACTGTGACTCAAAGTCAATTATCGTTTGATTTAAAAAAAAATGCCAATGATAAATCATATCAAATTATTACACATATGTGTGGTGATTAGTGACCGTTAATCGATAATTATTCAGAAATCGTGAGATGCGGTCTGGTGTGATAGGTTTCAGAAAAACATTTTCTTTATCGTGCTAACGTTTCGATAACCTAGGCCCGATACTGGCAGACATAATCATGACACATCTATTAAATACAGTCATACCACAACTTCCTTTCACATTACCCTTCCTCACTAAATACGTAGATGATATATTGACAGCAGTTCCCACAGATCAAATTCAAACTACATTAGATACATTTAATAACTTTCACCCACGCCTACAATTTACACATGAAATCGAAAACAACAAAACAATACCGTTTCTAGATACACTAAAACAACCAGATGGCACATTAATCACATATCGGTATCAAAAACCAAGAAACACAGATCGCTACCTCAACTTTACATCTCACCATCCTCTTCATACAATAATAAACACGGCGAAAGGGTTACTTCACAGAATGATTACCCTAAGCCATGAATCATTTCACCACAAGAACACAAAGATATACAAACAGATCCTCCATAACAATCTCTACCCTAAACACATTATTAACAGAATAATCAACAACTACAACTCAACACTACACCATCCACTATTACTAATAATTATTCAGAAATCGTGAGATGTGGTCTGGTGTGATAGGTTTCAGAAAAACATTTTTTTTATTACTAATAATACTACAAAGTCTATCAAATACAAACAAACCAGCATACATTTCCATGCCATTTATTCAAGGCCTATCACATTTCTCTCGTCTCTCGTCCGATAACTTCAAAATAGCTTTCAAGAATTATCCAATCCAAACACAATCCAATAATAATCAACAATAACAATCCAAACACTTTTTTTCCAAAATTAAAGATCCCACACCAATAACAAATAAATCTGACGTAATCTACAAGATCAACTGTTTAAACTGTCTGGCAACTTACATCGGTCTTACATCCCCATATCTGGACAAGAGAGTAAAGCAACATATCTATGATTGCAAAAAAACCCAAGCAAAATCCTGCACCACTTGCTACCCACCATTTTGAACACCAACACAATTTCGACTTCAAAAATCCAACAATATTACATGTAGAACAAAACAAACATAAACGTAATTTCTTAGAAATGGTTTATATCAACAGAGGATAAACAGCATCAATTACAGAACAGATACATGTAAACTCAGTCGCAGCTACACCAATACCATTAATTAAATTCAATATAGATAACATACATATATCATTCCACACATCAAATATTTTTCATAGTCTAACTGTCCAACAACTTAGCTTTCCTTTTCCTATTTATCCCTTTCTATATAATCCTGAAAGGATAATCTGGCCGAACCATTACCAACACATTGTTTCCCTTAGTCGGCTCTTTTCACCTCAAAGAAGCCGTCGCCTTATACAAAAATGTCTTTTCTATACCGACATCCTTCCCCACCCCTTCAAAATGCAACATATATAAACAACAAAAAGCAAAATCTCACTGGCACTCTCGACATGACACGCAAGAATGGCACAATTACACAGAAGACAAACACTTTGAGTGAGTAGAAATACTTTGATTGAATATAAAAAATATATTTTGCATTGTATAAATTCACTTTTCCACATCCTAGATGTATTTGTTAAATGTAAACAATGTTTGTAAATCCCAGGCCCTGAAGATGATCCCAATAAAGATCGAAACGTTGGCACAATAAAGAAAATGTTTTTCAGAAACCTATCACACCAGACCGCATCTCACGATTTCTGAATAATTATTACACATAGTCAAATCTAACCACACAAGCCAAGTTTGTTATGTGAATTGGAGATAAAGTTTTCTTTTGGCACTATTGACTGTGACTCAAAGTCAATTATCTTTCGATTTCAGAACAATGCCAATGATACATCATAACAAATTATTACACATAGTCAAATCTAACCACCCAAACCAAGTTTATTATAAGAATTGCACATAATGTTTTCTTTTGGCAATATTGACTGTGACTCAAAGTCAATTATCGTTTGATTTCAGAACAATGCCAATGATACATCATAACAAATATTACACATAGTCAAATCTAACCACACAAGTCAAGTTTATTATATGAATTGCACATAAAGTTTTCTTTTGGCAATATTGACTGTCACTCAAAATCAATTATCGTTCGATTTCAGAACAATGCCAATGATGCATCATAACAAATTATTACACATAGTCAAATCTAACCACACAAGCCAAGTTTATTATATGAATTGCACATAAAGTTTTATTTATTTATTTGTATTTGCATTATGTAAGCTTTGTTTATTGTAAAACCTGGGCATTGAAACATTCAACAATATTGACCATGACAATTTAGCCAAATATTGCTTGATTAGAGAACAAAATATTACAGTGTAGCTAATTCCAACCAGAGGAAAATTTATCCATGTTTAATTAGTTGAATTACATAGATTTTTTTTTTTTTTTAGTTCGTTGGCAGTTAGCACAACCACCGGATATCGAATATTGTCTCTTAATACCATAGACACGCTAGTCGAAATACGAGAAAATGGTAAGTGATTGTGTTAATGCTTATAATTAATTATATATTTTTTATTCATTTTAATCCATTTTTTACATGTACAACAGAAATGGATGATTTGTGCATTGTTGAGAGGTTGTACAGCAGCTCGCTTCTTGCGATTGTCAGCCTCTCATCACCGAGGAAGATGAAAGTGTGCCATTTCAAGAAAGGGACTGAAATTTGTACCTTTAGCTACTCGAATACGATACTAGCCGTTAAACTGAATAGAGTGGTGAGTAGGGGGCAAAAAATAGAATAGTCCTGTGTAATCAATTTGACCTTATTTACTCCAAAAAAGAGGAAGACGATATCTAGGTGATGCTGATAACAATGATGAGAATGTAGACATGGTGGCGTCACACTGTTATATTTTGATAATTTCAAATTATTTACTTTTTTCAGGAAATAAAGTAATTAAAAACCTTAAATTAATTATAAACTTTTGGATTTGAGAATAATTGATTGGATGGAAATACTTTCATAAAACACTTCATGGTTCCACAGTTATTTTATTATTCATGCAAAAAAATTGTGTAGTGTGATCATCTCCTACCTTTGCTGGTTTTGTCTGTCATATCAATGTCAAAATTGTTGTTACAAGTATGTAAAAAGGACACTTGATGAACAGGCTGACCACTGAAGGTGACGAGATGAAGTAAATGTTTGTTTGAACTTATTATACATTAAAAAAATTAATGTTTATCATCCTTTAAAGAGTGATAAAGAATATTCAAAACAGACCATTATTAGATATCAAGTACTCAAATCTTATATAAATATTTAACAAACAAAAAAAGACTTAAGTAACAAAATCCTTTTCTACAGAGACTTATAGTGTGCCTGGAAGAATCATTGTACATACACAGCATAAGAGATATGAAAGTGCTGCATACGATTCGGGACACACCGCCTAATCCAAATGGACTCTGCGCTTTGTCGACTGATGACAGTTGCTTCCTCGCTTACCCCGGAAGTTCGACTATCGGGGAAGTGCAAATTTTCGACACTATCAACTTGGTACTTAATGATCTTGAATCTAAATATTCAAATGGGTTAATTAATTTGAAAACGACTTCTAGCATTGTAAAATGATGATTGCTGCACATGATTCACCGTTGGCGGCGATGATTTTCAGCCCTTCGGGACAGCTGATAGCGACCGCTTCTGAAAAAGGGACTGTAATTAGGGTCTTCAATGTTTTGGATGGTACCAAACTTTTTGAATTTCGCCGAGGTGTAAAAAGGTATTTTATTATCATAAATCATATAAAAGTTAATGCTTGCTAAAAATTAACTGTTTGCCTATTCTGCTTAATTCTCTAAAAAAAAAAAAAAAAGTTAAAATTGAACTACTTCTGAAACTTGTTGATGATTTGTAAATATTTTATAGTCACTTGAAGTTTGTCAAAATTACACCCAGGCATTGCAAAATAAAATGCGTAATTTTAAATTGCAGAAGAGTAAACATCTGCGGGCTGGCTTTTTCACCAGATTCTTCTTTTCTGGCTGCCGCTTCCAATACGGAAACTGTCCATGTTTTCAAACTGGACAACCCCAAGGATGTGTAAGGGCTTTCGTTATTAATAGTTTTTCAAAAGGGTGATTTTTATCTTTTGGTTGTTTTATTTAGAGACAAAATGCCAGTCAGCAGCGGGAGCGGTGACGATAGTTACCAGGGATGGATGGGTTACCTGAGCATGGCCGTATCTGCATCGGCCAACTACTTGCCGACCCAAGTTACAGGTGTCTTCAGCCAAGGAAGGGCTTTTGCTGCTGCTCACCTTCCACACCACGGCTACAAAAACGTTTGTGCTTTGACAGTGTAAGTATCACCATAATTTTTAGACTTAGGATTGGATCTGTCTTCCTCAACCCCCTCACAGATTGGACATTAAGCCCTCCTTTATTATAGGATTTTTTATTTTTAGGATTCAAAAAGTATTAAGGCTTCTTGTCGCATCAACAGATGGGTCTCTTTACATTTATAACCTCGACGTTGTAGATGGAGGAGATTGTAATCTCATAAAACAACACAAGTACGTAATTTTATGATCTACTTTCTCATTTATACGAACATGTATTAAAAGTCTTCAAGATTTCTAATCAATTTAAATTTTCTGTTTATGCAGGTTGCTCAAAAAGTGCGAGCCGTTGCCTGAAGTCCCGCACGGCCTCCACGATGAACCAAGAAGCTCGAATCGCCAATCCGAGTCCAAAGAGCAGTCTGATCCTGGTAATTATAAACCATATAATAAAGTTTAAGACCCAAAATGTACCAATTATATAAACTTTAGTATGGACAAAATATTCCATTTCTGATTTAAAAAATAGTCTTGCAATAAGAAAAAGATGGCTGATGCTAAGTCGCTTTTCTAGTGTAGAACCCGACATTTAGCCATATAAAGGCCAGACAATTTAAATTATTTTATTTCATATACTTTTCTTCTTTTTTTCAATAGATATTTAATCATTTTCTTTCCATGCATGCAATAGACTTCTTGCAAAAACTTCACGTGGACAGGTATATGCATCATTACTTTGACTTTGATTGATTTTTTTTTTAATCACTGAAAATAGCCTTGCATGGAAGTTCTTTCTTTTTATACAATATTGTGTTAAATAACAAGTTTAATTGAATTAAAATTATTTAAAACAACGTTTTAAAGGAACAAAACAAAGCTGTGTTCAGAAATTAAAGGAGTGTGTAAAAAAATGACCAAATTTATACATAAATTTGTTATATTTGCAAAATCGTACTCATTGTTTAATTACAGTATAGATTGCAAATCTAGGAGTAGGTCTAGATAGCAAGCCTGTGCAGATATTACCAGAAAGAAGAATAAATAATGGAACATGTCCTTTGTTAATGTTAACATATTCGTTACGGCATACCCAGACTCTCCTGGAATACGGACAAATTTTAAATCTATTTAGGTTCTTAATTGACCCTGAATTAAATTTTGTTTAAAAAAAATTGTCTTTTTTAGTTTTAGGCTAGATTTTTGTGAAAAATAAATAATCAATAAGAAGATTATTGCCAGAAATTCATACTGTCTTTTTGCCATTAACATGACATAAGACATTGAGAGTAAAAGTGAGGCACTAACTTCCAAAATGTTTTTATTTAGTAATATATTGTAGTAAAATAATACTAATAGCAATAACTGAAGACAGAGCTGAAAAAGGAATTTATTTTATATTTAAGAAATTTAAAAAGATTAAAATGGTCTTTTTTAAATCACCCCTTATACTTACATGGATGTATATATGAGTATTATGAAAATTAACATACAATATATATACAAATAATAATATTTTAAATATTTCCGTTTGTATTTAGTTAATTGGTAATTTTAAGATTTATAAAAGGCTTCTTGTTTGTTCCTTGAAATACATTTTAATTCTTTCATGTTTTCAACCTGTTAAGTTGTAAATTTAATTTTTTCAAATCCTGTTTATTTTCCACATGCAACTTTTTGTACTAACTTGAATTAATTTGAAACCTTCTTTTAATTTTTATTTTTTCTCAAAGAACTTATTTTTAAAAAAACTACCAATTATTAAGATAAGTGTCATGAAAAAACTGCATGAGCTTGTTGTAGCATGACTTTTTAGTTGTAGTATAAAAGCAAGGCTAAGGTGTTGTGTTTTGTATTCTGTGTTAAGGCTCCATTAGTAGTTATGCAGACATACTCAAGGGCAATCCACCGGGCACAATGTCAGGTTAGAATAGTGAGTAAGCACAAGTAAAGTGAGAGTGGTGTGAATTATTTTTCCCATCGTGTTATTTTCTTGAATGCGATTGAGTAAAAACGATCAGAAGTTTTCATTTAATTTCTCAGAGAAAATATTTTCTTCGATGTTTAGCACGTTTATCAACCTAAAAATTAAATTAATCCCTATATGCATTTAGCAGTTATTGACCGCATTAATTATTTTAATTAATTATACTTTAAATGTAAGATCTTGCTTCGTTGGAATGAAAAGCAAGTGCCATGAGTGAGATTTGAACTCCAGTCGAATCTGAAGGTCGTGAGTTTGAATCCTGCTTGTGACCATCACTTTTTCAACTCAAACAAACTTAGCTTAAAATAATTAATTAAAATAAAAATTAAATTGTGAAACGTGAGGTTTGTGATCGCAGCATGGTCATCTCTGATCACCCTGGTCTGCTTATTATCCCAAGCAATTTAAACACGTATTTACCGCTTTAATTTTAAATTTATAAATAATGAGTATATTTGGTCTCACCTAAAACCTAAATACCATTAAAATTAATGTTGATTAGATTTGTAGCTTTCTAATAATGTTTCCTCCTTTTCCAACGAACCCACATCTTGAAGATGCCTTGGTATATTTTCTACCAGCTGGAAAATTCTTTTTGCTGGAGGTTAGCCAATACTTCATGATGAACCTATCTGTCGTGATTCTATACCTATTCGATGGGATTTAAGCCAGGAGAACAATCTGGCCAGTTTAAGACACTAGTGTTGTCTTCCTAAAAGATTTGTTCCATTATTGTCATCAAGGATTTACACAGAGTTCCAAAATGATATCCTCATAATGAGCGTAGACCCTACATGAACAACAATTATCTGTACACACTTTATTGAAATCCCTGTCCAAACCATTAGAACCACCTTAAAATGGTTGACTCCTGGAAAAATTCCTACTGACCACTGGTCTTACTAATGTTTGTGTTCTTGGGCAAACTGAAGCTGTTCTGTCCAATTCAGTTCCTTCGACAGGGCGAAAAGCCATTAAGCCAGTTCATTAACATTTTTTCAAAAATTTGTATTCTTCAAACTTTTGGAGATGATAAATTGCATGAACAACATGAAGGTGACGATTTTGTAAAATTCTCATAATCATATAAAGAATCTACTTGGATGAGCAAGAAGTACTTTATATCAAGTCCTGAAATAAGATTATATTGGATGATCTACCTGAACAGAAACCGAAAATGGAAGCAGTTGAAGTTTGTTTAAAATGAAGTTTCACAATTACTCTGAATGCAGCGGCAAAATAATTCTTCTGGTTCATTTGATTAAATTAGGACTTTTTTAAAGTGCATTTATGGCATGTTGGCACAAAGCATTCAGGAGGTTCAAGAATCAAATTTAAACCCGCATATTATGCTTGTTATCAGTTTGATTATTGTTTGAATTTTTTTTTATAAGAAACATAAAGAATTAAATTGCATTTTTGATTTTTATTGAGAAGGATAATAAATTGCCTTGAGACTAAAAATTTACACAAATTTATAAACAACTTTTATTTCATTTATAATTTAATGTATTTTATTAATATATGTGCATCCATCCTTGTCTTTTATTTCTAGAACGTTTTCCGAATGATTTTATTTCAAAGTTCTGATCATTTTTACTCATCGTAAAAAAAGTGTTTTGTTTTTTATATATTTAAGTGTGTGATTATTTATTCATATTTATTTATTTTTTTAAGTTGATAGCTAATTTGCTTTCTTTTCTTTTTCTCTCTCTCGTAAATTCCAGATTCCGAGAAATTTCATGAAATGATTGCAGCCACGACAAAGCCTGATAAAGATATTTTAAAACTCGACGATGATGCTGAGTTCCCTCCAGTGATCGTTAAGAGCGATTGATGTGACACTTTTTAAAAACAAACAGCTTTTAATAAAAAAGAAGTAAATAATTTATTGTTTTGATTAAATAATAATTATTTTTGTGTATTAAATAACTGAATTTATATTGGTTAAGTGAATATAATTATTCTAGTGTTTGTTAGAAAAAAAGATATATATACATAATGCGAATTACCTTGTCTTTACCAACATGCGCCATTTAGTTTTTCTTTTCTTTGTATTTTCTTTTGTTTTTGTGTTTGTTAGTAGAAAACGATGTTTCATTTGTTTAAGGGGAAGATAGAAAAAACAGGCAGTTGTATTTGTGATATTTACAAAATTTTGTATTTAATAACTTATTTGTTAAAGTCAAACATTTTTTTTTTATAATTATCAAATAAAAACAATTTTTGTACATAATTTGTATACATAAGAAGCTCGCTAATCACGGCTAGAAATGTTTCTCTTTTTCGATTTTTATTTTTTAATTTAAAGAAAATAAAAATAAATTAATTATTAGCATTGTGCAAACGCGTAATCAAAAACGTTTTGCTACTTGTACAGACCCTTGTAAGCATCTCTAAAATAAACCCTTAGGTACTTACTTGTGTATATACGAAAAAAGGTTCGAGGTGGAGACTTATGATTGTTTTCTTATAGAAATTTAGTGCTTAATATTTTTTACATTTATGCAGTGGGAAAATCTGTAAACACCACTTTCGTTTTGTTTATATACATATATATAATAAATTTAAAAAATACATTTATATATGTATATGATTTATTGACTCTTAAATAGCTTTGTCAAATATTATTTGATTGTACAAAAATAAAATTTTGCGAATAAAATCAAGTTTTTTTTACCTTTACTCCATTGTGACTATTTTTTATATTTGATAGTAATGTTAGATACTAGGAGTTGAAAAATTATGGAATTTAGTGTAAATAGTATAGCTCATATTCAGTCTTTTCTACCAATGGTAGTTTAAGCAGATATACAATTTTGTTATCGAATAATTTACAATCCAAGCTCATAATTTGTTCAAAGTTTAACATATTTTTATATTCTACTTTTAATGGAATTTCCTTACTATAATATTGGGAGATTTTAGTTAATTGGAATAGAAGTTCATGTGTGGAAACAATACTTCAATGCAAAGACCTCTTTTGAATCTTCTATAATAATGACTAATTTTTCATAAATCCTATCTCTTTAATTGATTAACTTACAATATTTATTAAGTGTCTATCTTTACTTCTTCGTTGTTATTAGAGTACTTAACAACTAGGTTTTTATCGCTATATAGATTATTTACTATACTAAATACATATCATACACATATAATTGAAGTAAAAAATTATCAATCTCAAAATAATGTATAGATGTGTGTTCTGACTTTTCATTCTAGCTTCCTCTAGTTTGGTATTATTCCAGGATTGGTTGTTATATTTTTAATGTCAATTCCATTTAAGAATGCAAAGAGCTGGAAGTACCTGGAACATCAGAATTGTAAGTCTGTTTTCGTGTTCTTTAATATTTGAAATGTGTATTTTATCCTGAGTGTTTTTGTGTTTAGGAACAATTCTGACTGTTTTTAACTTTGTGTTTATAGATTTTATTCTGGCTGGGTTAAATTTTGTCTCTTACTTTTTGATTGTTTTTAATGTACACAGTGTCAGGTATCTGTGGAAGTGTTTCTCTTGTTTCGTTCAATTTTCCTATAGACCTTTCCTTATCTTTGGTCATATTTTCATTTTCGTATAATAGTTTATTTTATATTATGATTCTATATAATTATTTATTAGTTTTTGGTTTAAGTCGATATCAAATTGTTTACTTTTATCGATGTGACTGTACGTATCTATATCTATGAGCCCCATTTTATCCGTATCACTGAGTTTTCCCATAAAGCTGAAAGCAAAAGGAATCTAATTGAAGATTTGTTAATCTTTTCTCTTGCAACTTTATCCCTTGCAACGCAGTCTGAAAGGGTTACAACCCCTTTTCATCATTTCCTTAAATGCGATCATTGTATTCAGAACTTCCCTTGTTGATTGTTTATTTATATAAGATCAAATCTGCACTGAGTTGACCACTTCTCACAGTCCACCGGCAATTCTAGCTTTTTTAACCGGCAGGCCTCAAGAATCACCCACCGTGGTTTTTGGCAATCCGGGGTCAGACCTGTCTTATCCATCCAGCTGTTAGATCGGAAACGTCGAGGCTACAAATACATTGCTGCGCAGACATCTCATCTTATTGTTTGAATGTCGTTTTTCGACATTTTACCACGTCTAGTGGTTGGTCAGTGCTTTCTCCCTTTTGTATGTCCTTATGTACACGTTATATTTGCTTTTAATCATTGAAGATTATAAGTTAATTAATGTTTTCTACGAGTATAACATTTTTGACGAAATAAAACACCAGATCTGTAAATAATCAAAATGTGTTTGTGTGGATACTAGTATTAACATTGTGTTGGTAAAAAGCGTTGTCAGGCAGTAAAACGATTTTTACGCTAGGTTAATAGGCTTTTTGTCTTTATGAAAATTTCCCTTTCTTATTCAAAAATTACAATCAGGCACAATAGTTCATCCATGTTCATACAAATATCTCAATAAGTTATAAATTTCCAAATATATAATGAATCCATGATCGAAGAACTATTTAAATATTCTCTATTGATAGGTTGAAAAATTCCAAGTTCTCCGTGGTTGAAAACCTCTATTCAATTTAGTAAATTACATGTACGTTTTGGGCTCCTGGCCCATCATCAGAAACTAAACATAGAGAAATCTCATGGTATAATTTCCAATGTGAAGGCACACCTATCAGTAATTTCCAATTTTTTAAATAAAAGTATTTATACCTGGATTATGCCAATGAGATATATATATTATTTTTTCACCCCCTTTATTTGTTGAGGGGAATGTCGTCATATTTAAGAGGTCTTGTTAAAACAGAGACCACTTGACAATCAAAGAAATTATTAGGGATTTATCTAACAATCACCCACCTCGTGGTTAGGCACCAGGGGATATCAACAGCTAGTCATTTCAGACCCTCTCTCCCACTCATTCTTAAATATATTCTTTCATTTAAGTAGATTGGTGAAGTATTCGATATTATTCCATCACCCTCTACACGTATATATAACTAACCTTGAGGTTTGATGGGGACCCAATACATTCTCATCACATGCTAGGGGCACAAAAGTGTCATTACCATTTACAATAAAACAACCCTATTTCCTCTTAGAATCGGACAAGGGACCCAGGTACTTTTTGCTCAAGCACATTTCTTACACACTCTCTATATGGAGCCAAGGAATTGCACCGTTCAGGTCAGGTGAGACACATCGAGCAACCTCTCTGCGGACTGGACATATGCGAGCTTTGACCTAAGTGTGTCAACCTCGCATGGCTTAATCTTAGTCAGATAAGGATGACCCTTCTTCTAAGAGGCAGGTTCTCTGAGGGCCACCTATAAACAATTCTCTTGATACATGAGATGTTTTTTATTGCATTTTTAACATCATAGTCCGGAGGTTGGGACATCCCTGGCCTTAGCTGCCTTTTCAATACTCTGGGTACCCAGACAACCATTGCTGACACACTACAGTTCATGATATCCCCCAACAAGAGCACAATGGGAGGGTCACCAATCGCAGAGAGAAATAACCAGTTAAGGGAGTTGGTGCAGACAAGTTAAGCAGAGCCACCATAATCTCAAATCAAGCATGTATCAAATCTCATACAATTCCGCCTTATGAACACTACTGTGGTGGGATCACCCAAGTGGACCCTCACCCTTGCCGATCTTAGTTCTTAAACCAAAACTGGCATACCTCAATCTAAACTAAGAACTTAGCTTGGTGAAGTAGGCAGGGCGGGGGACCGCGGTAGCCGAGTGGTTAGCATGAGAGACTCTCACGCCGCGGTCGTGGGTTCGATTCCCACCGTTGCCCCTGGCCCTTTTTTCCCAATAACCCCCGAAATTTGAACACACATATACGAATTTGTCACATGGCTAATATGCATAGTTCATAACGCCAAAAAAAAAAAAAAAAAAAAAAAAAAAAAAAAAAAAAAAAAAAAAAAAAAAAAAAAAAAAAAAAAAAAAAAAAAAAAAAAAAAAAGTAGGCAGGGCGGAGTAGATGGCTTGTCAATGTGCTAACTGCCTTTTTATCTGTATATGTTGTGATATCTGCCAACCCTTTTCTTGGTTTTTAATCCAACTACGGTCTTTCTAGTCGTTCTTACAGTTAGTACTAGAACTATCCTCTTGGGTATAAAAAATAGAAAATACTTTTTTTTTTTTTGAACATAATAAATTGTTTATTATCTTTGTAGTACAGTTTAACAAATATACAATTGATATATATAAATAATATAAATTAAATCCTGTTTTAATTGAAATGATGGAAGAAGTGACGCCTTTGCTAAAGCATACTAAAAGAAAGGAGAAAAAAAAGGAAAACTGTGCTAATCAGCATATCAAATGCTATTTGCATAAAAAGAAATAATACACAATAAAAACAGATAAAAATGATAAACTAAAACTAGTAATGTTCCTTTTATACACTCAAAAGCACAATATAATTTTTTATTTATTTTACTTTTTATCATTTAACTTTAAAGCGAATAACAAAAATGACTCGTCTTTGACATGTCATTGGATGAGCTTGAAAATGTTATGAAAAGCTCTTGTTCAATGTTTTTTTTAGTTTAGCGACTTAGATTAATCACTTGGGAGAAAGACACCCAATAAAGCTGAATAAAACTTACAATATTTTATAGATTATCTTTCCTAATTAGAACGATAAACATAAATATAACCTTTTTATATTTTAATTTGACAATATAAATAGATCACAATGATAATAAATCACTTTACTTTTCTTTTATTGTGCAGTATTACCATGAGGCACTCAAATAAATGTGAGAAAATGCGTTATTAAATTTTTTCTCTAAATACTTTCTGACGGTATCACATTTCTTATTTATTTACAGTAAGGATTTTTTAAATTATTTTTAATTTAAAATTTAAAAGAATGTTGGCTACAAACTTCAAACCAAACTCATTTTAATTAATTAATTTACAATAGAGTAATAACTAATAAAATAAAAAAGAAAAAGATAAAAGTTTCTTCTAAAGAGAGCTTATATTACAAATGCAAATGACTCGAGTTGGTAAAAAAAAGAAAAGAAAAAAAATACTGGACCAATGTCAAACTTTGTTCACTATCTTTAAAAAATTACAATCGTAAAATTCAGGTGACTTTTCAGTTGTCAGAGATTAGTGCTTTCCTTCCGTGTCGGGGAGACCACAGGGGGAGGAGGAGGTGTCGGCCTCGGTGGCCTCCTTTCAAAGCCTAAAAAAATATGTACAAAATCCATGAATGTTATTAAAGACTAAATGTAAAAAATAAACCAAACCAATGAATATTATAAACATTTTACTAATTTATTATCGATCATTTCGGTCCTATCGCCGCTGTCATCGGTCTGTTGAAAATGATTGCTAATAAACTTCAATCCACTCAGGAAATTCATCAATCTTAAAAGCATTTTACACTTTAGAGTTGAAGACAAGTAGTTTAATTAAAGATTTTTTAACTATTCAAGATTTAAATAGTCACAAGCTAAGCCTAATTTTATTAGTAAAACTTGAAATGCATGCTAGTTATTTATAACCGGAAAAACTGGCACTTCACTACAACTCACCGAGTTCTACTATAGGTATATAACTCAGCTCATCTTCCTCCTCTACAAAAATTTAAACTGTTACTAAAAAAACTAAACCATCACTGTTACCATGATCATTTCTTTTTTAATTAAACTTAATGTAAATAGCCTGAGAGGTGAAAAAAGAGGCCACCCTTAATATTTTAAATTATTTCTTAGACACATCTTCCATTCATAATCTTACAGCAATATTTGGTCCATTTTAAAGAATTAGAGATAAATAAAACATAGATAAACTCTCGCACTTTTGGATTTTGTATCTTTGAATAGTCATAGTTGTTTGAGCGATGGTTTTAAGTGATACAAATTCGGCTAGAATCATAGCATTGTTGGAATATGGAAGAAGTCAAGCATATTTGGCCAGGATGCTTAATCCCAGAACAACTGTCCGAAGGGTCTTCCATCCCTAACAAGATATTGGAGGTTACTCAAGAAGACAAGGATCAAGTCGCCATCATGTCACATCTCAGAGAGATGATCGTTTTATTGTTTTGAATCTACTCCGTAATTGACATTCTACCGCTGTTGAAATCAAGCGACTTCAACAAGTTAGAAATGTCAGTTTACGCAATGCAAGACGAAAACTTTCAGAAGCTGGACATGCGAGAAGGCCTTTATTGTCTTAAAAAATAAAAATTTATGACGATTGCAAGTATTTACTTTAAAAAAAAAAAAATGAGGGTGGCCAATTTTTATGCCTCTCAGTGTTTGTATATGCTAGAGGATTTTACCAGTGTCAATTATACATCCTTCAGAAGCAGCTCTCTGATGTCCTGATTGATTACCAAGAGACTCCGGTTTTTTCGGTTTCTCAGGCTTCTCGCCACTCTCTCGTCTCTCTTTTGGCTCTGAAAAATAACAATAAATATTTCAATAAGTCTGTTTAAAATCAGAATTTGCTCCCTTGAGGAGGGCTGTAAACACATAAACAAATAAATTATCCGAAATTAATATTTTTTATATATAAAAGTCTGTGTACCTGGTAATTTATTATCGGCAAGAACTTTATCGCTTTGTATTTGAATGATAGCAACTTGTTTTTTATCCACAGAATACATATGAGCCCTTTCTAAGCTTCTGCCTTCACCCTGGAAATTTTTAGAAAATAATTTATATTAATATTCAAGATATTCCAAATGAGTATGTTCATTGACCATACAAATATTTATTAAAATCTAGAATATGATGAGAATTTTTGAAAATATCAATTATATTCAGATATTATTTTAAGTATAAATTAATTAAAGCTTACATCAGGTGATGATTCAAGAACAGGCCTGTTTAACCTGAAAGAGAGACTCTGTGGTCTTTGTAAACTATGCAAATTAGCCGGACGTTCAGGTATAGCGGGTCTTTCAACTTTTTCGCCGTCTATAGACGTCCTGGGAGCAGGCTTTGGTGGCTTTTTCCTTTCCATTGTCGCATAAATGCCCTCTTGCGTGTACTTGACCTTCCGTACATCCTCGCCGGACTTAGACGTCCTTTTATCCAAGACTCCGAGCTTACGGTTCGACATGTCGCAATTTTCCCGCCGTTCCGAGTCTGAGAATTCATCGAAAGACGGTAGATCGAGTTTCTCATTCAGCCTCGACGCTTGTTGAAGGTTGACCTGTTCGATGGCTTTCGTAGGCGTCTGCGTCTCTGCGTCCTCCTTCTTGCTCTCTCGTGTGTCGGTTTTCTTGTCGCACTTTGTAAACTGCTCGATTTTCGCGTCGTCGTACAATTTACTCTTTGGCCTGTCCTCTTTCGCCTTCTTCTCTTTGGCCTTTTCATCGTTTTGATGCTTATCGTCTTTATATAGATGAACAGGTGGTGTCGGAGCAGTAGATTTGTGTTTTCTAGACCTGACAGCCGGCTTCGGGCTCCCTTGAGGAGGGCTGTAAACACATAAATAAATAAATTATCCGAAATTAAACACAAATTAAATTTAAAAATATACATATTAATTTAATAATCTCAATTGTTGTATTGGAAATAATAAAACAACTAAAAAAATCTTAATAAACATATAAACATCCCAATAAAACATTAACATTCAAACATTCAATAATTGTTATTCCTTTTAAAAGTATAAAAATGCATCCTAGCATTCAATAATCCAAGCACTAAACAAAAATTTAAAAAACTATAATTTATGATTAATATTAACAATTACTTTTAATACTTTGTTATATTGAAAATTGTATCCATATTTGCCAATGTTAGAGTTGGTTTTTTTGTGTTCTTTTCTAAACTTGCTATCATTTTTAACCAATTTACTGAAGTTGACCAATAAATGATTTTTTTTTAATACTTCTAAGCAGTTCATGTTTAAGTTTATTTGGTGTTGAAGGGCTATTGTGTTTTTATTTATTATGTTTATTTATGACAATTATGAACGGTTGTAAATAATCAAATATTTTATTAATATTAAGTTTAAATACTTTATGGTATATCCTTGATCAGGCAAATTGGGCGTTTGAAGATGCTTGGCCAAAAAAGTATACAGTGAAGCTTCCCTTAACGGACACTTCCCTCGAAACAGGGCAAAGACATACAGATCTACTTATCTAACATCCTTTATACTGAAAAACTTGAGCGGCTAGTTGAAAGAACATGTAAGTATTTGATAATACTCATTTTGAAGCAATGATCATATCACTGAGACGGCGAAGAACTGGCGAAACCTACTGCGTGGATATGATCAATGCAAAAAAAGCATAAAACTTTTTAAAAAATACTGTACTTAAAAATACACTCAATATTCCACAAAAAAGTAGAAGTGTCGAGAGTCTGCAGAGGAATATTCTTGTCTCTTGTCATGGTAGTGGATGATTAAGCAAAACTAAATGAAACAGAATCTATATCCAAGGCTATGCAGATGACATTCAAGAGGAAATTTTGCCTCAACATTAAAAGAGCAACAATGTTTAAGTGCTCATCACAGAGACTTAAATCAAACCCCCAAAAACTATACTAATTGTCTTTCAAAAAAAAAAAAAAAATTGAAATACAAGGATAATCTTTAATAAGAGAACCTGGAACCTTCACTGCATATCATCACAATAAGCAAAATATCTGTTATGGCCACAAGAATTAGCCAAATCTTGGGGATTAAAACAAAAATGGCCCTGTAAAAAGACCCAAAATAACCTACGGCTCACTAATCTGGTGGACAAAGCTCAACAAAAACAAGTTCAAACATTAGGCAGCATAAAAAGATTGGTAAATTTATTATGTATCACAAGGAAAACACTGCTAAAAATCTACCTCCCTTGAAAAAATTTTACAAACAGAAGCGAGGGAAAGCTCTTTAGGCTCCAGAAACAATCTAACTAAATGCTTCGGGCACACAATAATAATTGATAAAATCAGACAACCATTCTTAGAAATGGAGACTGACTATACGATTTATGTAAATTCAAATGTTTCCTTTGTTTGATCAAAGTTTGTTAAAAAAAAATATAAAAAAAAAGTCTCTTAATAGAAAGTGACATAACTGCGCTACGGTTTATTCACACGTGTTTAATTGGCCAGTGCTAGTCACTCGAGCCTGAGTATACCAGTAATTAGACCAATTCCAGGGATATACATAAAAACCGTCGACTATCTAGAACCACCTATGAATATACTTTCAAGCGATTTCCAAAAAGAGTGAGAAAATAAATTTCAAAAAGTGAATTATGAGAATGACAAGTGTAGTGTCCAGTTGATTTGGTCCAATTTTGGCAATAATATTGAATTGTTCAATGCTAAAATGTATAAAAACTATTAACACTAAAGCAATAATTTTAGTTTATTTTTTAATTCAGAAATTAACTTTTTATTCAAGAACCATACACATTACTTAAGTCCACTCGAAAAAATATATAAATGATACAGTTAGTTGATAAATAATTTACTTTAAGGTTAAATCGTAGCAGTGAGACATTTGGATTTTTAACTTTTATTATTTTTTATCATGTTAAATCTTAATTATACATGATTTTTTCTAAATGAAAAGTTTGTGCCACAGGCGAGATTCAAACCCAAGACCTTCGGCCTAGATTTTCATATAAAATTATAAATTTAGAGAACAATTGACATATTCTAGACATTAAGTATTTATATTTGATTCCATAGACCTAATGAATAAAATAATATTTTGAAGAAAAACTAATTTATTCTGGGACAGGAGTGTCCCTTTAGAATAATCTGTAGGTTAAAGTAAAAATTATTACCATTTTGATACAAAAATAAACCTTGTCGTGGTGATCAACATAAAAACAACGGACCTATAAGATGGACTTTTAGAAAAATAATAATTACCGTGTAAATTTAAATTGAAGTTAAATAGACTCAGTTTGGAGGAAGAGGAGACGCATTTACAGGAGATTGTCTACAAGAGGTAAGAGAATTGGCATTGCGATAGTTAGGGGGAGGGAGTTCCAGAATTTTGGGGCTCGGACAAGCAAAACCATAAGTTGCACGTTTTGTACTGGGGAGATGAGCGCGTATTGCAGGAGAGGAAAGAGGATTTGAATCGGATGAGCTGAATAAAGTAATGAGGACGATGGGTGTTATTGGCCTGGTAAAGGAAGGAATCAAGGAAAATTCAACTTCAGAAAGAGGAATAGAGCCAGGATAGATCCGAATACAGCCGTGATATCCTGGACCCTCGGGGGATGCCGAATATAAACTTGGCACGACAGTTCATTTATCTTTTTAGGCGCTTATTTTCCTTATTAATTATTTCTTATTATTTTAAGATAAAAATTAATGTTTTAAATGTTAAACTTTTTTTAAAGGAGAAAGATAACTTCAAATTGTTTAAGCACTGAGTCATACAAATGATAATGGCTCACTGCTATTATCTAATTAAAAAAAAAAAAAGGATCATTCTCCAACCACTAACATTCACTAATCTAGAGAGGAAATGTTAAAAAAATGGGATAACAAAAGCTTTTGTTAAAAAAAAAAAGAAAAAAAAAACAGAAAGAAAATTACAAAATAAAATAAAACAGCTAGACAGTTTTCCGTCCGACTAACATTTAATAAAGCTATCACTAACATCAGACTTCACAATCCCATTGGAAAATGCCTAAACACTGTACCTACCAGAATAGCTTGTAGCTCGAAGGCCGAAATCCGTGTTGTTTTTTTCTAATAAAAAGCACAACGATTAAACAACTGGTTCATTTAATTTGAACGGATTGAGAAACCCTTTTGACCGCAAAATGGTTATTTTTAAAGGTAAAGAACGAATTTGGTGGGAGGGCTATTTACCTGTTGTGATCAGACAGGCTGTCATTCGACTGCGCCCTTTTAATATCCGTCGTAACTTCGCTCTCATTCTGATGCTCGTTCATTACTCCGTTTTGAGGTGCTTCAGACCGATTGAACTGGATTGTCAGAAAAAATTCCATTTCTAAAAAATATTAAAATATTAACAATTTGATAAAACTTGAGGATAAGATTTGCCGTAAATCTTCAGTAAATTAAAATGAGACTTACCTCCAGGAAAAAATAAATCAGCGTAAGTCACGAGTGTTACAACTATCACACTATGAAGGCTTGCTACATTCATGTTAATACTGTAAGTAAAACCCAATTAATTAATTTTTATATACATAAATGATATACAAAAAAAAAAAAATACGTACCCTAAACTCTCACTTTCTTTCTCATTCCAAATCAAATTTGGAGCCAGGACAATTGCTATATTTTGAGGAGTCATTTTATTCGTTTCTTTACTGTTTGCAAGACTTGAAAAAAACTTAATTAAATAATGAAGATTGTCGAAATTGGCTTGAGGTAGGCTATTGATGACAGCGCTCATAGCCTTCAAACCGTCTTTTGTATTGCCATTCGTCAACACCCTATATTTTAAATAGATATAGTAAAAAAAAACCTTGAATAATTTTTAAAAATTACCTGGCAGCAGCCATCCACTGGTCGTACAACGCATTTGTAAGCAGAGGCTCTGGCAGTTCTCTCAAATACGATTTCAATACACCGGCAAATACGTGCGGATCCCTGTACTCCGTTAATGCAGTGTGGAGCTGGAGGCATTTAGCGTCGAGGCTTAGTTTCATCCTCCGCAATTTTGAAGCTCCTAAAAAAAATCCAAATTCAAATAAAACCTTTTAATTTTAAATTTAAAAAAAAAAAAAAATGACATACCAGGTGCTACCCTGAAAAGTCCTTCTTCAGCAATACCAGTCAGAGCTATAATACCACAGACACAAAGCTCAATCGGATATGCTATTTTACGTCCTGTTACCCTTAAGTGATCCTCAAGAGGAAGGCCAAAAACCTTTGAATTGCAATTTTCTATTGACAAAACACAAAAGTTAAAAAAAAAATAAAATAGTTATTTTAGGGCAACGTACTTATTGTTCCCTCCATTTCTACGATAAGCTCATTTAAAAACGCACTCGCTGTATCATGGTGTTGTTTTTGCAGTATAACATACTGTAGCAGTGTAGCCGAAAGCTCGGCTTCTTTTGAAAGCAACTGAAAAATTTCACACGCAAGAGTATCCTGAAAAACACAATTTTAATTTAGTCGATGACCGGTTTTGGTCTGCGAGTCGGTGAACTCATGCCGAACCGGCACAGGGTCGCACTGGGTCTGTCTCCACTCGTGGGTTTTTTAATTATAAAAACATGTTTCAGCACCGAAATGTGTCTGAATAAGTGGAATAATAAGTGACCCTGTGCCGGTTCAACATGAATTTTAATTTATTTCACATTTTGACATCAAACAATGTCCATACCCTGCATTGTTCAACTTTAGCCTCTGCTTCTTCCCATTCTTCTTTAATAAAATCTACTTTAGACCCGGGCGCGGCATTTCCATGTTTGGTAGCCTGGATATACCTGTAAAGAAACAAATATTCAAAATAACTCATTTAAATTTAAAACAATTTATTGTTGAAAAGATATTTAATTAAAATAAGTTTTGATTGATTAGTCACATTAAATTAATAATTTATAATCGTCAAAACAAATTAATTTTATATATCATGAGTTCTTTTTACCTTGTTTTTGCCGAGTCCATGTCAAGAATAAGTTTAGAGAGTGTTTTTTTATGCTTTAAAATATTTGGGTAATCATTTTCGCATACGTTCAGCAAAGGGTCAATAATTTTGCTCTCGACAGTCATCTCATGCGAGACGATCGACTGCCCGAGAGTGAGCTGTATTTTGCCGCAGTCGGTGACAATTTGCCTGCAGAATATATACAATTAAAATTTCAACAGGAAACAATTGTAACAATAAATTAAAAGTGGAGGAGGGGAATTGATGACGATGATAATGATGCTAATAAGTACTAGAATAACATTACAATATTTCTATCAATTGTACTGAAGGTTGTTGAACAATATACTGCAGCAGGGAATTTTCTTTATTAACAGAACATTTTCAACAGCGTGATATGAGTCCTCTTCAGTGTAAAATTGTAGAATAAATAACAAGGTTTAATTACTATGTAAAAAAATATATAAATTTTAATATTTAAATTCATACGTCATTTAAAGAATTAATTTCAAAGTAAATGTCAAAAGGAACCAAAAAAAGAAATCTCCGGGCTGGAAATTGACCTATGACTCGAGAGAGTGAGGTAGTTTGGTGTTTCAACCTTGGCTAAAGTGTACACATCCTGACTCATAGCCCACTGATTGCATCATGTGATATCTTCAAGCATCAAATCGAGTTATTCCCAAGCTTTGATTAAAGGGTGGTGGAGGAAGCAATTTATATTGTAGCGTATCAATTCTGCACGTTACCTGAGCAAGTGGTCGTCATCGTGACGGGAAGCCAATTCTATCAAAGTATGGCCGAGGAGGTGTTCAGGATTTTTTTTCTAAACGAGAAAATCAAAAGAAAAAAAAATTAAAAACTAAATATGATTTTACAGCACATAAAAAATTAAGAAATCTACGTAAAGAAATTCCATACTGAGAACAATTTTCTGATGAAAATATTTTTACCAGTCTTTTTTCTATGTCATGTCCAGGGCCGAGTGATGGGTTGCCCAGTTTTTTACCAGCGGTGCTGCACACATTGCGGAAAAATTCTATCCTCTTTTCAGTGCCGACAAGGTCATAGGATAGCGCTTCAGTCTTTTCGGCTCTGAAAGAAAATTTAATAATTAGATTTAAAAAACTATTTAAAATTATGTGTTTATACAAAATTAATAATATTGATATCAACTGGTACTTGAAAATTATATATATAAAAAAGGGGTTTAACAAATCTGGTTCGTGTAATTTTAAATTAATTAATAAATAACGTTAAGAATTTTTTTTTTTTGTAAATCATTTGTGAGGAAATGCAAGCAAGTTGAAATGGTTTTTGATGACTAGGCGTAAAATTTAATGCACATTAAGAGAATTTTTGCTGCTGAGAAAACTCTCTACTGCTCTGTGCTTATTCATTATATCTTAAATAAATTATTTAGGGGGAAATCATTAATGTTTTGTTAATTTTAAACAGATAATGTTTAGTAATTTTACAAAATAGTTTATACAGGATGGAGGGAAAAAAGGAGCATCCAAGACTATTTCCCAGTCTGACATTAATAATTTATTACATAAACTGTATACATAAGCCAAATTTTCACCGCTTTAATAAAGAGCCAATCAAAAAATATTAAGCTAAGATAATCTATAAAAATGATATTTTTTCTAATCATACCGAATCCTCATGTTTTCCTTACATTTTAGATCCTTTTATACTTAATTAAAATATAAATAAATAATTACTTAAAATTAGAATTGCTGTTAATAATTGTCAAAAGTTATTAGTTTTTATATATAAAGCATAGAACTAAACATATTATCCACATATCTGTAAATTGCATGAATAATACCCTTCAATAGAAAACAAAATTAGATTTACCCTAAATTTGATAGAGAAATGATTAAATTTAATTACATTATTGAGTTATGAGTCATAGTGTGTGGGCCTGACAGGAATTAATGTAAGAATTGAGGAATATGTTTCAAAATAGCCTCTTATCTATTTGTGAAAGGCGAATAATTACCCAATTCAATGTTTTACCCGACTAAGAAATTAATTATTAATTATCCCATGGTAATAAGAAATTTATTATAATACAAAAAAAATCAGTCATCCAAAATAATCTAGTCAGGTTTTCTCTATTTAGTATTTTATCAAATAAAAGGGTCGATAAACTGAGAAATCGACCAATCAGCAAACAAACTTGTTAATTTACAAACAATCACGTCCGATTTTTGTGAAATGTTTACAGCTCTTTGTTCAGTTAATAACTATCACAATACTATGTGGTTTAGAGAGGTTGAAAAGTCAAATGGTAATCAATTTCGTCGTGGATTTTAATTTATTCTTAGTCTGAATAACAACCTGGGTAAAAAGTTCAAATTTGAACTGCAGTTTCAATTTCACTCGACCCTCCAGCACAACTGCAAGTTTTATTTCCTCCCTCAGAAGATCACAACATACCACTTCCTGTTGAGAAAATGTTACCACATGGTTTGTAAACGTGTCAGGGTTTCTTCAAATTCTTTTATCAGGATGTAAACATTTCGTATTCATTGATGTCAATCTTTTTCATACGTCCCTGTTCAATGAACCTTTTTTTAATTACAAGATAATCTTAAGCATTACAAATGTTGCTTAAAATCTTGCATGTTTAATGCTTGACTGTTGTAAAATATCTTTGATAGAATGTATTTGAATTTATTAGTGATGTACTATTTTTTCATGTAGTCTTTTTTTCATTTATCATATCCAGTAAAGTCTGCATTCAAAGGATCAACATTATAAAGACTTATATTTTCTTTAAGTCAATAGCAAATATTAAAATTAAAGCATGGTAAAATAAAATGAAATAAGGCCAGGATTTTTTTCCTATCAAACCAAAGATAGAAGAATTTGTAAAATTATTATAAGCTATCTAATCACTTATGCCAGTCCTTTTTTAAAAACAATTCGTACTAAAAATATTGCGTAAAAACTGGAATTACAAAAATCAACATTGGCTTGTTACCAAGTTAATTGTTATTGTTATATTATATAACACAAAAATTATAATTAAAAACATCACTTATTAACAATAATCTAACCTGAGAGGCCAAAATAAAAATAAAGAAATAATTGATAAATAATTAACATATTTATACAATTTTGCATTTGAATATGTAAATAATAAACTAGTGAAACAAGGTAAGTCAAACCATAAAAACACTGGATAATCACAACTCTATTTTCAATCTTTTTCATTATAAATTCTCAGTTTATAATTTAATATTACAAATAATAAGTAATAACGATATAAACTTTTTTATTTTGCAATTTTACCAATGATTGTATTATAAATGGTTTAAAAGAAAAATTTAACCCAGTAACAAACGGAGATTAAACACTTTCCTGACACATTGTAAGATTGTGATCGGTGTGAGATTTTTATACGGTTTGAATCTGATAATTTGTCAGTGTGTTTGTCTTTTCGCTGTCATATTTTTGCCAACATGATTTTTATCTAAAATCCAACGACGACTGAAGAAAATTCAATTCGATCAAAAGAAAAAACATGGAAATGTAACTTTTTCCCTTCTTCATTGCAGGAATTTTATGTAAATATTGTTTTGGCAACTATTTATAAATTATTACAATAATGCATAACATACAAATATTTATAGAAATTAAACCAATTTCAGACATGCACCGGTTGACATGCAATTTTAAAAACGGTAAAAGGCTATGGAAATAATCTAGGACAATGGGATTTTTTTTTTGAAGCCAACTTTATATGGAACAATGCTGGAATTTTATTTGAAAAAGTTGATTTTTCTAAATATTTATATCAATATTTTTTCATTATATAAAGCTGTTTTATTTGAGGTGGTGAACTTCAAATTCTGCCTGTAATCTGGGTTGGTCTGTCAGACCCGTTTGAACAATTTGCATCTTCAGTTTGAAACAAGTCAACCCAGTAAGAATAGGCAGGCTAAATTTCGTGTTTTTGGACCAATTCAGGTGGGAAAACTATCAGAAAATGGGATTTATCAGCTTTCTGAGATTGCGGTTGATGTAAGCTGATGTTTGAACTTGACTTATCAACTTAGCACTTTTGATATCACTCTGCCATTATTACATATGTAGCAAGTTTTATTGATTATTAACATTTTTATTGTATATTTAATTAATTGTGTCATAGGCTACAATTGGAATAAAAATGGGAAATCAAAATGAGAAGTTTGAAGCATGTGCAATCAAAACCATGGAAGGTCAAGTGGTAGAGCAACGAAGTATTTATCCAAAGATTGTTGGCTCGAATCCCTGTGACATAAATTTTTCATTTCAAAAAATTGTGTATAAGAAATATAAATAATTAGATCAATGTCAATTTTAGACCCAGTGACAGTTTGATCCAACCTAGAAGGTAAATGGAAAAATAATCTAAGCTAGGAAAATGGGAATTTTTTGTACCCAACTTTATATGAAACAATACTGAAATTTGGTTTAAAAATATCTATTTTCTAAATATTTATTATCAATTAATATTATAATATTGCATTTAATACTGTTTGCAAAACTAACAGAAAAAAAGGAGATTATCAGCTTTCTGAGATTGTAGTCAGTGTAAACTGTCATTATAGCAAATATCATCATAATCCATTTTAGACACAGTGGGAAGTCTAATTAACCGGGAAAACAAACATGGAAATAATCCAAGGTATGGTTGTTAATAAGTCAAGAATAAATAAATACATATTTAGAAAATAAACTTTTTTAAACAATATTACAGCCTTGTTTTATATAAAGTAGACCAGAAAAAAATCCCATTATTCTAGATTGGATTTTTTATGTTTTTTTTTCTCTTTGTCAGATTAAACTGTCACTGGGTCAGAAATGGATCATGATGACACTTCATAAGGACTGTAATTGCAAAAGCATAACAAGTTGATAAGTCAAGTTAAAGGATCAACTTATATTGACCACAAGCTCAGAAAGCTGATAATTTTTTAATTTATTTATATTTATTTTGTAATACTATCAAATTTGTATTACAAATCTAGGGCAAAATTAAATCCAGCCTAGAAAACTGATCGTCTCCATTTTTTCTGTTAGTTTTTCATTCAATGATACAACATTAATTGATAATAAATATTTAGAAAAATCAACTTTTTTAAACAAAATTCCAACCTTGTTTCATATAAAATTGGGTAGAAAAAAAATCTCATAGATCTTTTGACTTCACTTTGTCATTATGACATGTCATCATGATCCTGAAACATTTTAGACCTAGTGACAATTTAATCCGACTGAGAAGGCAAACAAGGAAATAATCTATGACAATGAGATTTTTTTTTCCAACCCAACTTTAAATGGAACAAAGTTGGAATTTCATTTAAAAAAGTTGATTTTTCTAAATATTTATTATCAATATTTTTTCATTATATAAAGCTGTTTTATTTGGGGTGGAGAACTTGAAATTGGTCGTTACCGATCGTTTTGGTCAGCCTGTGGACACGTTTCGACCCAGTGACAGTTTAATCAAATCAAGAAAGCAAATGGGAATAATCCAAACTAGGAGAATGGGTTTTTCTTTTAACTTTATTTGGAATGATGCTGGAATTTTGTATAAAAATGTAAAAAAAAAAATTTAATATAAAATCTTGAAATTTTAGCATATTTTCTTTATAATTGTTGTAGGGGAATAGAAACAAAACACTGGTTGAAATAATATAATCTGTTTTATATAATTTGGGTAATTATCAAGAAATTTGGACGTGTCCTCTCTGGGCCGGTCTCATCACGTTTCATCATTTCGCCATCTTCGGTATGAGACATGCCAACCCAGCGAAGAGCGAAGATAAAAAGGTCAAATAATCAACGTTGTAAATTACAGCCTGGATTTAATTTTTATAAGAAAAACTATCGGATTATCGGTTTCATGAGATTCGTTGTAAGCAGATGCTTCAACTTGATGACATCAATGCGTGCTTTTGACTTCATGCTGTCTGCTATGTAATATATGCTATAACATATGAATTATTACATGACATTAATATATGAATGTCGCTTGATAAATCTAGTTAAAATTGTGTAGTTTAAAAGAAAAAATCTTCAATAAAAACTGTGGGACTTTTGTCTTTTTAGGTTTTTTTAATAAATATTAGATTTTTGAGATGAAAGTATTGATTTTAAGGGATTCGAATTAGGAATCAGAAGATTTCGTTCTTGTATTTGTGAGGATAATTTATATATAAAAAACACTTCTGATTTGGCCTTCGTTGCTAATATTTTTAGCATATGAGTTCTCCCTGACACATTCAATCGACACTCGAAGGTGATAAGGAAATCGGGTGCTCAAAAAAATGATAAAATATAGAGGAAAAGGAAAACAAAAGTGAAAAATGTGGAGGTATGAATAAAATTGGCCATCGCCCAAGTCGGTTGGATGGAAATGGAACATTCAGTTGGAAACGGAACGAACCCTTCGGAGGGCTGTCAGGGACAGGGTGTTGTTTTGAAAACCTACCTCGAAAATCTTTGGTCAGCGAGTTGCTTCACCCTGAAGAACTGTTTCTTCATTTTTGTTGTCTTTTTCTTCCGTCGGCCGTCCGCTAACTCCAGCTACATCCTCCGTTGTCAGAGCAGAATGGATAACCGAGCCAGTCCTGGGACGAAAAACTTTGGTACATCTCCCGAGACTGATTAACGTCCACCCCGCCCAAGGTTACGCTCCAATAAAAAAAAGGGGGCCGATTGTAAACCGAATCTGTCCAATTGGTCGTGTCTGTCGCGAAACTCGAACGGGAGACGGACACTTGGCGGATTGCTTGACACGAGCCGGACAGGAGTTAAAAACCACCGACTTTTATCCCTCGTCTCACTGGATTATGATTAACCTGCCGCGGCGAACTAAAATAGAAGAACAACAACATCATTATCAACAGGCAGCGCTGCTTGACGCTCCCCTCCGCGATCGCCGACACGACACGAGACGTAACCTTCATTTAAAATTTCAAATCCAACCTCAGTACACAAATGTTCAGTAAAATTTGAAAATTTTTGAACGGAGCGGTTGGAAACGGCGACGTGGACGTCGGTCTCGTGACTGATTTCTTCGTCTCGATGCTCCGCTGGCTTTACCCCATTTTCTTGATTCTGTTGAATATTAAATTTATTCCAACGACCGACTCCCTGTAATGAAACTGTGGCGCATTAATTAAATTTTTCTTCCAGACCACATTTATATTAATTACTAGTTTTCACAATTCATCTTAAAAGCCTAGTTTTAAAATTGAACATATTTTCAATATAGATTCATTGAACTACACATACATTTAATTAAAAAAATTCTGGGTACACCATGCTCCACATTGTCACTGTTGCATCTAAACAAATCAAACAATTATTTTTACTGAGAAATCTCAAATGTAATGTATCTCAAAGAGTTTTAATTAATGATTATTTGGAGATCATTAAATGCAGTCCGATGGTAACCATAGGTTTAGAAAAACATTTTCTTTACCGTGCCAATGTTCTTTGATCTTTATTGAGATCATCTTCAGGGCCTGGGATTTATAAACATTGTTTAAATTATACAAATGCAGGATATGAAAAAATGAATTTGTACAATGCTAGAAATTCATTTTTTCATATCTAACAAGAATTTGTATAATTTAAACAATGTTTATAAATCCCAGGCCCTGATGATGATCTCATTAGATTGAAACGTTGGCACGATAAAGAAAATGTTTTTTTAAACCTACGCCACATTAAACCACATCTCACGATCTCCAAATAATCATTAACTAACAGTCACTAAACACCACACAGTTTTAATTAATATTTATTTTTATTTTTCCAATTGTATAATGTTTTGCCCTAGTGGTCACTAACTAAAGCAATGAGAATTTTACAGAATTTGAAATATAGGGAATGCTGCAGAGAAACATTTACTAAATTAAATATTATGACTTTGCCCAGTCTTACCAGAATTACAACGTGTAATGTATTTTACAAAGTGAGACTGTAAAAAATTTAATTCTGTATGTAATCGCTATATGAGAAAAAGTAATAAAATAGCTGAGTGGCTTAACCTTAAACTATGTGAAAACGCTTGTTTATATTGGGCTATATAATTGTTTAATAATCTACAAGATGATGTCAAACTGTTACCTGAAAAACAAAATTTAAACTTAAAATAACAAAATTCCAGTTTTTTTTTTTTCATGTATTAATATATGAACTCTGAGATAGCTCTACTTCATAAGGATGTTGAAGCTTTAACTAATATTTTCCTTATAAAGTTAAGTGCTGTCATGCTTGGAATTGTTTGTTAGTGCTGCATGGCATTTTTTATGTTTGATTCGACATAATATGTAATTACAAAACATCACAAATTTTAATATAAGTTATTGTAATAAAACGATATTTCTATAATTTAGTAACTTGCTAATGTATCATTTTTAGAATTTTATATGTCAGTGTGGAAAAAAAAAAAAGGGGGCTTAAGTAGTAGAGAAACTGAGTGACAAAATGAGTAACGCAGGAAGGGTCTGGCAGGTGATAGGATGAGGCCAACATATAAAAACTTTCTTTAATAAAAAAAATATTTATTTGATAACAGTTTCATAATTTTAACAGACTGTGTGTAAACTGTTATTGCAAACAATAATTATTATAAGCCAAGTAATTTCATTTAAACTTGAGAGCTGAGCACAATAATCCAAAAGATTTAAAATTCAGTTGACTGTCTTAAAAATCTCTGCCTAAAATAAAAAAATATATATATGTTATATTCATATAACTGTCTAATTTATTCAATTCTACAAAAGAAATTCTTTTGTATTGTTACTTAAAAGATTATTTTAGTTTATGAATTTGCTGCTTAATTACTCCATCACAGTTTGAATGTTACTTTTTTTAAAGTAGACTAGAAATTCACATCTTAAAACATTAAAAAACAAATTTGGTAATAACAAAACAGCCGAAAAATCAAAATAACGCAAAAAGATCAACATTTTAAATTAAAAATCTAAAACTAAAATAAATATTCTGTCAATGAACAAATTTTTTATAACCATTTGAACCATGAAAGTATCTTCTACTCCTTAGCAACAGATGTAGATTTTTGTTGTCAAGAACTCATTGTTAGATAGGTTTCATTTTAAATTGTAAAATATTCCAGTAAGTAAATATTTCTCAGACTATATTATAAAACTAGACTATTTTGTTAGTTGTTGTTTGTTTTTTTATCACAGACAATTTTGAAAATAAATCAGGTCCCGTGTATTTTGAGTTTCAGCTTTGGGTGTGAGATGTTAACAATTGTACTGCTGATATTAGCATTGATTCTTTAGCGATGTCCAGAGGAGTCTTTCCAGAGTTGTTCTTAATGTCACGCTTGCCATGATTTTCCAGAATGAGTTTGATCAATTTTAAGTTGTTTGTCTCTGAAGCGTAGTGCAAGCCCGTGTTGCCGAATGAATCTGTACTGTCAACGTCTACCGAACCAGTTTCTAATAGGAGTTTGGCTGAGTTGAACTTCTGGTTTTGGCAAGCGAGGTGAAACGGTGTCATTCCGGACTTGAACGTCTGCACGTTTACATCTGCTGAAACTCCTATGAGCAGTTTTATGAGTTCTGTCTGTCCATACTTTGCTGCTTCGTGGAGTGGAGTGAATCCTTCGGCATTGCAGCTATTGACGTCTAAAGCGTTTTTGGTGTCCAGTGGATTGAATTTCTTGTTTTTGCAGGAGCAGAGGGGATGACAGTTGTTGTTAAGACTTTCGTTGCTGTTCATCTCGAGACCGAGGTAGAAACAAGCGAGCGTGATATCGCCGAATGCAATTGCTCGGAGGGCTCTTTCTATTTTTCTTATGTCATCAGTAGACTTTGGTCTCACAGCTGATGTCTTTTTAACAGGAGATTCCTCATCTGTGAAATCTAGACTCTTAGATGTTATCGAAATGTCGCTTTCTATCAGCGATGTATCCATCTTCTGAATCTTGTTAGACGAGAGTTGTTCTAGAATATGAATATTGTTGGCTACATCAACCGGTGTCAGCTTCCTTTTGTTTTCTATCAAAGGAGAAGCCCCATATTCTAAAAGTATCGCTGTGATATTGGTAAAACCCCAACGGGATGCGTTGTGTAAAGGAGTTTCACCTTGGTTATTTAAACAATTGATGTCGAGTTTCTCCCAGGTTTGTTCAGTGAAATAAAGAAGGGCTTTGACACAAGATTCATGACCATTGGCAGCAGCCAAGTGTAAAACTGTATTTCCTTCATTATCCGGCTGATCAAAAACTGCTCCTGCGTGAAGCAAAATCAGAAGAGAATTCTGGTGACCTCTGGCACCGGCATAGTGCAATGCTGTGGCACCTTTGTAATCTGTTTTATTCAATTTTGCCCCTAATCTGACAAGTAAATCGACAATTTTCGGTTGTCCGTACATACTGGCAATGTGAAGTACGGTGAAACCCCTGTCATCACAAGATTGGATAGTCGGTGACATGTGCATACTAATGCTCAACTCTTTTTCACATCGGTCACAAGAACAAAGAGGATGGCACAAATTGAGCCCTTCTAGGCTTCCGATTCCGATGTCTTTCGTACCTAAAATTTCCTGGACTTTCTCTAAATTTCCTTCTTTGGCAAAATCGAACAGTGAGCTTAAACGAGAAGAACCCCGCTCTGCCTTTATTTTATTGTCTTCTAAATCATTATAAATTAACTGACTTTCAGGCTCTGAGGGTTCAACTTTTAGATCTGTTTTAATATAAGTTATGGCAGCTTCTAAAGAGGTGACTAAAAAGTTATGCTGGTTTCCATGAAAAGCGCTGTTTGAGAAAGAAAATTCCTTAATGAAAGTCAGGTGGGCGATCCAGTTTGGAATGCCAGACTTGGCCACAAGAAAGACCAACATTGGAAGGAGTTCGTCCGCGGCAAGAACATTCATCTGACTTAATGCAGCATCCTCGTTAGTGATAGCGACTATAGTTTTTCTTAAACAACCGACTTTACCGACGACGGTACTATAGCATTCAATTTTCTTCAGTTCAGAGCGTGCTTTGGGTATCACAACTTGAAATTCAGAACCAATTTTCAAATCTTTCAACTGTATGTCGTATAAATTCCTAACAATTTTGTTAAAGCATGCGTCTTCATAAGCAGTACAGGCTGATATACCTTTCATGAGCTTACCGTAAACGTTATGGTGCATATATGATTCTACACTGACTTTCGCATTGTCCAACATGTGTCTGTTCATGTACGTCTTCTCTCTCAGCTTTGAGTCTTTTAACGCAATATTTAGGCATTTGGTATAAAGCTCACTTATGGCGTCTTTCTGATCTTGGAGTGATTTAAACTCGAGCCTGTCATTCGCAGACAAGAATGTCTGTACCGCTTCGTCTATCCTCTCCAGGACTTCTTTACTGCTTTCGGTCCAAAGAAAATCGATGCAGTCTCGCAGATTGTGTACGGTGATTATTCCCGATTCTGTTTTAAGATCGTCTGAACAATGCTGTAATGGAGACTCGACACAGAGCACTTTGTACCTCAGCATGTCTGCGGTGTAGTAGGTCTCTTCAAACAGAACATGAGTGGTGAATGTCACCGCATCTTCGCTGTCCACTATGACCACTCTGTTGCAAATCCTGACCTCTTTGCCGTTGAGCGTCCTAAAATGCGTTTCGGGAAGTTCCTCGTTTGGTATAAGGACGTGGCTGAAAAAATCGTTGGCATCCAAGGCATATTTGGGTATCGAGTCCGCCCTGGGTACACAAATTATCCATCCTTCTGCAGTCGCCTTCGAGAACAAATCAAAATACTCGTTTTGGAGAACTTTGAAAAAGATGTTCTCGCTAAGATCCTCATCATAGTTGGATTCCATATCGTTGATGACCTTAAAAAAAAACTCGTTACATAACTTCCTCAAATGATGCCGAGCGTCAATCTCAATATAAAAGTTACCTCCCTACTCCCTAGTCCCTGCTTGGAAGTCCCTTCTCTGTCTCCCATAGATAAAAGATAATGAAATAAAATGGAAACTTCAAATATATAAACTATTAATTTCTTTTGAAATTTTAAAACTTTAACTCGAGTTCCTCCACCTTTAAATCTTCACACATAATAGTTAAAAAGATCTAAAAGAAGCAAAATATTTAACATATAATTGCAATATACAAGCCATAGATAAAAGATAATTCAGCAATATTCGAATGTTTTAAACAACAATTTACGAATTACTTTAACTCCAATTTCTTAATATTATTTGTTTATTGATAATATGTAAAAAAGGATGATGAAAGGGTGGTTTAAAATAAGAAATTGATTGAGCAAACATATAATTTCAATATACCAGCCATAGATAAAAGATAAATCAGCAATAATCAAATGTTTCAAACAACAATAATTTACGAATTACTTTAAATCCAATTTTTAAATCTTATCATTGATCTAGAATATAAAAATTAATCGAACATATAATTTCAATAAATAGTAAAGATAGATAATAAAGATAATGCAACACTATTCATACAGTTTAAACTAAGATTACAATTCATTTTAACGTCAACTTTTAAATATCTGCCCATTAACAATATGTAAAAAAGGATGGTTAAAATGATGGTATAAAAGAAGCAAAATATTTCTTTAACAAATAATTTCCATATAACAGTCATAAAATAAAAGATAATGAAATAAAATGAAAACTCTTCAAAATACATAAATTATTAATTTCTTTTAAAATTGTAAAACTTTAATTCGAGTTCCTTAAAAAGATCTAAAAATTGCAAAATATTAAATGAATATTTTCAGTATGCCAGCCGTAGACAAAAGATAAATCAGTTTTTTTTTTTATTTTATTTTATAAGGCAGCGATTAGCAATATTTAAATGTTTTAAACAACAATTTACGAATTACTTTAACTCTATTTTTTAAATATTATCAGTACATTAATAATATATATAAAGGGCAAAGAAAATATGGTCTACGAAGCAAAATATTTTTTTTAACATATAATTTCAATAGAACAATTTATTTTTCAATTATTAATTATTCAATTTAAAAGATAATGCAACAATATTCATACATTTTAAACCACAATTACAAATTACTCCAATTTTTAAATATTATCTCTTCATCAATAATATGTAAAAAAAGGCAATGAAACGGTTGATCTAAAGTAAGAAAATTAATATAACATATAATTTCAATAGATAGCAAAAATAGATAATAAAGATATTGCAACATTCTAAATGACAATTACGATTGTATGTAAAAAAGGCTATTAATGGGTTGATCAAAATAAGAAAAGTAATCCAACATATAATTTCAATAAATATTTAAATATTTGTTTAGTAGTCATAATTGACCATATTAATTATTCCAATTAATCATTCTTTTTATCTAAGGTTTTTCATCTCAACCAAAAACCTTAGATAAAAAAAAAGAATAATTAATTGGTATACATAACAAACATAAAGATAATGCAACAATATTCAAACATTTTAAACCACAATCATGTATGTATCTAAAAAATGTTATGAAAAAAGGCAATGAAAAGGTTGATCTAAAATAAGAAAATTAATCGAAATAATTTCAATAAATAGTGAAGATAGATAATAAAGATGATACAACAATATTCAAACATTTTAAACCACAATTACAAATTATTTTAACCCCAATTTTTTAAATATTATCTGACCAGTAATATTATCTAAAAAAGGATGGTTAAAATGATGGTCTAAAAGAAGCAAAATATTTATTTAAGATATAATTTCAGTGTAACATCCTTAGATAAAAGACAAATCAGTAATATTCTAATGTTTTAAACAACAATTTACGAATTACTTTAATTCCAATTTTTTAATATTATCAGTCATTAATAACGTGTAAAAAAGATGATGAAATGTTCGTTTGAAAGGAGAAAATAATTACAATGTAACAGCCATAGGCAAAAGATAAATCAGTAATATTTATCAGATATTCCCTTCAAAAAAGATAAAATTGCTTAAATTTCTCAAAATATAAAATGCTCTAAACTAAAATAACTAAAATAAAAATATTAGGTTTTGTTTATTTATCTACCAAGTTTAACCTTCTTTATGCAGTATAAATCTCACTCGGTGATATATAAAAAAAGAGAAAATAATTTATTTATGCTATTATTTATTTCACCTTAAATGTTTGATGGTTTGAATCAATTCATCAAGGACTGCACAAACAAAAATTTCTCATAAGAAATCAATTTATGGCATTATTTTTGGTCCCTTAGAGCAAAACTGGATGACAAAAAAAAAAATTCAGGACTGCATATTTAGATTTTTAGTGTAAGTAAAATTATCAAAATGTTCAAAGTGTCATAAAAGCCACATTGCGTTTAAAAGGCAGTAGTTTAGCTTAATTAATATTTATAGAACAAGCAGTTAAGTGGGCGTCAGTGGCCATAAGAATTAAGATGTTAATACAGCACTCATCACTGTAAAGTTATTTTTACCTATTAATTGATTTCAAAATTGATTAATTGATCAATGATCAAAAGTTTGTTCATAACTTTGTATGAATTAGTTTGAATTCTTGGATATATACCAAAATTATTTCCTTTCATGGCGAATTTTATTTTTTAAATCATAAACTTTAGAATTTGATATGTTAATTTTACTAATAATACATATAGATTTTACAGGGCATAGTTTCTACTTAGCTTATACCATGGCCGGGTTACAAAATGCTGAGGACATGTCTGTTCCATCCTCTGAAATGATAGACCTGAACGCTCCCAGCCAGGGTCAGATGACAGACTTTCAAGGTGATGCTCTAGATCAGGATACACTCTCAGATGAAATTGCTGGAACGGTGGGAGGCGCTTCACCGTCAGCAAGCATTTATGATTTCCTCGGGATCCAGGAAGGTGATAAAAACCTTTTATCTCTTCTCTGCACCAGCATCTCAGTTCAAATTGTGATTCAGATGGTTCCGAAGTCTCGGAAATCCCAAATGAATCGCCATCGCTACAGAGAGAGAAGCAGTCCGGGGAGTTGGAAGAAGAGGAAGAAGAAGAACAATTTTTGGATGAAAAAGCCGACATTAAAGAGGATGTAGTAGAAGAAGAATTACGGGTAGTCGAAGGCGAGGAAGAAGGTGCAGTCGAACACAAGGCAGAAGAGTACACATACATTGATGTTTTTGAGCTAAATGCTACTGGTGAAGAGATTCTAGTGAAGAAACTCGTACCTAGTAATTAATCTTATACATTAATGAAATTTATATCAAACCAAAATAATAATAACATTTTTTCACTCAATTTTAGAAATAAAAGAAGAGGTATTTATTAAGAAAAAGATGGTTCCCATCACTGTAAAATTCAACAGAAGTATGTAACATAAATTTTGTTTAATGTTCTTGTTTTTTAATTTTGTAATAATTTTAGTCGGTGATGGTGATGAGGTTATTGAAGAAGAAGAAACAGTGGAAGAAGAGATGAGCTTCAGAATTACAAGAACTACCATTTTAATAAAAGAATGTGTGAAATCCTTACATGCCTTAATCAATTTATCAATCTTCAGCAAATCTGACTTTTTTTAATGATTGTTTTCAGTAAATGAGAAAGGCGAAGAGGTTCTAGTGGAAAAAGTTATAGAAAAAGAAGTACTGATTGAAGAAAAGCCAAAAAAATTTAAAAAAGTTTATGGTATATTGATCTTAATTTTGATATCATCGTCTTATAAATTTTATATTTATATTTATTTAAAACCCGACAACGATATACTATCTATAATTTGGTCGTTACTGATCATTTCAGCGAGGATAAGCAGATCGAAATGATCAATAAGGACCAAATTACAGGTTCATCATCCCTCAGACCACTTGGACCAATCTAACAATGATATATTGCTTGTTTAAGTCACAAAAACATTACCAAATGGGGAAGAGGTCGAAGAGGAAATAGAGGTGCCAGAAGAGGAAGAGATAGCCATCAGGAAATCAAGTGAAATTAGTAGAAAAACTGTCCCAGAAGAGCATCAGGAATGTAAGCTTATTATTAAATGTTCATTTTTCATCCTTTATTGTTTCTAATTGAATTTAATTTCAGTTCTGGAAGAAGAAGGGATGTGGGAGTACCAGGATTACATACATGAATTCATAGATGAACAAGGTATTTTTTTTTTTAAATATTGCTAGTTATGTGGAAATTTAATTTCCCTTCTAGTTGCAAATTTAGAGAAATATATTTAATCATCAAATCCGTATTATTATTATTTTTTAATACATTTATAACAGTGCATAGTGTGTATGTTTTGGTAGTTAAATTGTTTTAAGAAATCCGAGCCAATTTCTTAAAATAAATTTTATTTTAGGGGAAGCTCATTATACCACTGGTGTTCGAAGGTAATGGATAAATATAATTTTTTTTTTAGTATAGTCTCAATTAAATTTATTTTATTGTTCATTCAACTATAGAGTATGGATGCAAAAACACAAAGAAATCCCTATGAATCTCCTTATAGCTGAAGAAAAACAATTTAAAATGGAGTTACTTGAGGAATTGAGAACTGTAAGAAAAAAGCTCAAGTTGTGTCGGCAAAAAAATAAATTTTTAGGAAAAAAACTATGCCAATATTACAAACTAAAAAGAGTGAGTTTTATTATAAAAATAAAATATTTTTAGATTAATGTAAGTAAATGCTTTATTTTAAAGAAAAATCTCAGGGATGAAAGGCAAAGACTAAGCCCGGAGACAGAAGAGTTACTGAGGAGGCAGTACCATCGTAGACTTTTAGAGTACAATGAAATACGACAGTTCTTGTTGAGTGAGAGGGAGTTGCGAAATAGTATACTCGATAACGCCGACAGTGTCACTACACAACTCAAGACTGAACTCGATTCGAGGATAGAATCATTCTTTGAAAGGCAGAGGGAAATAATAAAAAAGATAGATCCCAAAGTTAGCAAAATTGTGCTTCGAAATGTTGTAAGTAATCGAACCTTTGCTGTTTTTCTTCTTTTTAATTGCGATTTTTTTTCAAGGATTTCGAACAAATTGTCAACCAACAATTTAAAATGGACCAACTCCTGTCCAAAGTTAGGCACAATTATGTCAGGAAAATGAACCAGTTCACTGAACTCAAGCAGAAACATGCTCTGAGAAAGAGGACCAAGCCATCCAATAGGGAAGATGATGTCGACATTGTAACTTACGAACAGCTCAAAGTAGCGACGAGAAATCTACAAGACAAACTGGATATTAAGTAACAAAAATTAATTATAATAAATCAAAAATCATTACTTAATATTCATATACTTTATAGAGAATCATACATATTGTCATTGAAGGAGAAATTAGTCCATGCAGTGCAAACACTTGCTCATGTTCGGTTCAAAAATGAAGCAATCGATCAGAATCTGGATCAAATAAAGAAAGAGATTGTCGAATCCAAGAGAGAACTTGTTGAGGTAATGCTTTTATGATATCCTTCATTTTTATTAATATTTAAAAATAAAATTCACATTTTAGTTGAGAAATGAATGCGTCAAGATTCGTGAAAAACGCTCTAAAGTTATGGAAAAGGTGAAACAAGAGTGGGAGAAATTTGGCATAATGAAATTCCCGATCATCATAAGAGACTACTTTGAACTGATGGATGAAAAGGCCTTCCTCACCGAAGAGATTGTCAAAGTCAAAAATATGCTCGACAATCAGAAAGTATTTCTTGATAAATACAAAGAGAAGTATTATAAGAACAAGAAAGGAAAACAAAAATAGGAAAACTTGGCCGAGAAATTGTATTGGTATATTAAATATATAATAATATAAATAGTTTATTCATTTTCTGTAGAAACATCATTTTTTGTCAATGTTTCCGTTTCTTCTAATTTAGCATCATGTTTACCTGGGTATAAAAGAGGGAGCGAAGCACTGTAAGAAGAACCTTAAAATAAGAAAAAATAAACATTATACAACAACTATATTTATATGAATTATATAAACTCACCGAATAAAACCTGATTTAAATTTTGCGTAGTGCAGAAATACTGTTCTTTACATCCGGCAATTTTCCATTTTTCCTTGCTTTCAGAAGGAACGTCGAGGAATAAAAGTTGCTTACCACTTTTGCTGAAATTATTACTCAGCGCATTGAAGGTCTAGAAAATGAGTCGAGAATGAACATATTTATAAAATATCCTTGTGCATCAGTCGAACTTACTTTTGCCGCACTGTAATCGCTTCCTTTTATTTTTGAACAGTCTATCACAATTGGCAATGATTCGCCGTGATCGCATGACTCTTTTTGTGCAAGTTTCATTATCAAAGATGTCAAATAGTCGACGGAAGGAAAGTAAAGGCCAAGTTCGGGTCGCAAAATTACATACCCCCCTAAAGAGTTCTAAATAATTAATTCAAAATATATTAATATAAGAATAAATTTATTTATTAAAAAGCGGTATTTTTCAAAAATAAAAGATCAACTTTATTTATTTCTGTGGAGACTTCTGGCCGTGCCCATTTCTGCACGAGAACTGCCAGGCCTACTACAACACCAAATAATAGACCGACTTCCACTCCAAGGCACAAGCTTGCGACAAATGAAACGACCAGTGTTAAAAAGTCAACCTCTACGGGAAATAAGCATAAAAAAATAATAATTTAATTTTTAAGACAAATAACATCCAAACCTACTGCTTGCTCTCCACAGAGGTACGACGATTTCCCAATCGATCAGGAAAATCACTGCTGAAATCAGAACAGCGGAGAGGGTGGATCGTGGAATGTAATGGAAGTAAGGGGTGAGAAACTGCAAGGCAAGTAGAGTTAAAGTCCCTGTAAATGACATATAAATTTTTATTAATCCAACAAGATTTAATTATTAATATACACCCAACTACCTTTTCTTGGATGATTAGTATTAATTTTAATCTTTCAATTGATTAATCTTTATGTAAAGTATTGATTGAGATAAAAAAGTTCGACCTTCGGGTTTGGGTTCGAATCCCGCTCGTGACACTAACTTTTTTATCTCAACCAATACTTTACATAAAGATTAATTAATTGAAAGATATTATTTGGTCAATCGGACCACGAACTCTAGTGAATTAATTATAATATAAAAAAACTTTTCGATATTTTAGAAACAAGAAAGTGCAAAAAACTGGCTAAAATAGTTTATAAAGAAATATTTAATGTCTAATAAACAGTAAAAGTCCTGTTGCGCAGGTGGGCTTAATGTCTAATTACACGTTGGATGTTGAGGACGAGGGGTCACTATGATCTCCTCTAACAAACGATATATTTTTTTTAAAACTATTTTCTTGTAGTGTAAGCCGATCTACTACATTGGGCTTACATCTGGTCTATCTTAATATGGGTTAAAAGTAAACCAGTTGAAGTAATTATTAATGTAAAGCAATAGTTTCTTAGGAAATTTTTATGTTTTTTTATGCTAGGCTGTCTGATCTGTAATATGATGGCTCGCCAACCCAGTAGGAGACAAAGGAACATCTCCAAAAACCTTGTCGATAAGCAATGACCAAATAGTCTCAATAAATAACAAAAAAAAATGTATTAAGGGAATGTTCTCGTAAATTATGGACAGTGCTCATCAAGAGTCGCCATAAATTTGGGATCGCGTCAACCAGCTAGTATTACCCTAAACTTTACAAGGGACCAGAGGGCTGTGTAATGAAAGCACTCAGGGATTGTTAGGTATGGATGTGAATTAGGATTAGGTTGACGGCCAAGGGTCACAGAACTGACCCTTGCAAGAAGGCCTTTGACTCTCTTTTCTCAAGAATTCAAGAACAATGCTTTTCTTCATTTCTCCATTGTTTTGGGGACCAATATAAAAAGGGAAGATTGGAAAACCAAGAGGTCGAGGCAAAGAGGGCAGTCAAGGGTGAGTTAAAGAGTCAAGACCAAGTTAAAGGACTGAGTGGTGATTAGTGACTGTTAATCGATAATTATTCAGAAATAGCGAGATGCGGTTTGGTGTGATAGGTTTCAGAAAAACATTTTCTTTATCGTGCCAACGTTTTGATCTTTATTGAGATCATCTTCAGGGCTCAAAGTGTTTGTCTTCTATGTAATTGTGCGCCTGCTGTAGGCAACGACTGGAAGAACGAGCCGAAGATGTTGCTAAATTATAAAGTCATCATTTCCTGGGTAGCATCGATTGTTCCTCTGGCTGAATGAGTTTATTATTAAAATTTTACACACAATTACACAGAAGACAAACACTTTGAGCCCTGAAGATGATCTCAATAAAGATCAAAACGTTGGCACGATAAAGAAAATGTTTTTCTGAAACCTATCACACCAGACTGCATCTCACAATTTCTAAATAATTAAAGGACTGAGATGAATTGAGTTGAGTTGACTTACTAGCACAGTCCCAAAACCAAGGGATGCCAGAAAAGGCAACAAGAAGCTGAAAAATGTGGAGAATGGTGTTGGCGAGTGTCTTCTTTGGTAAGTGCACTTGTGAATAAGCTCACCCCTAGAGTTAGAGTTTTGGCTGACATATTTAACTAATTTTATCAATATAATTATTGAAACTGTCCATATGAATCTTAGCTTAAAAGCGTGGAGCACCAAATGTCCTCACCTGGCTGAGCATAACAATATAACTCATCTGCACCACTTACAGTAGTTTCTAATTATAACTCATTTAATTGCTGGGTTAATAAAATATTTACCACAGTATAAATTGGCAACAGGAGATCGTACGCCACTTGCGCTAATAACTGCACTTCTTGTGAATGCACCTGCTGTAGGCAACGATTGGAAGAACGAGCCGAAGATGTTGCTTAATGATAAAGTCATCATTTCCTGGGTAGCATCGATTGTTCCTCTGGCTGAATGAGTTTATTATTAAAATTTTACATTTTATGATAAATTTTTCTTACCAAACGCCTTTGCAATCGCGATATTTGCAAATATTGAAACAATTGGGATGACAAGATTGCCGGAGCCAAGCTCAATGACCATTTCTTGGAGGTTGTATGTTTTATTGCCGACTTGAGTCTTTATAGGGGGAAAACTCCAGGATGGTATCCCTGACTCAATGGATTCTTTGAAAAGATGATTTTTTTTTTAAATAACTTCTTCAGTTTTATTTTCATTTACGTATAAAAATATTTACTTGTAGTGATGAATGGTACCTCCAGGCCAGCACTTTTATAATAATACCCTAAACACCCGCTTAGAAAAATTACAAGGGCATTCCTGCCGGTCGCAAGGAACCAGAATAAATTTCTTAAAACATTATATCCTCGGACCTTTTTGGATATTTTCACATCTTTCAATTTCTGAAATAAAGTTCCAATTATATTATATACAACTAGTTAAAGTGTTTTATTAAAAAGTAGAAATGCATACCCTCAGACTTAGTAGACAACAGATACAACATATACCTAGAATGGAGTCACCAAATCTAAGTTTTATTAAATTTTCACCCAATCTTCTCAGGTTATCTATAAAACCAAAGGATTTAAAATATAAACCGAGGAGCCCCTTCATCTGAGAGATGACAATGATGATAGTCGTCGCTGTTGTAAATCCAGATATGACAGGAGTCGATATGAAACTAACAAGGAAGCCTATGAAAACCAAATACGATACTTACATCTATGCCATATAATTTTATAAGTATTTTTAATTAAATAAATTTAATTTATTTAAGATCTGTTCTCAGTACACTAAATAGCATTTATACACGTACCCAACTGCAAAATTGTAATTAGAAATTGTACTATTCCACTAGTAAAACATAGGAGTATGGCAAAGTCAACATTGAGATGTTGCGTGTACTCAAAGGTCAGGAGAGACATCAATGATGAAGGGCCTATAATCACTTCTTTAACTGTACCAAATAATACATAAATAAAACAGCCCATGAAAGCAGAATTTAGACCGTACTGTAAATATTTCAAGCAAGTTAGTTTTATGTTAAGAAATCCCAGTTAATTTATTTTTCGTTACCTGTGGGTCAAAGCCGGCCAAAGCAGCATAAGCCATACTCTGAGGTATCATTGTAAGGCTCATTGTTACACCTGCGATTATGTCAGATATGACATCTTCCCTGGAATATTCCCAAATCCATGTCGATATTGGAATGCGTTTCTTTGCGACTTTCACGAACTTGGCTTTCCACTTTGAACAATCCATTAAAATTGTTCAAGTTCGATCCAGAAGATCAGATGATACTGTGCATGGGATTCACCCTACCTTATCTTGATTGGGCTGTTTTATCCTTTGAATTGTACCTGATTATTTTTTTTTTTTTTTAATTATTATTTGCATATCTCAAAAGGCACAAAGTAAGTTGTTTGAGAGCAATAACTTATAATCTTTATGATTCAGACTAAAGAATGCAAACAAAACTAATCAAATATACGCCATTGAATAATCTTTTATCTTAATAATTGTATTAGCATTTAAATTCTTTCTCTTGATCACATAATTTATTTATTGGCAAAGTAGTTAATTTTTAATGGTAATTTATTGCACTACATACTAAGTTGAATAAACAATGGAGAAATACAGACAAGAAAATTCGTTAAATGAACATAGCGTTTATTTTTATAAAAACCAAATATGTACAATAACTGAAAGTAAATTCAATTCCAAAGATTCACACAATTTTACAAAATGAGGAAAACCTATTTATTAGAGTAACAAATGTTTTGTCATATATAATTTTAAAAAAAGCATGATTTCCTTGGAAGCATATTTTGTCAAAATAATTAACCAAATAAATTGAGAATAAATATTATAATTAAATAATTATTCAGCGGTCTGTGATTTCTGAATAATTATCAATTAACGGTCACTAATCACCACACATTATAATTAAAGCCGTCTTATAGAATATTTTTATTTTAAACAAATGACTAAATTTATTGCAATCGCTAATTTAATATTTGGAAATATTTTTTAGCATGAAAAGTTAATTTTTTTTCTCGAATAAATCCTTGTTGGAGCTATGATATGTATTGTAATTACTATAGGAAATAAGTTAAATACTTGAATTTTAAAATAGTTGTTAATAGCTTTAGTACAATTTTTTTCACTTGTTTTCTCCGACAGAGATTATTGTAGAACAAAGGGTAAAAAAGTCACTTTGAAATTCATTATCTGAGCTTTTTTGTTATCTCGTCGATGAGGGCATCATTTCTTTCCGATTGGCCCTTGAATTTTGAAGGTTGAGGACCTATCATCTGAATCAGCTGGGGTACGTCCTGAGCGGAGATCTGACAGAATCTCGCCATTGCCTTGAGACACCGGAAAAGTTGCGGTTCAGGCGGTGACCCATTGAGGAACTGAAGGATGGCCATCGTCAGCTCCACAGCGACATCATCAAAAACCTAGAATTACCATGTTTGTTTAAAAAAAAAAAAATCATGATACAGTAATACCAATCAAAAAAAGATTAGTGAGATAATTCATCAAAACATTTTAAAAATAACTTTTTAAAATTTTACCTCTTAAAATGGTAAATAGCAATTATAATTGTTATTTTTGTTAAATTTAAGGTCAATAAAGAAAAGACAAATTAGACCATTATTAAATATAATAATAAACAATATAAATGCAAATGCAAAAGCTCAATCGAGTTAAAAAGCTCATCAATTCTTTTGCTCCTGTCTAGTGTTCACTTTAATTTTTGAAAGCTTGAACAAACTAAGAACTATCATCTACAAAAAGTGAAAATAAGAGGCTTTATTTCTAATTTAAGTATATACCGTGTGGGTTTTTATAAAAAATATGGTCTTTTATTTTTATGCTACCCATTTTATGGTACATTTAATTGTGGTCTCAAAGGTAATTTTTCACATAGAAGGGTGCTATTAGAATTTTAACAAATTGGCCCATTAAACAGACCTGGTGATTAACTTTTTTTTCACACAGATTTTGGAAGTCCTTTCCTTTCTAAAAACAATGATACCAGAATCTCAAAATTCATCGATTCGTTCTGGAGAAATGTTGTATTTTCCTTAAGAACTCGATAATTTCAATTTATCATTTTTTTTTAGAATGGAAAGAACTTTTAAAATGCGTGGGAAAAAAGGGAAAAGCAAAAAACAATACCTCTAAAATGAAGTGGTGATTTTTTGAGTTTCTGGTGAATGTGTTAAAGCATTTAACATAGGAAAATGCAAATTGGATTAATTATTTTCATACATTTTAAAATCCTTTCCATTCTAAAAAAATACCTGACTCAAAACTTCAATTTGTTCTGTAGATATTGAAGTTTTCATTTGGAATTTTAAATGACCAATCGATGAATTTTTTAGTTTCTAGTATCTTTTTTTTCAGAATGGAAAGGACATTCAAAATGTGTGAAAAAAATCATCCTCAAAAAATGCCTTTATAGAAAAATTACAATTTGATGAGGAGTTTTTTCCTCACGTTCACCACAAACTCAAAAAATTTGTCAATTTGTTCTGGAGATATTTTAGTTTCCGTTCAGAACTCAATCATTTCAATTGCTAAGTTTAACTGTTGAAAAAGGAGAAAATTGAAAATTTCATTTCATTTAAAAAAAAAGTCATCCTCAAAAATTAATAAAATTTGTATTTTTCTATGTAAGTAAAGTTTGGAGGATGAATTTTTTTCACACATTTTGAGCCATTCTTCAAAAAATGATTCTAGAAATTCAAAAATTCATCAATTTGTTATTTAAAATTAAACTTAAAAAAAAATCATAAATTAAATTTTGATATTTTATTCAATTAAAGTTTCGTTTTTCTCCTTTTGTTAACATTACCAGAACAAATTGGGGTTGATTATTTTCACACGTCTGAAAGTAAGTCCTTTTGAATCTAAAAAAAAAATGATACCAAAAACTCAAAACTTCATTGATTCATAGAAATTATGAATGATGGAGTGAGTGTGGAGTTCAATTCTTTTTTAAAAAGGATTCATTCTGGAGATATTGAAGTTTTCCTTCAGAACCCGTCAATTTCAATTTATCGTGTAATTTAAACTTAGGTTTAAAACATCAACACAAATTACATTTTCGTATTTTACTGAATTAAATTTTCAATTACTCCCCTTTTTTTTTAACCAGCCACATGATCATGTGTGAAAAAATAGGGCTTTACAATTAGAAAAAAAAGGTGGCCACCAGGCTGAATTAATTAGATGATTCTATGTGCCTTTGGAACCATACTTAGTTTTACAATAAAATTAGGCAGCATAAAAATACAAGTAAAATTAATCTTTTATAAAAACTCATAGGGTATGATGTTCTTATTTACATAATCGTGCTAATGAGGTGTAAAAATAAGCTCAAAATTTCTATTGTTATGTAAAAATAATACTGATGTCAGACTGTGTTACATCAAAGTATGTATTTTAAAAATAAAATAAGTAATTTACATTTTAATGAAGCATTTATTACATGGGAATGTTTTATATCTTTGGGCTACCTTAGAACGTGAACCGGGTGGGAGGAGTTGCCTTAGTTTACTATTCTTCATCATTTTCTGTAACCCAGAATTAGAAACTGCATAGAAACAGCAATTACTAAACTATATCACACTGAAGGCAGCCCATAATTTCCATTGAAATAAAATGTTCTAAGGACTCTTGATTAGTTTTGTTCAAAAAGTGCAATCAAGACAAAATGTCATTCATACATTTTTTGTTTGAATACAGACCACAGTTTTTACCTCCTTCGTAGCCAGGTTGTATATTATGGCCGTTCCGCGGTCTCGCATCTCTTCATCTTCAGACAAAAGAGCATTAACGGCTACTTTGGTCGTCACTCGAATATTAGATATCTGCATATTATTATAAGACCATTCTGATATATACAACAGCCACTCAGAACTTCCACTATTCTCAAATAAGTTACAAATCTACAAAAATATTTTACTTTAATAATTCTGATTAATATTTATTGCAAAACAATTACATACAAATAATGTAAGGCTTCGCTGTTGTGGAAGAGGAAGACGATCGACATCATGAGCATAGTTCATGAGAATATGTTGCCGTCTATCTTGATGCAGCATAAGAATAACGTCATCTTTTAAAGCAGCTGCAGACAAAACATTCAAACATCTCATACTTGCTTCATCGCCAAGAGAAGGGTCTGTGAGCAATCTCCCTTTAAACAAAAATTTCAAAAATAAGTATGTTTAATAAATAATCAAAACATACAAATAAAATAAAAATTTACCTATGAATACTAAGAAAGAATCACCAAGAGCCCACGAGCCTTCATCTTGAAGCATATATTGATGTAGTTCTTCAAGCGACTGTTGTTCTTCCTCGTTTAACTTTCCATCAATTAGCCCCACCAAAGCATCAAACTCGATATGAACCTGTCGAAAAAATTTACAATGTTACAACAAAATATAATAAAAAGTTTAATTCTTTTTTTGCATACATCAACAGCGTCTTTATAAACGATTGGAGGCTCTCGGTTTTTCTTTCTTTCCTCTCTTTCTAGTCTTTCCTCTTCGGCAAGGTTTTCGGCAATCCGCACGGAAGGATCAACTTCCTGCTGTTGGGCAACTTCAACTGGTTCAGACATCCTACCGTTATATCTTTCACTTCTAAAAACAAAATTAAAAGTTAATTGTTGAAAATTGAACTTTTTAAAAAAAGTTTTCCCAAATGAATAGTTTATATGAGGATAAAATGAAAATAAACTATGGGGCACAGTCTGCCAGGGGGACTGCGATGGCATTAGGGCATCCAAACTCATATTTGCCATGCTAGTGGTTCTGGGTTTGAATCCCTTACCCTATGGTATTTTAATTAAACATTATATAAAAAAAGTATAGTAATGTGGTACTGTCCTCGTCCATGACATCCAACAAGTAGTTTTATGATTAAGACCTCTTGACAGAATTATTTTACTACTACCAAAAGGTAAATGAATGATGTAGTTTTTCTTCAAAAGTAGGTAAGTCTTTTCCAGGCAGAATCACTTTATTTTATTTATTTTTTAAAACGTGATGTTATATGGAAGGATAATTACCAAAGTAAACCAAATGAATGCAAATAGTTTCTGATTATTTTATTTATAATAAAATAAGGTTGTTATAAGTTTGTTAAAACCATTTATCCTGGAGTTGTAATAAAAAATTGTAAGTTGTGGTTTAACTGTTCAAAAGTCAAAAACTATGTTATTTTTAGACCCATAGTTTGCCTTACATTTCAAAAAGTTCATTATTTTTTTAATATGTAAATATTGTTATCTCATAAATTTTACCATTTAATTAAATGGTAAGCCAACTTTTATAAGCATGTTTATTTGAAATTATAAAAATGGTTAGTATGTATTAGAAGAAATCAATCTATGCATTAGAATAACATTGACATTTGACCCCTCAAAAAAGTCCCTATATTTTAAGGATTATTCATAACAATTTTTACAGCGAATAGAACAGAACAATTCAAACATTCCAAACGACAAAATTGGAAAGCAACGAACACAATCACCTTTCCTCTTTCCTCCTCTTTTTGTTCTTCTTCCTTTCTCTTTTTGCTAATTTCTCTTTTAGCGCATTCCGCTTGTCCGTCAGAACCAATGAACGACGCCTTGAAAATTCGTCAACAAATAAAAACGGCTCCCATATTTAAACAGTACAAGTTTAAACATTAAAAGAAAGAAAAAAATTTAAAATTAATAAAATGCCAATGGCTGCTACATTCGCCTCTTGGCACAAATGGCCGTTCAATCAATTGGCAGAATCGGCTGACTTATCAGTGGTCATGGTTGAAAGATGGAAGTACTTCCATTTTGTGAATAACTAAAGAGCCGAAATATAATTAAAAACTAATCTTACCTGCTCTCTTCGATTTCTGAATTCAACTGTTGAAAATCAGGGGAAAGCTCCCTTCGACTATCTTGTAGAATTATCGGTGAACTCTTGATTAATTCGAATGCAAGATTTCCTAAAATTGGTAACAGGGGCCTGCCAAAATAAATATTTATTTTTTATAACTATAACGTATAAACATTGATTTTATTAAAAACTAATATTAAATAAATTGCATAGAGTACAGAGGGGAAAAATGGCCAAAATGATGTTAAGTTTAATACTAATAAAACGATAGTTTATTATTATAGTATTATTCCTTGAGTCTAGATGTGGCAACACAAAGCAAAAAATAGTGTCTTTTAGGGTCTACAAATTTTGATTTGTTGAGAATAAACCATTGACTTGTAAGTAAAAAAAAATTTTTTTTTGTATGTATTTACTAGTCATAATTGACCATATTAACTACCTTAATTAATTATACTTTTAATCTAAAGTCTTTGTTGAGATGAAAAGAAGTCATGATAGCTCAAGTGGTTAGGGCAGCGGCATATTGAGCCAAAGGTCATGGGTTCAAATTCCACTTGACACATCTCAACTAATTAATTAAAAATTGTACTCTTCTTTTTTTCATTGTTGTTGCTCTTCTTTTTTATTTTTATATATGAAAATTGTCCTTTTTATTTTTTTATATTTTAGGCCAATTGTTTAAGGTGGTTTTTAATGAAAATACAGTTTTTTGACGTTTTCAAGAAATATTTTAATTCTGTAAAAAAGTTTGTATAAAATTTAATTTTTTTAAAGTTTAGTTTACACTAAAAATATTAAATACTAAAAAATGTAAATTTTATAATTAATATTTCTTGAAAATGACACAAGTTGCCGAAACATCAAAAATCTACATTTCATTAAATTTTTCATCTAGAGAAAATAAAAAAATATTAACACCACTATTGGACCGGCGACAACCACTTGATGTTTGTCGGCCCACAAGTAATACATAAATATTGACAGAATTAAAAATAAAAAATGGCAAGAAGCTGAATTCAATTCGAGGCTTTTGAAGATGTATCATCAAGACTATAAAAACTGTAATTAATATATTATATTTATCATTTAAATTTTAACTGGAAGAGGATTTTTAAGGTTGTTTCTTTTAAAATGCAAGTTTCTAAACAACTATATGTGTTTTCCTTCTGTTAAACCATCCTTTTGCCCCTCTGTTCTTTTTTAATTACCTAATTCATAATTATCATTATTATTCAATACAACTGAATAACAATTAATTGAGTTTGTGCAAAATGTCTGTGTGCAAATTATTGATCCATGATAGTATGAAATATAAGCTGATGGATCAGAGCCAGAAAAAGAAAACAAGACAAATTTTTGTACATGTCTAAAAGAAATATCAAGGGTTTTAAAAGTGTTTAAAATATTTTAAATTTTTTAGAGACACAATTTTTTCTTTTAACAATTATTCTTAATTGGATGGAAAATAGCCACATTAAATTTATCAGAGGTTTTTTTTTAAAATACATTTTATAATTTTATTAACTAAACAAAAAATATAGTATACTTACGAGTTCAATATTTCGTTAGGTAGGTTTAAAATATACTCGGGGATTCCTGTTCCCACCAAGAACTGGGCGAGGGTGTCAGAAAAGTTATTGCAATTATGCTTCAACAGATCATAGTCTGACCCTCTGAAATTGTAAGAATATATATATATTTTTCAAAAATTAAAAGTAACAATAGGTGTACTTTGGAAGAATGCAATTTACTTGAATTCAGTCTGGCCCAATTCTTGTATGTAGCTGTCGACAACGTCTTTTGGTAAATAAGTTGTTCCAAGTTTCAACTGTTGCACGGGAATGTCAAGGGATGCCTGTAATAAGGTTTGATAAACATATAAAGTTTTGGTAAATATATAAATATAAGCTGAAAAATGGTGAGAAAAGTGGTGACCATGTGGCCAGATAAAATTACCAACATTAGTACTGTATAATCACTTTTAATTTTCATAGTCATAATTAGTACAGAAACAAAACAATGTAATTGAAAAAAAACTTACTTTAATCGAGAGAAATTTTTTTTAATACCAATTAAATAAGAACCTCAGCATAAGAGTTTGTTTAAAAGAGTGAGACTCATAGACCGGCCAGGGTGGGGTTAACTCACCAAAGAAGCGAACTGATATTTTTAACAGTTCTAAATTTAGTTGGCTTATATTACATACAAGACAGATTCTCCCGATGTATTTATGTTGCATTTCGTAACGGTTAATGAAGTTGCAATCTTTTTTAACGCAAATAATTGATTGCAACAGTTTATTTTTATTAATGAGTCAAAATGTCTTAAATTGCCGACACATCCCCCCCATTAAATACTATATTTAAGTAATAATAATAAAACTTTATTACAAGATTACAAAAGGAAATAATACACTTTTTGACTCAAAGCAATGGCTTAGCCATCTGTGCAATTTGTCGCAAGAAAAAACAGAAATAAAATACTATTTAAAAAAAAAATTAAAAACTCATACTTAAAAAATTGCAAGATTGACTAATGTACAATGTATACAGTCTTTTTATATATAATTAATAAAATGGTCATTTTACAATAGAAAACGATGTGAGGGACTCGACATATCTGACAGCCACTCACATCTCACTCACAAGGCGTGCCGAGTGTATAAATTAAAGGACGAACATCAGTTAAAAATGAAAGAATTTCTTCCCTCGGCAGGTCTTTCTTGCCTAAGTAAGTGGTTCTTAACTCGAGTTGTGGATGTACATCCAAGAAGTGATATCATTTTTCTCGAATGTTTAAATTGCAAAGCATGCACAGCTCATCATCCTTCTTTAGCCAAGACATATAATTTAAATAGAGTAACTAGTCCTGGAGTTTGAGAAACCATCTTAACTCCGACAGGTTTGTGATGAGCTTTATATTCTGTCATAATTTGTCTTATAAAATGATTATCAATCAGAAGTTATTGAAAGAAAAAAGAAACAATATCTTTATTCTTGCGCTTTGATCCTCCTTGTATAGCAAAATTACAGAATAGAGCTGTGTCTAGACTGGTGCCCAACACAAATACAAAAGGGCCTATTTAAAAAACACCTACATTATAAACAAACCAGAAATGTACTTAAGAAATGTAATTTAAAAAGGACAATTAAATTTAATCATACAAATAATTTTATAATAATTTAACAATTAAGGCAACTAGTGCTAAGTGACAGCAAGTAAAAGACGGGTTTAAAGGTTGAAAGGAAAGATGCATAGAGGATAAAATAGAGAAGAAAGAATGAAAGCGGTAGTTCTGTGTTTAGAGGGATAGAGATCATCAGGGTGAGAACGAGTATGACAGTAGTGTACTGCAGACCTAAAGGATAGGAAATCATATATATGGGAGAGTTGTGGGAAGATACCATTTTGTAAAGGAAGAGAGCCAAGGAAGTTCAAGCCTGCGGTAAGAAAGGTATAACCAATGGAGTGCGATCTCATTGGGGAGCCATTAAGATAAAGCGTACAAAGCAATTCATTGAGTGCTTAAGTCTATCATCCAGCTTCCCAGTGAGTCCCTGTGCACAACACATCTTTTGTCAAAGTGGGAAAGAATAAGAGAGGGGATTGAATTTACCGGTACTGATGGGAAGAAAGTAGCTGGCATGACGGAACCGATGCTAGGTAGAAAAGAGACAACAGGGGATCTGGGAAATATGAGCTTTCCAAGATAAGGAAAAATCTCAAAGTTCTTGAAAGTAGGACAGAAAAAAATAGGGTGATTACGAACAGTCAACAGAGGGATGAAAGGTAAGGTTTGGAGGAGGGAACAGCATCTAAACACCATAGCCTGGGACTTTTCTAAGTTAAGGTTAAGCCCATTTTACTTCAGTGGCTAATTGAATTTATGACCACATGAATTCTTACAATTACAGCTTGTGAGTTAGAAAATGGAAAGGAAAGGTAAATGTTGGAGTTGTATGCATAAAGATTATGGGAGCAATATTTGCAATATTTTATAATTTATGAAATTAGGTAAGTCAATATAGCAATAATAAAGAGAAGCAGACATACTTAATCCTTGAGGGCCTTCAAGGACACTTATTGCACTCTGAACACACTCCTAATTAACTGAGGAAGATAGGGGACCGCAGTAGCCGAGTTCGATTCCCACCATCGCCTCTGGCCCTTTTTTCCCGATAACCCCCAATTTGAACACACAAGAATTCGTACTATGGCTAATATGCAAGATCATAAGGCCAATAAAAAAAATAAAAAACCAATTAAAAAAACAAAAACAGGAAGATGTTTTCTTTTCAAAATTGTAAAATTATCCTACAACCTGTATGCTTAAACATCAAGCCTTTAGTAATTTTCATTCTTTGAGAAGTTGAAAATACTCACCCAACTTTACTGGAAAAAAAATTCATTAAAAACACAATCTTTCCAATTTTATTCTATACAAAAGTGATTAATTGATTAACAATGCCAAGATTATTTAACAGGGATATTCAAGTTAAATAAAAAGTACAAAATAAAGGCTTGATTCTACTATTTAATGATTTCAAGAATAATTTTATCCTGGTACGAAAAAAAAAGGATAATGAGAAATATAGAATAGAATGAATAAATTAATTTTCTAGCTATGGTCTCTATATAAAGGACCAACTTTCCTAGGCAGGTCGGTTCGAAAGAAAATAACGCCTAGCAGGTTGCAAATAAAAGTTAAAATAAACTTTTTTGTGAGACCTGTTTATATTATTCTTTCAAACCATATTACAAGGATGAGAGACAGAGATTGATAGGTTGCCCTTTAACAAGAAATAAACACAACATTTATAGAAATACATGAGACAGCTCTCTAGCCAGGTGCAACAAAAGAATCCTGGGGTCAACAACCTGAACCTTAGAACAACACAGTTATAAATGAACATTTAGTGAACCCTATAATGTCTATACTTTTTAAAAATCTATTTTAATACAAAAATACATACAATTGTGATTCCTAAATACAAATGATGAAATTTGACTAAAGAATGCAATAGTAGTTATTTTATTTATAGTAAATTTACTTATAAACTTACCGGCAGGGCCATTGCAATGCCGCCACTCCCAAATGAGTATTCACGTCCAAAAACAACAACCCCTGTGTGCCATATTCCTTCAATTACTTTATCTGGAAACAAAAATTAAATTATAATGCAGTCTGGTTTTTTCTGTTTGTATTGTTTATTTTAATAAAATATGTAAATAAGACCCAAACACTGTATGACGTATGAAGGCTGAAAAGGTGCCAAATTTTATTTGTATTTATTTACATGGATACATTAACGTCATGTTATTACTAGAAAAGCATTTGCGCAATTGCGTATTTTAGACTAATGTATAAAAAAAAGAAGGTTGGTGGGAAAAAATAAAGAAAAAATAGTTTTAAATCTTTCACATACATCACTTACAGTGTATATAATATTCACAATACAATAAAAACTAAAAAACAAAATTAAAAAAAAACTGTAAACATTAAAAACTATGAGTAAAGTTTTGTCACATTATGATATTTTTTTTAAATAAATTCATTGTTCAAACTATAAATATCTGGTTTTTAAAATTAATTTACAGGATTTTCCTGTGTTTTAAACTCAAAAACCGTTTAAATTTTCAACCTCAAAACTCTAATTCTAAAAGAGCAAGCCAACAGTTTCGAAAAAAAGAAGAAAAAAACATATGAAACTGGCAATTAAAGGGTTAAAAATAGTATTAAGAACAAAAATAGTCAACAACGTATATTTCAAACTTATTAATAACAACGTTAATTATTCTCTTTTGAGTATTATTCCACCTACAAACGAATGTTTTGGTTCTAAACCAAAGTAAATATTTTTAAAAATATACATTTATATTGGGCAATTCGTTGAAACGCAAAATTAACCTGGTTCTTATTGAGCTCAGCAAGAAACTTTAGTATGATGATGCTACAATGCTCGTTCATCATTATCACATTTATTTTCTACTATTAAATGTATATATAATACATATATTTAACACAATCTATTTTATGAATTAAGTACATTTTTTTTTCTAAAATGAAATCTCACTAACATATTAAGTAACAGTTTTTAAATAATATACAGCAAATATTTTATAACGGCAGTCTTGACAGCATGCTGTGAATAAAGAATTATTATTTATATCCAAAAGATATATTTTTGTGATGTAATGTTATGTTATTTTATCAATGGTTGATGACTGTGGTCATATACACAAACAAGTAATTTGTCCAAATTACTAATTTTTAAGCATTTAGTCTTGTTTTATTGGCTATAACACCCACAAATCACTCGTTTGTTTTGTTATAATTTTTAAGAAACGACCTTAATACAAAAAGTTTATAAGCTCTTAATAATAACATAGTTATACATTATGACACATTTCATTTTCTTTTGCCTGATAAATGATAAGCGTCCAGCAAGTAAGGACTGAATAGGGAAACGTAGTGGGACTATTTGCCGGTGTTTCTGGTTTCAAGCATATCCTACAGATTTTTAATTGATAATGGTATCAAAAATGGTTTGATACCTCATCTGCGATACCCAACGAGTTGGATGTTAAGCTTTTGTGTATGAAAGAAATGCCTTTACTTTTTACAGAACTGAAAATTATAAATATTTGTATATACAATTTAAACATAAGGTATTGTTTAATTAATTAAAATTATTTTAATTTATGTTATCAACTAAAACATTGAGATTTTTGAAGGAATATATTTCAAGGTCCTCCCCAAAAAAGGTGACCTGAAAACAAAAATTGGCTAAAGAGGAGGCAGGTTTGAAATATATTCCATCAAAAACCTTGATGTTTCAGTCGTCCCAGTTTCTATGATCTTTCAATAGAAAATATTTGATGTTATTGTATATCTGCCCTAATTTTAAACAAAAAAATTGTTATCTGGATTATAAAAACTTAAACTTTTCTAACCTTTCATTTTGATTAAACATTGGAAACGCTTAAGAAGTTTTTACATCCAGATGAAAAATACCCAACAAAAAAATAAGCAAAAAATTGTTATTGTCTTGTAAAAATGATAAAATAAATATATTTTGGATTTGAAAAACCATTAGCTTTATTCCAAGTATTGATATAAATAAAAAAAATTGCAACCACACAAGTGTGTGTATTTGTATAAGATTAATTTATCTACTATTTATCATTAATGATTTGAAATCAATCAAAACTTTGGATTGAAAATCTGCACAATTAACAAAAAAGTGCAAACCTTTACTCCTTGCTTGTATAAAATTTTATTTTTCATAATCTATTCTTCTTCAGGTTGTTCTTCATTTTCAATTTCTTCAGGTGTCCAATTAATAGAACATTTTGTAAATTCCTCTATTGAATTGATTTTCTGCATCCCCTCTTCACATTTAACTCTTTTGCAGCGACAAACAGAGTTACATGGTTTTCAAAGTATAAAGTCTGAAGAATGGAGCAGAGGGAGCGCCCGAAAATCATTTCAATAAAGTAATTTGACAAAAAAAGTGGTCGTACAATTAATTGGACACCCAATTTTATTTATAATTTTATTTGCCCATTTAAAAATCATTTGCAACTACAGAAAACATAAATATGTACTTGAGTAGGTATTTGGTCAAAAATATCCAGGATTTATTGGAATTCTTGTCCAAAAAATTTCAACAATAGAAATAAATTGTAATAAACAAAATTTACTTTGATGTAAATACTAAACAGAATAGTTGAAGAGGATGGTTCTACTAACAAACTGGGTTTGCAGCGATGAAAATTTCAAGCGTTAAATGTTCATCCGACTATGCAAGAAATCTACAAGTACATTTTGGTTCTATTGGCCACAGTGGTTCAACTAATAAATTGATTTTGCAGCGATGACAACTTTGAGCGTTAAATGCTCATCATCAGACTGTACAAGAAATCTTCAAGTACATTTTGGTTCTATTGGCCACAGTGGTTCAACTATTAAACTGATTTTGCAGCGATGAAGAGTTCAAGCATTAAATGTTCATCAGACTATGCAAGAAATCTACAAGTACATTTTGGTTCATTGGCCACCGTAGTTCTATTAATAAACTTGTTTTGCAGCGATGAAGATTTTGAGCGTTAAGTTAAATGCTCATCATCATTCTACACAAAAAGTCTACAAGAACGTTATATTGGTCATAGGCGCCAGCCAAAATCCAGATCACAGTTTGCAATTATATAAGCAGAATGTTAATGAAAACAAGAGCGCATACAAAAAAAATTTCGCAACTTTTTTTTCTGGAAATTTGAAATTGAAAAACGCGTCCGATCGGAAACAACCCAACTACGGGTTCCTCACCCTGCATAGCCAAGAGTCACAGTTTAAATTTTAGCATGTTAAAAGTCAACTATAAATTTTATTACGTTTCGTGTTCCGCTTGACCAAATAAATACTCTACAATTAATTAATGTTTCAGTTGAGATAATAAATGGCAAACAGGAGGGAAAATTCAAAAAGGTGGGGTTGAGATGGGAAGTTAGTGTCCGAGTGGATCGAAATCACAATTGCTCAAGTGGTAGAGCAGCGGCGTATATAGCCAAAGGTCGTGCGTTCGAATCCCGCTTGTGACACTGACTTTTTTATCTCAACCAAAACCTTAATTAATTGAAAAGTTAACTATAAACTTTGAATACGGTTTTTAAGAAAGTTTATTTTTTCCTCCCAGGTAGAATTCACTGAAATTCGATTCGCAGTTTGTTCGTAAGAACGATGGCAAAGAACACGACCTAATCTTGGCAGTTTTAAACAAAAGTGCAGAAATACTTGTACCAAAAAAAAAATCTATTTCGACAAGGTCAGTGATTATGGGCTAAGTCCAAATCTTACGATCTGAGAAAATTGGGTTGAACTATAAACAAAAAAAAACTTGTGTCATGAACAAGAAGTTTTCTTTTCCCCAATAAGACTAACTTTTTTTAAATATTGGTTGTTGTAAAATAAATTGTCTCACCTAGATATTGTAGGGACAGTGCGGCTGCCTTTCCTCTTGATAGGTCATAGATGTGCAAGTAGACGTCTTCCCCCTCGTCCATGTCCAACAGAGGTATGCAACATTTAATAACTACAGCTTCGTATGAAGAACGGCGCACGTCTCGAAGGAGAAGCCGAGGTCTGTTCTGTCACCTTTTCTCCCTCTACTACCCACAAATACGATCTTCTTGTTAAATAGTTGTATATAAATAGAAATATTTTCCTTCGCACGAAAACACCTAGGCCGAATGGCTTTTTAGACTAGAAGTACTCTTGAAGAAAAATTGTCAGTGTATCGTATTTTCTATCTGTCCAAAGACAATTCTTTAATCATTCGAGGGAAAAATGACAAACAAGCCCTGTCAAAGTGAAAAAGGATTTAAATAGTTTTTTTATTAATTCGAAGGTTATTGCCGTGTATCTATTATCAAAAAATAACCGTTCAGAAGTGAACCTCCTACCTGACATATGAATTAGAATAGATCAAAAATATTGTATTATTTTTAGTATAAATCTTTAAAAACAGGACAAAAATGAAAGAAACGAAGTTTACAACTGTGTAGTTTATAACTGTATCCAGTAGGTAATAAAGAAAGATCTGGAACGTTCTAGATTGTGATGTTCGCTAATACAGGGTTTTCAGGAATTGGTCGTTAGGTAGGTACAGGGATTACAGCAATTTGCTTGATGTGTCATGCTGAGCCTTTTCGCTTTGTCATTCTGGTGACGAAAATTTTTCAAAACTTTTTTAATTTCAATTTACAAAAATTGGCAAAATTGTACAACGTTGCAATTTCAAGTTTTCCCTTAGAATTTTTTTTTGTTCATATACAGCCATTATAAGACTGGGAAGGAAAGGAAAAAACATTAAAGGAGAACAAAGTGTGAAAAAAATATATTTGGTGAATTTTTTTGTTCGTGTACAACTATTTTACTCTGAGGAGGAAAGGAAAACACATCTCTGAACTTACAAAACTATGCCACTAAAATAAATAAATTCCATATTAAAGACAATAAATACATATTATTATAAAAGAACAGTGTTGATTTTAAAATGACACTAATCTATATTAATTATAAAATCATAACAATCTTTATAAAAAGATCGTTTCTCATAGTTAGTTGTTTTCAATCATTCGGATTTCAAACTTATAGCTCATCAGGTTGAAGGAATTTACAACCACATCTCTTGACATGAATTGTAAAAGTCGACATTACATTTGTTACGATTACTCCTATCATACCCCATGTAAATTGTTAATTCTCTAACTTGTTTTGTTTTCCTAATGCCTGGAAATCTGTCTTTCTTTTCCACAATGTATATACAGCAGATAATAAAGAAAGATGTGGAAAGTTCTAAATTGCATGTTTCGCTAATAGGTACAGGGATTACAGCAATTTGAGTGATGTGTCATGCTGAGTCTTTTTGTCTCTCTTAATTTCAAATTAGAAAATTGCTATTTGTAAATTGGCAAAATTGTACAACGATGCAATTTCAAGTTTTCCCTTGTCTAGGCATTTTTGAGAATTTGTTTGTTTGTATATATACAGCCATTGTAAGACTGAGGAGAAAAGGAAAAAATATTATAATATATAAAATTATTATAATATATTATATAAAATGTGAAAAACATATATTTTGTTGAATTGTTTATTTATGTACAACTATTATACTCTGAGGAGAAAAGGAGAATACATCTCTAAATTTGACAAAATTATGCCGCTAGAATAAATAAATACCATATTAGAGACAATAAATCCATATTATTATACAAGAAAAAAATGTGGTTTTTAAAATTAAGTTGACTCATTTCTTTATACTATGCTTATATTAATTATTTAAAAAATCTCAATCTTTATTTTCAAAAATAGTTCCTACTCACAATTAGTAGTTTTCAAAGATCTGGATTTCAAGCTTATAGATCATCATCAGGTTGAAAGAATTTACAACCATGTCTCTCGACATGAATTGTAAAAGTTGGCATTACATTTGTTTCAACTTACTCCTATCATACCCCATTTAGCATAAATTATCAATAATCCAACTTTTTCTGTTTTCCCTACTGCCAGGAAACTTATTGTCCAGTGGATAATAAAGAAAGATATTAAAAGTTCTAGATTGTGAGTTTTGCTAATAAATGCAGGGATTGCAGCAATTTGCATGATGTGTCATGCTGAGTGTTTTTGCTTTGTCATTCTTGTGAAGAAAATTTTCCCCCCAAAAAATTTGTTTCAATTTAGAAAATTGCCAAACATAAATTGTCAAAATTGCTGCAATATTAAGATTTCCCTTGTCCATATATATTTTTGAATTTTTTGTTTATGTACAGCGACTTAGGAAAAAAGGAGAAAACATCCCTGAACTTACAAAACTACGCAACTAGAAATAAATATTGTTAAACACAGTCCACATTATTATAGAATAACAAAGGGTGAATTTTAAAATGAAGTCGACTCATTTCTTTACACTGTGCTTAAATTAATTATAAAACTATTACTATTACTCCTATCACACTCCATGCAAATTATTAATTCTCTAACTTTTTCTGTTTTCCCTAATACCTGGAAACATATCTTTCTTTTCCACAGTGTATACAGTGTATAATAAAGAAAGATGTGTCAAGTTCTAGATTGTGAGTCTCACTAATAGTTATAGGATTTACAACAATTTGCGTGATGTGTCATGCCAATGTGTCGTGATGTGTCATGTCTTTTCTCTTTGTCATTCTAATTAATAATTAATATAACAACCGAAGGGAAAAAATTTGTCTAAATTTTGGATGTTATAGAGAAAATGCTAATAGGGCGAAAGTCAGTCAGATTCAACTTGGTTATACATAATTTTGAAGATTTGTTTTTGTTGATTTAGTAGTAGGAAAACTATGCTGAAAGGGAATAATTTTATTTATTAATTATACACAACACTAAGATAATTATAACTAATATTGTAAAAGGATGCAATACATAAGATAAATTAAAATTCATATTTGCATTTAGCAAACATAATTGACTGTATTAATTATTTTAATTACACATATTTTTAATCTAAGGTCTTGGTTGAGATAAAAAAAAGCAAGACCATAGATTAAAAGTATAATTAATTAAAATAAAATGTTTAATGCTCTTATTTTTTTCTTTATCTTACGCTTACATTATGTAACACTCATGTTATAAAAAATAAGTGTTAAATCTTTACAGGGCGAACAGTTTTTCCCTTCTTGTGAACGATCTTGTGCAATCTCCATTATTGCCTAGAGCTGTTTAATACTCGTGTGTTTACTAATGTTTTGCCTTTTCCTCTCTGAAGAGTAAATCTCCATCATCCATATCAGAGAAAATGATCCACTTTTTGTTCTTCTTCCTGGCAATATCGGCACAGTCTTGTTTCTGTTGCTTCAAGTTTGGATTCTGAAGCTTCCATTCAACAGTCCTATTATTCTAGTCCTAAACAGTTTAGTAGTTCTGCTATTAGTTTGTTGATCATTTAATGATCTTTTTCGCCTACATCTTGGAAATTCAATTTTATTGAACTAAGAATTTATTTTTAACTCATTGTATTAATCTACTTATTTTTTTCTCCACACTATATTTACAAGATATGATATTCAAAGAAATCATTGTGAAATTTTTATAAGGTGAAACATTTGGTTAAGATTTTTTTTTCTTCTTGCAAACAATCTTGTGCAATCTCCATTACTGCCTAGAGCTCTTCATTGAGTTTGAAGGGCTCCTGTGTATGCTCTGACTTTTCCTCTCTGAAGAGTAGGAATCTCAGATTTTCCATTATCTGAGGAAATGTTCCACTTTTTTGTTCTTCTTCTTGCAAATATCTCCGCATGCTTGTTTCTGCTGCTTCACGTTTGGATTCTGCAGTGTTCAGTCAACAATGTTTTTATTCTAGTCTTAACAGGTCTTAGGCTTAGTAGTTTTGCTATTAGTTTTTGTTATTGTCAATTAGTGATCTTTTTTGTCTGTGTTTTGGAAATTCAATATTATTGAACTAAGGACTTATTCTTAACTCATTGTATTAATGTATTTATTTTTTTCTTCACACTATATTTACAAGATATGATATTAAAAAAAATCATTGTAAAATTTTTATAATGCAAAGATTTTGGTTAAGATTTTTTTTTCTTCTTGTTAACTATATTGTCCAATCTCCATTATTGCCTAGAGCTCTTTACTGAGTTTCCATACTCTTGTGTGTTTACCTATGCTTTGGTTTTTCCTCTTTGAAGAGTAGGAATCTCAGACTTTGCATCATCAGAGAAATCATACACACTTTTTGGTCCTTCTTCTGGGTCTTGTTTCTGCTGCTTCACGTTTGGATTCTGCAGTGTTCAGTCAGCATCCCTATCAGGTCTTAAGTAGTAGTTCTGCTATTAATTTTTGCATTGGTCCTTTAATGATTTTTTTCGCTGCATCTTGGAATATGATTTCATTGAACTAAAAATTTATTCTTAACTCATTGTTATTTCTTCTTTCCGATTTGTTTATAAGATATGATATTAAAAGAAATCATTGTGAAATTTTTATAGGGCTAAAGATTTGGCTGACGTTTCTCTTGATTCATCCTAAATTGGATAACCGATTCTCGAAAAGTGACGCAATATGCCATGACTTTCATTTTTGGCGACGAAACGCTCAGAATCAACGTAAAGAAGAGTCGAGAAAAATATAAACAACCTTGCCAGTTTGTACTTTGTCGTGAGGAAGACTTTGTAAAATTTCCATTGTCGAACGTGGAAAAGTGAAACGTGAGTCGTGTCACGTGGAAATTTCCTCGAACTCTCTGTTATGTCGAACTGGTTTTGAAAAAAAAGAGTCGCACGGCCCCGGCTCCAGCCCCATAGAGATCTGGTGTATCAGCTGTTTTCCCCTTCAGTACATCCGTCGTGACAGCAGCATTGGAAATAACTAAATGCTCTGTAATGTCAAACTTAAAAAATATTGTAAGGCTCAATTATTTGCTATGGTTTCTTAGGCTTTTACTAATCCCAGACGATCAATCATCCCATAATTTTTCATATATTTCATCTCCAAAAGCCCGAAAACCCTCTAACCTTTACAAACATTCTTTTGTTGCTTTGTCACCTTTATATTTCCCCTGATAATTATTTGCCAATAGACGAAAACCTGTGTTATACAGTGTTTTCATGTGTAAAGAGTTGTGCTTTGAATAACGAATAATTCTCACTTAATCAGGTATTGAGGATCCAGTCTTCAGAAGGGACAATCAGGATAAACGTCTCTACAGATGATACAATTAAATCCGTTTATGTTAAGGTTAATAATTATAGATTTCGTGGGATTGAAGTTTGTTTTTTTCAATTTTCTATTCAAATTTCAGGTGCATGATGCTTTGTCGTTAAAGGGTTTCAATTTTTCGCTTCATCGCAGCAGGAAGTTCAACGATGTGTTGGCCTTCTCGAAGTCGGCCACTGTCCAAGGCAAAGGGCTGAAGCACGGCGACATCCTTTATCTTCAGCAGCAGGACGAGATCAATTGCTGCGACCAAAACAACGATGTTCAAAGTACACCGGGTACGAGCGGCTCTTCGTCGCAGAGCACACCCTCAGGTGAATTCAGTTTTTTTAATGTAATGCAGTCAAAACTCACAAAACAATGAGAAAAACACAGCAGGAATTCAAACAGTATTAACTGTCTAACACAGGACAACTTGACAAACTTGGACATCAACTTTCTTCAATTTGGGACCGTAGAGGCTGAGTCACCTGAGACATATTTTCCACACTAGTGGTTTTGGGTTCGAATCCTGGCAGTCAGTTGCTTTTTAACCGATAATATGAAAAACATATTTTAATGTAGTTTGAAAACATGTTCACACACATGGGTAATGACACCCGATGGGTAGTTAACCATTCTTATATTTTTTCACTCGTTTGAGTAGGTTGAACAAGTTTGGAACAAATCTAGTGCTATACTCATATCTGAGATGTCTTGCAGTTTTTATTTTTTATTATAATTTTCTTTACAAAATCTATTCTATAAATACAGATAAGTCAAAATTAATATTTGATTTGATTTATTATATGTGTAACATTTAAATATAATTAACTATTAATTATTATCATCTTTTTAAGAGATTTTGTTCTACTGCAATGAATATTTCAGTAAGGGATTCTTTCTTAAACTAACTTTCTTTTCTATTAAAAAAATACCTAAAACTCAGCACTTTATTAGCCTAGCTGAGAAATTGATAAGTTTACAAATGACAACACAAAACAGGTGAATCACTTCTTTGTTTTTTTTTTGTTTTTTTGCTTCTGCTTTCTAAATTATCAATTTATGGGCAATAGTGAGTTCAAACCCAATAATAACTAATATCGTGTGAATAACAGAATTTTTTTGTGTCTAGGTGAACCTGGCTTCGATCCTCAAGAGGTCACAAATAACATTCACAATACAGTTGTAGAAGATGAAGTCGACCAAATGCTTTGGAAAATGGACGGGCACATTTATAGGCAACGGGATCCTAAATTGTAAGTCACCTTTCTTGATTTTTCAAAAATATTTAATTTGTCATCACACTAAAAAATAAAAATGATACTTTTCCCTTTTGGTTCACAATAGATAACACAATAATAAGAGGAATTATACGGTTTACTTTTGAACATATGATAATTTATCTGTTGTGTTTTAAAAAATATAACAATAGAACCTCATTAAGGAATAGAGAAATTATGCAATTAATAAGTCGTTTATAATTTTCATTTAACAAAAATAAGATTCATATTAAGGATTGGGATAAAACTTTTTGCTTAAAAGCTAGGGCTTTTATTTTTGAACTTCAGTCCAAATTTAATTATCCTTTAATTAAATTTAACTTTTCAGCTTGATTAGTAGCGACCATTTTTGATCATTCTGGTCTGCATATTATCGCTAGTTTTGCTTAAAAGATGAGTATTAAAGACATCAAGCATAAGCATAAGACAGACTAGGATGATCGGAGATTATCTACTAACAGGCTGAGTAAGTTATTTCCTTTCGATCTCACATCAACACAAATGCTATTGCCTTCAAATTAATTGATCCAAAAAAGGGAGGTGGAGGAAAAGGAAATTAAATTTTCTTAAGGTTATTACCAGAATAAAGAATTAGTAAATACAACAATTAAGTTTCTCACTTCTCTTTATTGTTGCTATATTAACGACTTGTCTTATTCCATAAATTAGAAAATATTGTTCTCACAATCTTAATGCATATGACTCCAATATTTACCTTTCCTTTGCTACAAGCTGCAATTGTAAGAATTCAGGAGGGACTTAAATTTGATTAGCTACTGGGGGGAAATGAGCTTAACCTTAAAGTAGAAAAGTCCCAGGTTATTGCATTTGAATCCTGTTCTCTCTTCCAATCTTTACCTTTTATCCCTTTGTTTACCTTTAACAATTGCTACATTTCTTTCTGTACTACTGTCAAGAACCTTGGGATTGTCCTTGGTCTTTTTCTTGGAATCCTCTTATTTCTCAGATCTCCCGCTGTTGTTTTTCCACCCTCCATCAGTTCCATAGTGCCAGCCACCTTCTCCCCATTAGTCCCTATAAATTCCTAGTCTCCTCTCTTATTCTGCCCAAATTTGACTATGTGTTGTTCACGGGAGACTGGATGATAGACTTAAACACTTAATGAATTGTTTTATATGCTTTATATTTAAAGATAAATATCCTAAGGAGATCCCTGTGTCTGATGTGTACTCCGATTTGAAGTGGAGAAAAGTATGCTATAAATCGAAATGGCGCCACTTCCCATCTTTATAATTTGCACCTTTTCTTTGTTATATTCTTCTAAATTTCTACATATTGTTTACTTCCTTAAAGCCTAAAGTTTCTTTGAATTTCTCTAGTTTATGTTCTGTGGTCAGTGTTTTGTCAATGTTCTCAGCACTGGTCATGACAGAAAATCATTTTAACAAAGAACATCAGGCCATTTTAAAACAAAAACCACGTCAAGATTTTTGTAATAATGCTCAATTTTACATTTGATATATTTCCGCTTTTTCATTATTTTTACTGTTTTATAAATATACAATTTAAGTAATAATGTGTGGTGTTTAGTGACTGTTAGTTAATGATTATTCTTATCTGTCACAAGAATGACACATCTACCCGGAAAACAAACACTTTGAGCCCTGAAGGTGATCTCAGTAAAGATCGAAAAGTTGATACTATAAAGAAAATGTTTTTCTAACCTACGTTACACCAGACCAGTTGTATTACTTAATGATTTCATGATCTCCAAATAATCGTTAAGTAATAACTTGGAAAAATACATATCAGCTCTTAAATTTTTTTTAAATTTTCCTCTTGATAATTCAAATTATTTTTGTGGTCCCTTGAGTTTCGAATTATCAAGAATCGACTGTACCTCCTGTCAGTGCAACTTGGCACTAGATGCCTTAATTGGTTAATTATCATGTTATTAAATTTTTTGTGTTATTAAACTTAATTGTCCCTTTTAATTTTATTACAGTACTTTTTAATTTATGTTCGTATTTGTATATACTTTGTGAACAGGCCCTTTTGCATTTTTGTCAGGCATGGTCTAGTTGTGGCTCTATTTTGTAATTTTGATATTCAAGGAGGCTAACACGTTCAATACAGTACTGATTTGTAAAGACTCTCCTGAAATACGTCAGAAATTTTTATTTAAAAAAATGTTCAATATCAATTTGAAAAACAGTCTTCACAGTAAGGTTGCTAAACTATTGGGTTGTCCGGAAAATAATGCAGGATTTTAAGTTTTCATTAAAAAAAATCTATATAAAATATTCTGTTTACGTTTACAGGATTACTCATTNAAATTATTTTGATTAAAGAACATTGCTTTAAAGTAACTAGTTTCTTTTTTTTTGTTTAATACCAAAATCCTGCATTATTTTCCGGACAACCCAATAACATTAAAGCCTGTGACACCTATTCAATTTCAGAAATACCCCCAAACTCTACAACAAGCTTCAGAAGCAGGGGTCTTGTAGAAAAGGTGCATCGTTCCAGAACAACGGTTGTAATGAATAAGTTAAGCCCCAGAATAAAGATTATTATATATTTTATATGACAAGTTGAATTTAATTTCTGACCCCATTGTAGTAATGTGTGTTTAATAAATATTACAATATTTCTATGTTCTAAAACCCAAAAAGAATATTTGGAGAATGTGTATCTATGTTGCTGTTGGATTTGATTGATTTGAATTAACAAAATTCAATTCTATTGTAATTGTCAATTTTGACTTTATTTTAAGATGCCGTCATGGTACAAATGCTTGTTGCGTCCACTGTTCCTCCTTAGAACCGTATGATGAAGAATATTTAAAAGAACATAATATCAAACACATGTCGTTTCACTCGTACTTAAGGAAATTAACTGGAGGAGTTGACAGGTATTTTTTTTATCCAAGTGTTAACATTTATTTGAAAGTATTTTCAAAATTCTTCATAACGTTTTTCCCACAGGGGTAAATTCCTAGCGTTAGAAAACACTACATGTCGCATAAAACCTGGTTGCAAAGAGCATCAGCCATGGCCTAAAGGGATTTGCTCAAAATGCCAGCCATCAGCAGTCACATTAAACAGACAAGTAAGTTGTCAATTTTTTTAAAATAAAAAAAGTTGTTAACATTTATTTTTTTCGCAGGTCTATAGGCATGTAGATAATGTTATGTTTGAAAATCCTGAAATTGTGGAAAGGTTCCTTGAATACTGGAGAGTCTCTGGTCACCAAAGAGTTGGATATTTGTATGGGAGGTATGAAGTACATTCAGATGTACCTCTAGGTATAAGAGCGATTGTAGCTGTTATCTATGAACCTCCACAGGTCAGTTTTCAGCAATACATTCAAATTAAAAAAAAAAGGTAATTTATTTTTAACTTTGTAGGAAACATCTAGAGATAAAGTTAAACTGTTACCCGACGAAAGAGAGTCATTGGTGAACGACATTGCCCGAATGTTGGGCCTTGTTAAAGTAGGATGGATATTTACAGATCTTATAGCTGATGATGTACAAAAAGGGACAGTAAGTATCAAATTTTTTCATTTTTCTTTTTTTGAATGCTTTCATTTTCTTTCATGTATGCTTATATTTGACTTTTATTTGTTTTAAGGTCAAACACATAAGAAATATAGACACACATTTCCTCTCTGCTCAAGAATGTATAATGGCAGGGCATCTCCAAAATCTTCATCCCAATCCTTGTAAATTCTCTCCAACTGGTTATTTCGGTTCTAAGTTTGCTACTGTCTGTGTAACAGGTGATGAAATTTTTTTCCTTCATTTATAAAGATATTCAATTAATATAGAATCATTCTGTTTCTAGGTGATGCAAAAAACCAAGTCCACATGGAAGGCTACGCAGTATCGTCACAATGTATGTCTCTGGTTAGAGACGAATGTCTTGTACCTACTAAAGACCTTCCCCAGTTGGGTTATGTGAAAGAGTCATCAGACAAGATGTACGTTCCAGATGTGTACTATAAGGTAAGTCGCTTTTCTTTTCCTTTTTAGATTCCATACTTGATGCATGCATTATAGGAGTTATTACCAAACTGTGCCGCAGCTCCCAAGGGTGCCATGGCTTTTCTAGAAGGGCACTGTGACAATTTTCTATAAAAATACTATTACTTCTATAAAAAACAAAACAACCTAAAAACTAAACCACCCTTTAAACACATTTAAAAAAAAAAAAAAAAGAAAAGAAAAAAAAAAGACCCTGGTGGCCATGGTGGCCATCCAATCTCAATATGAACGTTAGAGACAGCTGCAATTGTTGTGTATTTGCCCAAAAACAAGTTTTTGTTTTTCCATTTTTGCTATTAAGTGCATAATCGTTTTTCAAAGGGCAAGTTTTTCAGTTTCATAAGAAAGGATTTGGATTTGGATATAGGCTATATAGGCTCCATACATACAAACATGTGCCAAGTTGAGTGTATTTGCTTTTCATAGTCCACCAGCAATTACAGCTTTTGCTATTTACGGTAAATTGTTGGTAGACTCTTGAATCACTCACTCTGGGTATTGGCAGACCATAGTTGTGTCCGTCCAGCCACCAATGTTGCACTCTAGGGGGAGGGTGCTATCAACAGTAGTACAATTCAGCATCCAACACACACAATTCCAAACACATTCATACTCACATTCATTCTTAAATACATTCACTCATATTATCATTATTATTTACATACCTTACAGTACTTGATATTCCTCCTACGCCCTTTACACATATTATACAACTTACCTAATCGAGGGTCGATGCAGTACTCGATATTCCACCATCAATGCTCTTACATCACATATTCATGCTAGTAAATACATTCACTCTTAACACAAGCTAGGTATATATAACTATTATTACTCCATAAAATAGAACAACCCCGTTTTCTGCTAGAATCGGAATAGGGGACCTAAATACTTGCTGCTAAGCTTAAGCTCAATTCTCAAATCGGGTGGCATTCGTGCCTTCTCTCTTAGGCCCAAAAATCAGTGGGTCAAACTTGCATGGCCTATCCTTAATCAGGTGAGGATGAGCCTTTTTCTATGAGTCAGATCCGAGGGCCACCCATCAACAGTGCTCTTGATAAGTGAGAGCTTTTCTGGCGACCCATTGATGCTACCACCTTCTTTTAATCGTGTTTTTTATTGCACTCTTAGTGTCAGAGGTTTAGATATATCAATGCTTTTTTGTTAATTGGAAAAGAATTACTACAGTAGAAATCCGTTTATCCGGACTTGAAGGGACCGGAATTTGTCCAGATAATCCGAAAATTTGTGATTTTATTAGGATCGTGTCATAAAAACGGAGTCTTTTATTACACGCATTTTGTGGTGGTATTGGTAAAATTGGTATGTAAAAATACTATATAATAAATATATAATAAAAAAAACAACAGCAATTTCTAGTGTTTTAAAATAGGGTACACCTTTTATTATTATTATTTTTAATTTAAAATTTTTTTTGTAACAAAACGACGACTGTCAGCCTCTCCAGCTTCTTCAATCGTGTGGCTAGTGGAAGGACGATTTGGTGACATTTACAAATTTCGAACGATGAATTAAAAGTCCCATAGTAAAAAATTATTATATATATACCTGGACGGACTGCCGGATTATTAAAATATTTTTTATTAATTTTAATAATCTGGCAGTCCAGATAATCGAGGTCCGGATATATGGGTTTCCACTGTACTATTATCATAAAGTTCACGTTGAGATTTACAATTGTTTTGACTTGGGGCACCATGGAAAAATTCTGATATATTAAGGGTGCCAGAAAAAGAAAAAGTTTGAGAACCACTGCATTGTAGGATTTAAACAAGACATTTTTGAAACAAGTGCTGTCTTTTCTTTTTCAAAAACTGGTTTCTGCAATTTGGGAAACAGGAACTAAAAATATTTGATCTGATTCTTTGACAATGACACGTAAAATTAGTTGGAATTTATTCTGTCTTTTTTGGTTTGTTTAATTCTATTCATCAAGCCTAGGCAATGTACCGACATCAGTTGTCCAACAAAGTCGTAAATTTAGCAAAGTTTATTTTTTCATAAATATTATTCAACATTTGACATAAAATAAGATTAAAAAATTGCAGTTATTAAAAGTTTGAAATCTAACATGTCAGATGTAACGATGTTTTCTTATATTTCGACCTCAACAGTTTAACTTATGATTTTATCCCACATTCAAGAAGGAAAAATCATAAGATGAAAGATATATAAAGGGTAGGAAATAAATTGTCTTTTTCACAATAGGTATTTATTGTCAGATGCGTTTCAGTCTAATATAGACCATCTTCGGTGACTTTTTTTTTTTATATAAAGTGGTTTGATGGTTTTTTATGTTTACATAAGTTGAGTAGTGGATGTCGATGACTATGGACTCGGTGAGTAGTCTGTCAAGAATAGGCTATTTGGAATTATAATTTAAAAGTTTTAAATTGAACAAAATGAAAATAATTTCATATTTCTTACCAGATGTTACTTAAAGGTAACGATGATGATGGTGAACAGAGACTAGGAAGTGGGCGTATTGTGTTCCCCAAGCACCGCAGCTTTCTGGCTTATTATGCTTTTCCTTAGTTCCTTAGTTCAGTGCAATCGATTTGATCCTTCTTTTAATAAGTGTTAGGCCATTGACTGTTGTCGCTGCAACATTTTTTCCTGGGTTTTCTTTGTATCCCAGGTGTGTCTCCAAGAACTCTAGTTTTCACTGATAATCATTATTTAGCCAGTGCAAATTAAGTATATATAAGTGACCTTTTTATGTTTTGAAACATGAAAGGCTTATATAACTCCAATGACTTAAGATCCCATGAAATATGCCATAATTCTCCTCCCAAGACAATTCTTAACTCAAGCATTATTAAGTAATTGTTTTTATTTTACCTTGATCCAAGAATCTGAATTTTTTTTGTCTATTATGTTTGTGGATAACTGCACATTTTGGTCTTCATCTGCTAAATTCTCTTTCTAAAGCTTATTATTCGGGATATTTTTATAATTTTTTTTGACACATGTACTAACTATATGGATGCGAGCAGCATCCCCCCCCCCCAACTATGTACTCGCTTTAGTGGTACATATACTAAAATTAGATTCAAGAAAATGCATGTAAAATATTTGTCAGATATACAATAAAAATTATCCACGTACTTGGCCCACCGTTAAAGTTAAGCTCTATAAACCATGTGGCAGGCATTTGTTGTAATTCATTCTAAATGCAAAATCTAGTCTTATTTTAAACAAAGGCTTCTATTTTTATGAGACTTGTAAAACCAACTGTTCTTTGTTGAAATTATACCCTTTTACTGTTGAAGTAATACTTCATAAGTGCACTAATTTTTGTGGTCCGTTTGACCAAATAATATCTTTCAATTAATTAATCTGTACTTAAGGTATTGGTTGAGATGAAAAAAGTCAGTGCCACAAGCAGGATTCGAACCCACGACCTTTGGCTAAATACGCCACTGCTCTACCACTTGAGCTATTGTGTATTCGATTCACTCGGACACCAACTTCCATCTCAACCCCACCTTTTTAATTTTACCTCCTTTTTGCCATTTTTCAAATGTCATGTAATCTATTTGATTCTCGGCGACAAATAAAATGGCCATGGAGAGCTTTAGTGCTAGTTTGGCTTCATGTTTATCCAAAAAATTATTTTGTGCGTCAACCATATCAAAGACAGTTTAACTTACCTCATGACTATTTCTACTTTAATTAATGCCTGTAGTAAGAAATTTTTGTACAAATTCAAAAACTGTTATTGTACTGGTAGCAATTATTATCTTAAACCTGACTATTTTTTTTAGTACTATCTAATTTAACGTTTGAATTTTATAAGTTAGGCAAATTTTTGATTTCCATCTGAAAACAACAATTTTAATAGTTAAATAAAATAAGAGGTTGCAGTTGTTTCAATAGAATGTACATGCACAAGTAGGAAAATCCCATTTTTTAAAGGTGATTGTCTCGTTTAATTTTAATGGTTACAAACCTAATAAAATTAAGTTACTTAAAAAACAAAAATAATTATTTAGCATACGTACACATTAGGCTCTTAGATTTTAAGTGATATAAAATTTAATATTTTGTCGGATCCTTTTTAAATAATGCTAAATTCAACTAGTTGTTTACTTGATTTGGATTGTGACAATTGTTTAAATATTTGAATGATCTTATCTGTGAATATTTGCAATATGAACTAGTTTTGTGACAGGAGAGAAAGAAACAACAACCAAATGTTTAATGATAATTTTATTTATCTTACGTTTGCAAGAAATTTGATTTTTTTTTAATATATATACATACTTTGCTATATAAATTTAGGTTTTTAAAAGGAGACGGGTGCAGATATAAAACTGAGTCGGATAGTTGTAAACATTTATATTTTTTTCTTGGGGCAGAAAACACAAAGAAGGCTTGAATCCGTTGCAAATCTTTGTAACAATTTACAAGGAGAATCTTTCTTCTGGACTTTGTTGAGTACAGCCAACAAGATTTTGTTTATGATATTGTCATTTGATATTAATTTTACAAACATATCTGCTTTGCTTGCTTTTGAACCCCCATACATCAGTTTTTTAATATTTTAAACATACTTAAATTATTATGTATATTAATTATACATACATGATTTTGCAGTTATTTTATATATGTTTAAATATACATTTTGTTTGGAGGGGGGATTTTTCCATCTTTAAACTTTCAAACTGTTTAAATTTAAAGTCCAAAATCATTCACAGGTACTTGAAGGCACAATACATATTAAAAATAATAATAACAAAACAGTTTTGCTCTGTGAAAGGTATAACTAAATTTCACAAGTAGTTAATATAGTTTAGCATAAGAATCTACTTTTTAAGTCTACACTAACAAAGAGTAAAAGCAATGTTGGCTGTACATTTTCAACCAATGCTAAACCAACCGTTAAACCAAACACTGAAAAGTAAATTAAAAAAAAAAAAAAAAAGACAAATAAAAGGAGAATCGCAGATTTTCTTTTTTTATTTAACACGAGAAAAAATATATTTATATTTATAATATATATATTCGAGACTACTGTACCTTTTAGGCTTTTCACTAGAACCCTGACTAAATTGACCATTACATCAACTTTAAAAGGAAATTGCGGTAATGGCAGGATTTTCGGATGGGAATTCTATTCTATATGCTATACATAAATGATCCATCTTAACATAAGTAGTTGGTTTTATTTTTTAAAACAAAATTTCAGAGTTCAAAAATAATTTTGCCTTTTTTTTATATTTATTTGCGAACATACGTGGTAGATAAAAATTTGTAAGTAAAAAATCAGTTTACGTTCTATGATGGAACACACAGTATTATATATTTTTGTGTTTATTGTGTACAAATTCTACAGCTAAAAATAACTGTAACATATTTAACAACACAAACCTTCGTGTTACCGATTTGATCAAAAAATAAACTATATCAAATAACTCGATTAACTGGTTTCGCTCGAAATTAACGCCACTATATATATATATATATACCCTTCTACAAATATTATTTTAAAAATATTTTTAATATTTTTTTTTTTTGTTTCAAAAATACTTCGTCACTTTTTTCCGAATATACAATCCCGTATTTTGTATTTTTTAATTATTATTTTTTTTTTACGAAGGTTTCTCCCTGAAAATCACGTTTCGTTGTACCCCACGCTGTACAAAAATAGCCTCAGGGAAAAATTAAATTGTCGAAATTATAGTAATTAAAAAAAGTTCAAATTTGAAAATTTGTACAGTTCGGTGAGAGGCCTGAGATCCAAAAAAGAACTACGATTACAAATTATAACCACGAACAATTCTATGCTTAAATTTTAACTAAATGTTGGCCGATTTCATATTGCAGAGTTACAATTACCAAGCACGACAAGAGGCCAAATCTTATCACATCACTAGCGTGTAAGATTAAAGATTAGCCAAGATCTTATTTCTTTTTTTTTTAATTTGTCATTCTCTATCTAGTGTTGTTTGTGTGCTTTCAATGTAACTCTACAAAAGTAATGAAATTTTCAATGCACTCAGTTACATACCAGTGAATTAGCTAGAGAAATTGCATTTTGTTTTAATTAGCTTTTACGTGAACTTGATTTAATAATTCAAATAGAATTTGTGTGTGTAAATAGATACACAAATATATATATTAAAAAAATTAAAAGGTGGCTCTTCAATTATTTTTCTTGTACTAACAGTCTTTTAATAATAATAAAATTCTTCTTTACATCAATGCAGATATTCATGTTTCATAATTTGCTAAAATTTATATATGTATATATAATTACTTTAATCAACAGTAACTGAGTGGATTAAAAATTGTATTGTACAAACGCTTCTAAAGTTTACCACAATTTACTATTACAACGGTTTTTGTTGGTTTTCCTGTTTGGTCACTAAACGATGCAATTTTTTCAACGAGTTCAATCCCTTCGACAACATGGCCAAATATTGCCGTAAACCCTCGCATTTCTTGCAGTATAACTCTAAACTGAGATCCGACCATTCCAAGATTATCGTGGCGTTTTTGAGTCCGTCTCATTCCCACAGCACCTCTCACTGCTGGAAATTTAGTGTCGTCTGGCATGAAGTAGCCTTCGTCATAAATCGATCTTCCTCCTCGACCGTTGTTTGACTCAAAATCACCAGTTATGACAGACTCTCCCTCCCAACACTGGAAGACGGTACATCCTTTGTACGTTATTCCTCTTTCTCCAGTGGATAAGACTGCAAAGTTTTTGGCCATTTTCGGTGCAACATCTGGCCTCGTTTCAATGACGATCCTTCCGTGAGGAGTTCCATTGACTTCGATATTAAAATAAAACAAAGGGTATGAGTTAGAAGGACGGACGACAGTCACGACCGAAGACTGTTGTAAAGGTACCGATAGACTCATATCGTATTGAGGTTTTATGTAATCGACATTTCCATTCTGCTGTATGTGTTGTTTTGACACCATGTGTCTCGTGTAAAGCTGAGACATGCAATAATTAGTCAAGAAGAGCAATGGGTTCGGTGGCGGCGCCTGATTTCTCGGATGAACAGGAGACTCAACTACCGTGTGAATACTTGCAAGGGCTTGTTTCAGAAGTGGAAAATCAAAAACAACGATCGAATTACAAATCAAGTCATCCAGCTGACACTGGAAATACATATCTTGCACTTTTGCCTGGAGACGTTGCTTTTCTAAAGTCAAGCTCGAGTAAAGAGCTTGCGCTTCTGATGGGTTCTCAACCTGTGATAAAATAAGCCTTGCTTTTGTAAGCAAGTCTCGACTCTCTCCGATCTCTGGCATGTGGATCCATCCGTTCTGCAAATCTGTTTCAATATGTGTTTTCAGAGTCATGCAGGATTCGAGGACTTGTAGTAAAAAGCCTCTCTGTTGGTTCAAAAGCCTCGATACATCTTGTAAAAGTTTTGACACTGCTGATATTTCAGTTTGAACCTAAAAGTAAATTTATTTTAGCATTTCTCCTTTGTATAAAATTAAGTGATCAATAAATATACATCGGATATCAGTTGTTCTTTTGCTTCGGCGTGAGATCTTATTTGATGTGAAGGATGATCTGTTGGAGTAGCGCAAGCTCTACAGATCGCATTGCTGCAGGTTTGACACCACAGTGCAAGAGGCATACCATGCCTATGGCAGTTTTCGCTTAAAACGGTCTAAAGTAACAAAAAAATTGATTAAATATTACACTATTTATACAAATTTTGATAAAAATACCAACTTTTCGTTCTTTTTCCGGCGGTTTGGACGATGTAAGTTTCATATTAGAAAAGTGCAAGGAAAGTTGTAAAATTGGGTTATAAGTTGGCAGTGTTTCTGGGCCTTGTTCGGCTAACTCTGTCCTCTTCCAACAGTTGACACAAAACACTTCAAGACCCTACAATTGAAAGCCCTTTATTAGTACAAACTATGAAATGGGAATTCTGTTTTAATTAAAAAGTGATATGTGATGCCATTTACTTATTTTTTCAATTACAAAATATTGAACGATATATTTTTAATTGTAAAATGTGGTTTTGCTCATCTTTTGTACAAGTTAGGTACGTTAATTACAAAATTAACACAGATTAATATTAACAGCTAATATTAATTGATTAATTATAATAATTATACACAACTGAATAGTTCTTTTTCACACACACGCGCATGTGCACCGTATCTATTGGATACTGGCAAATACAACTAAATAAATAAATCTTCTGGTTATAATTTTTGTTTATTCTGTTTTGTTTGTACCGATAAGAAATTTTATTAAAAAAAATTACATTGTTTATCTTGTAGCTTCAGTTTATTACATCATCAGTTGGAATTTTTTAACAGCCAATATTATTTTTTGTTCTTTTTAAGTTTGAATCATCCAGTTGGAATAAAATTCCATTTGGGGAAGAAGGAAAAAAGCAAAAGATTTTAGGTGAGAGTAGGGTTTTTCAAGTTTAATCTCTTATCATCTGCCGGTTTTCAACTGTTAAATAATAAAACGTTTCAAAGATAAATTTCATTCAGAAATTTACTTTTTCAGTCCGTTCAAATGCAGTATTTCAAAAATTGCCTTTCCACTATTTGTTCCATGCAAAAAAAAAAAAAAAAAAAAAAAAAAATTAAAAAATGACTACATTCCAATCATCAAATATTTGAAAGAGGAAAAACGAAGAAGTTTTTAGTATCAATTATTGCAATAAATGAAAAAATAGCAATATAATTTTAAAACCTTTTCTCCATTAGATAAAGCGCAGAATTTTTTAAAATATAATTGTTTTTCATGCAATTTAAGATTACAGACCAAATCTACATGAAAAGAACACCAATGAATCAATTACATGTAAATGTTCCAAAAAACATTCTTACATGGTTATGATCATATTTGTCTGCAGGGGATACAAAAGCAATGATAAAGCTTCTGAAGTTAAAGAAAAAAACGCTGGTGAATTAACCGCATATAATAGTTGAAAAAATGAATTTTCACTCACAAAAATGAAGTAGTGCATGTAGTGAAATAAATAATTGACATAAAAACGACAGTACTTATTTAGCACATTTGACTGCTAAATGTATTTTTAAAAAGTTTAAAGATGAATATGTATAATTCACCAAAATTTAAACGTTCTTTTCTGTTTCACTTTGTCATTTTTGGTTCCGATCATTTTGGTCGGCACTGACTAAAAACCGTAATTATAAGATCAAAATGATCGGGAATGACCAAAACTAATTCATCGCCATACAGACTGTAAAAGACAATCTCAATTGAAATTGTTTCAGTAGAATTTCAAGATTGTTTATTAATCTTTTATGCAATTTTGGTTGTCTTTATTCAGCATTTCTGTTCCTTTGGCTTTAAAATGTTTAGATTTATTGAACATTCTATTTACAATAAAAATTCTTATTCTTTTTATTGTATTAACTGTAATTAAAAATTATAACCTATAATTATGAAAAGTATGGTTGAGTTGAAAAATTAGAGCCATTAGCGAGACTCGAACCTGACCTCCGGATCAGTACCCTGTAGGCCATGGGTTCGAATCCCGATTGTGACAATAATTTTTCAACTTAACCATTCTTTGCATAATAATTAAAGTAATTAGTTTGGTTAATTGGCCCAAGTAAAAAATAACAGATTATTATGGCCAATGATAAATTCGTTGTATACGGTAAAAGATAAAATAAAAAACCTTTCTGGAGTATATTTAGTATCGCAGGCATTACATATTTATTTATTTATAATTTCTTTACCTTCATCATCGAGTGGACACAGCTGAGGCAGTAGTAATGCTTGCAGCTGAGGAGCTTGGGTATTTGATCTGTGTCATTGTACTTCTGTTTACAGTAGCCACAGTATGTCATTTCCTCCAGCTCTTTAAGCGCCAAAGCATCCATCATCTGGACGGCGGAAAACAAATTCAAATTTATCAATTTTGTCGGAACGAAAAAAATTATTTTAAAAAAATTAATTATTTTTTCACGGGCTGTAGGATTTTTACACGCTCGGTTTTTCCTCCCTCCACAGGCGAAGAGGTTACCTTCGAGCGCTCAGAGGCATACGTAAATAATAGATATATTGATAAGAAAAGCGGTTGTGAGGATTTTAATTTATATTTTTCTTTTAAATTCTTATCGAGCTTTTTTTAGTAAAGCCGTAAGATATTGAAAAAAGGTTCCGTTGGTTATCCCAGAGAAGACGAAATCACCGTTGGCGTATGAAAAATACGTGGTAAATAAAAATCAATTCTCCGACTCACCTTGGAAAATAAAATTGAGAAACTGGAAAAGACTTCTTTCCTTTAAATAAAAAACAAAGGCGAAAATTTGTTTTTTAATAGGTGAAAACAGAAAAATAAGAAACTGGATTTGGGATGGCTTCAGGAAACAACCGGATCGGTCGCAATCATTCAAAAAGGCTCCGAAATTATTTAATATTTTTCCGAGGGCCCGGTCGAGTCGTATCGCGTTCTCTCCGCCCTTTTCCGTCTCGCACCACTTTAGAAATCAACTCAAAAGAAAATAAAAAATAAATTACGATCGTGTTTATCTTTTAAAAATATCGAACGGGGTTCGGCGGTCGTTGTTGCCACATCATGGAGAGTCTAATGAACTGATGCGAACAAGCATGGCGGACGGTGTTGTCGCTTCCCCTCAAACAAAAAGACTGGGAGGGGCGAGTGCGGCGCCTCTGCCGGCCCGGATCACCAAACGCCGCCGCTAACCATCGCGCAATCCGCCAAATTCTTTTTCCCGCCAATACGCAAAATTAAAAAAAAAATACACCAAAAAATTGGAAAATAAATTTTTTTAAGACACGTCTTTAATTTCATGGATGAACAACTGATGGACAAAATTAACGCACCATCTTTAAATTTAAATGTAAACTGCTCAAAAATGAATAGGGATATTGGTAATTTATTCTTATTCTATTGATTTTAATTAAATTAACCGATATATTCTTGTTAGTTGGATAAAACAAATAGAAAATACAAACCAAAAACAAACAAAAGTTAATCCTCACTTTTAATAACGGATTTACTTAAGAATAGTAAACATGAAGATTTCTCATTTTGTAAACAAACATCTTTTCTCCATTTTAATCCAGTTGTATTCTCTTTGACCGTGGAAAGACATCATCTTGAACAAGAAGTTTGTAATATTATTGTGAGAATGATTCATTGAGGTAACCTGCAAGTGGATATCGAAGAGTCATTTGGTGTTTCTCAGAGTCTCCCGAGCTTTAGCCCGATTCCTAGAGACTGGAAGTGCCAGTAGGAGGCCTGGTAGTGGATCTTAGCACAGAGAGGACAGAAATATTGTCATTGCTGAAAGACGGAATCCTTTCCATAGTGCCCACCAGATCCTAAATGAAGTACAAGATGTTTTGGTAAGGCCTTTATCAATGCAAACAATTCGTAATCTTTGTGGAAAGTTGGCCACACGTCATATGGGCCCCTTTGAGATGATCTGCAGCAACAGACCACTACCAGCAACTCAGGTGAATATGGTGCAGCGAGTGCCTAGGAGCTGTTTGTGCTCTCTTTAGTGCAGTTTGGAGGAGGTGGTGCAATGGTCTAAGGCTGGGATTTACACTGGAGGACAAACTGGACTCCATATTGTTGAAGGCAATTTCACCGCAGTCCATTATGCCGAAGAAATTATCGAGGAATACATCCCTCAAACCAGGGATCTCATTGGCAGGGATTTTCAAATTTCTGGATGGCAATGTCAGATCTCAGTTGTTCATCAATGTATATAGACAATCTGGAAATTGCCCACCTGCCCCTTCTCCCTTGTCTCCAGATCTAAATCCCATTGAACACATGTGGGATGCGTTGCAGAGAAAGGTTATCGATCACCATCCGCAGCCATTTGACCTGCAACAACTGAAACATCTTTGGAGTGAAATTCCTTATGAAATTAGTGACAACAGTATGCCTAACAGGTGCACAGAGGTTTTAGCTAACAGAGGACAATACATAGTATTAAATGTTTAAACCAATTATTGTGTCCAATAAACAAAATTATGGAATATAAAATCTTTTACTTATTTTTCAAAATCCCTTAATTAGATTTTCCTTCAGTAAAAACATCATTTCTAATAAATTTTAATGCAATTTGTAATAAAATAAAAATGCTAGGGAAAGTAAATACTGCAAAATTGACAATATCCCTTTTCAATTTTTAAGCAGTTTATTTAAATTTATTCGTATTTTGCATACCAAAAACAGGTTTGGTTGTAAAAATAAGACATTTAAAAATAAAATGTTTAATACATGATGCTGAGCTTCTGTGAAAATGTGTAAATAATCTTGTCAAGTGGTGTTCATGCAACGGCATGGAACTGAATTTAAATAAGTGTAAGGTTGTTAGTTCTAGTCTTGGACGTAGTGTTGTCTTCTACAATTATGCCATACAAGACATCCAAAGAGGAATCGCCTCCTCCAACAACCTAACATTTAACTTGCATTGCACTTCAATAATTAATAAAGCAAATCAAATTTTAGGTTTATTACATAGAACTAAAAAAAAAATAATAATATGGATAAACAATGATTGTACTGTTTAATGCTATGGTCCGTCCCATTTTAGAATACTGTTCAGTTGTTTCATCACCAGAAAATGTTCATTAACGATTTATTCGCACTCTGTGGTCTAAAATTACTAGAACATACTTGGCTACACTGTACGAACTTTTTATGGAATCCACAGAACTGCAACCACTAAACATAAGACGACAAAATAATGACCTGATATTTTCTTACAATCTCTTAAATAATACGATCGACTGTCCACAATTAATCAGTTTGCTAAATTTCCATCTTCTACAATGCCACCGAACAAAAAATGTTATTTTCAAAATGTAATTATTACACAAATTATTTAAAATTTAGTCCTTCTCCTCGACTCATGGAAACGAGTAATAAACTTCCTTTACATTGTGACACTTTTTACCTTTCCTTAAATTGATTTAAACATTTTTGTAAAAATATTGATCATGACAATTGATTGATTTGTTTTTTGTGTTCATTAAATTTTTATCATTACTTCTCACTTCTTTTTTATTTTTATACACATATGTACTATGAGATAATACTTACAATATTGTATTCATGTTTGTTATGTTGACTCCATATTTTTAATTATTATTATTGTATATTATTATTTATGTTTCAAGTAGCTTTTGCCCAGAACTTCATCCATGTGGGACTCTGTTTTAATGTACCTTTCTAATGCGATGCATAGTGCTAGTATTACTTTCTTATGTAATGTCTCGTTTCTCAAATTCTTCAGTTCATTTCGATCTTTAACACGGTATAAAATTGTCCATATGATCCCCTTAGTAATGGAATTTCAAAAAATCCTTTCTTAGCCGCTATCCATGTCATAGTTATACAATGTCTAAATTTCAGCCCTTTAGATCCAGCAGTTTAGTCAGTGCGTTGTCTGTCAGTCAGTCACAGAGCTGTTTTATGTACATAGATTATTAATTATTACTTATATATAGTTTAAACTCTTATAAAACTTAAACTTACCTTATATTTACCATAAACAAATAAATACCTAATAAAAAACAACAACCCAAACCGTCCCCTTTAATACTGAGTATTTTCAGCTATGGCATGAAACACGACCATTAAAGCTTTTGTATTCCTTGTAAAAGATATCTGTTAAATCTTGAGGAATTATTTCTGTTTCATCAGAACAGTCGTTTCCAACTCTTCTAGAGTGTTAAGACCCGGGATTTGCTGTCGTACTCATCGCTTAAGTTGGGCTCAAATGTGTTTCGATTGGGTTCAAATCTGGACTTCAATCAGGCCACACCACTTAAATTCAACCCCGTTCTGTTCTACACAATACGTGATTTCATTGTGGCCACTGCTCCCCCAAATGTATGAAAAAAATCCAGAACCCGTGAGAATCGAACCCACGACCCACAGGATCTTCTAGCTGAGTCTGATGCCTTAAATACTGTGGTCCCCTTATAAAGTGCTTAAATTTAAAGCTGTTGAAATTTTCTAAAAGTACTGCTTAGTTAATAAAAGAATTTGTGCAAGATCATGAAGGTCATATTTCTGTATGTTCATATATTTAATTATTCTTACCATTATTACATTAAATATCCTCAAAATCTGCATTTCAGATTACTTAATCAAACAAATTATGTTTTTATGTATGTTCCAGGAAAAAGATACTTATGGAAATGAAGTGTCAAAATTGGCTAGGCCGCTTCCCGTGGAATATTTATTAGTTGATGTTCCTGTGTCAACACCCCTCACACCTTTACATACTTTCAGATCGGATCCGACAAAATCACCGTTTCCAATTGAAAATAGGTAAATTGAGTAATTCCATGTACATTTAAAAATATGTTTGTATTTTTTTGTAACTATTTTTACTTTTCAGACTCTTAGATAAACATATACAGGATTTCAATGCATTATCATCTTACATACATCAGTTTTCCTCAGATCAATTTCTCACGGCCGTTTCAGATTTCCATGTTCTTCTGTACATAGCGACTATGGAAATGTTACCGATGAAGGTAATTTTTTGTTTTTTTAATTAATTTTACTGAGAGTTAATTAAGTTTTATTTTTTCAGGATTATTTAGGGCCTTTATTAAAAGCGGTGAAAGAAAGGGATGCAGTCGCCGCGGCAGATTGGGCCAGGTCAGAACACTGGGCGACCGTGGAGCAGCTAGTCGCTTCGAGCCAAGAAGGTCCGACAAGCATGGACACCTCGGCCGAATGGACTTGCCCGCATTGCACTTTTCTCAACCTACCCCACCTTCAGTCATGCGATATGTGCAGCCTTCCGAGATAACCATAACTCCAAGCGTATCTTTGTGATAAATACTTTTTTTTTAGAATGCCGAGATGATTGCTGATTATGAGAGAAAATAAATTGATATTTACCTATATACAAAACAAAGAAAAAATTTAAAAAAAGTTAAAATTTTCAGCAAAATGCCCCCTCTTTCTTGAGTCCGAATGGATGCTTCTGAGCAACCGATTTTTATGGTATGTTGGTTCTAAAAGTAAAGTAAAAATGTGTCAATCTCAAAACTGGGGTTCAGGGCTTGATTCTGTAAAAAAGTGAAGTGTGAGATGGGTTTTGAACAGATTTTTTCAAAAACATAAAAAAATACTGTGATGAAAATAAATTGTGTACTCTTACAGTGGATTGTTTCCTTAGGAAAAAAATTAAACAATAATTATCATCATTAAATAGCAGTTGTAAATTTGTTTTATGTTAAAGTGTTCTTCCTTTCTCATTTTTTTTTACTTTTTTTATAATTATATATTTATATAATTTTTTTTGTAAAAACATTTTTTACTTAAAAAATAGTTTGCATTTTAAAAACCTTTTACTCTTTTCTAACATGAGTCTAATTTTTATCTATTTAAATTTTAAAAAAGTTTACCAAAAAACTTTCCTCGCCACCATTCACTCCAGGATGCGTCATTGATCCAATTTTTTCATCTCAAGGGATTTTATATTGGCTTGCAAGATTAATCTCATTAATATGCATTATTTTTTTCAATAATTTATATTAATTATATTTTATTATATGAAACGTCCCTTTAATGAAAAGAAGACAAACATTTTTCACATTCAAGAGAACATTACACACATCAAATAAAAAATAAAAATCACTGCCATAAGGATGATGGCAAACCAAGGGAGGAAAAGAAAATATTTCTTTTGATAAAATTTTATTTTCATTCATAAATTGCAACTCTCCGAAGGATCCTACACATTTATACTTTTATTCTGAAAGACAAATAGATGACAAAGAGTCACTGGCTTAATCTAATATCATTCTCAACATTGAAACTACATAATGCTATAAATAATTTAAACATGTGAAAACGTATAATAAAAATATGCCATAAATATAACATTCACAAAAGTAAGCTGTCTCTTGTTGGCTTGTCTAGATCGATAAAGTTATTTAATATAAATACCTTTATTTAAAAATCACACAGTATAATGTAATTCATCGTTCACAGGAAAAACACAATTACGAATCACTTAAATTTAAGTTTTTTTTGTTAAATGCTTGGATTTTTCAATTGGTTAAAAAAAATCGGAAGACGAAACATGCTTGGTAAAAACATCTACTGGAACACACAAAAAAAAAAGTTTTTTTATTAAACAATCCATTGCATAAATTGAAATGCACTTTTTGCGCACATATTTACTGTCAATTTGACTCTATTAAAGATAAATTGAATTTTTTTTTGTCACGAAATGTATTATATATATTAAATTATAATTCCATCATGTTTCTTTCTTCTTTTTTCTATTTATTTAAAATAATAAAATTTTCAGGTAGTTTGGCACACTTCAAGTATAGTTCTGTATGAGCAGGGCTAAAATAATTTTTTTTAAAAGTAATGTGTCCAAGCTGAGATAAAAAAGAAAAGAAATAAGCGTGACATAAAAAGCGATATAAATTTATAGGAACTATAAAATAAATTCGGTCATTAAAAATACAGTAATGGTTCTTGGTTGATAATCCCCGAGAATCCACTGTCTTTGGCAAAAATATTTGCATATAATTTTAAACTTTTGAATTCATGACATTATCATAAATGAGCAAACAATATCACAAATAAACCAAGTTTTAATCAGCTGGGAAGGCTTGGTTGGTTTGTTTTAAATTATTTTCAGTAATTTCACTTAGCTTTTTTTTTGTATACAAAAAACAAAAATATATTTTAAATCTCAGTTTGAACCAATGTTTAAAGTTTGATGGCAAATATCAACTATCTCACTTTATGTTTACTTTTTCATATATTTTTAATAGTAATAAACTACTCAATGAAAATTGACCACCATGGGAGTTAATTTTAATTTGTTCTTCCAAGCTTGTATTGTTTCGAGGGTAAAAAGCGACAAACTAAATAAGATATTAAATAACTCCAAAGGAAGCCGACGAGTACGCTTGCAATCCAACGTTAAATATACAATTTCATACTTTAAACAGCTTAACAAATTGGAAAGATGACAGAAAAACCTACTACATCGTATAATTTACGGTTTTTACTTCTATACCTAAAAAATGCTAAATATAAGTCTTTGAAGAAATTTTTTTTCAAATTTTCATGGATGTAAAAAAAAAATTGTACTATTTAATTGTAAAAACTGTGTTCACTATTAAAACTATAAGCCTTAAATGTAGTTTTTAATACGCCTATTTAATAATAAATAATTGATGTTTATTTTTTTAATAACAATTTTTTGTCAGTTTCTCAATTTTTTGTTTTGGATTTTAAGCATTTTGCAATGAATTTTTTTTCATATTGCAAAATTTTATAAATTTTCTGTTTAATTTTTGTAGAAAAAAAATTGTCAGAGTAAGCAATCTCCTAGGGTGGTCAAACATTCTTCTTAATTATAAACCTCTAATTACTCATAATTCATCAAAATACATTTCTCCTATATGTCAATTTCTTAGTATTATAAATAGACTCATGTGACTACTTTATAAGACATGGGTACTGTATATGTAAATACGATTAAATTTATCACAAACACCGAATAACAACATTAAAAGTTAACATCGAACTATTAACACAATTCTTATTGCAGTAATTTATCAGAACGAGTTTTTTTTAAGTACACTAAAGGGGATAAAGATATTCATAGTTCTGAAAGTAAAGAAAAACAAAATATTGTCATTTAAGGCTTATTCTATATGGATAATTTGAACATATATCGATTGGAGACAATTAGCATTTGATCACAGATAAATAATTTACTTGCTCGTCTTGTAATACTTTTAAACAATATGGCATAGTTTATTGTATACCATATGAGAATACTACACGCAGAGGAATAAAATTTTTGGTTTTAAAAAGACAGAAGCCGCAAATTTAACAAATATCAAAAGAATTCATTTGGCTTAAAGAGACTTGTTTTGGCATAAACAAAGAATTTAAAAAAATTCAATATACCGATAATTGCAGAGGGTACTAAAATGGATGGAAGCTCTATAATTTCTACAGTCTAAAAAATTATGAAATAAAAAGTGATACAAATTTTCTTACAGTAATTTGATTAACTATCTTAATTTTACCTAATCTATTAAAAAATAAATATAAAAATATAAAATAAAATGAGCAAAACGGTTACTAAAAAAACAATTAAAAACATAAAAAATGTCATTTAGAAACATGTTAGCTTGTGTTCTATTTTCTATTGGTTTTGTTTTGTCATAAGGGGTGTCTTTTTGTTTAACTGTATAAATGATTGAGAATGGCAAAGTAGTGAATGCCAGCAGCACAGGCAACAAACAGATGCCAGATGGCATGGGCGCATGGTATTTTACCATCAGACTTAAAGAATATTACACCTAGAATATATAGCAAACCTCCTAGTTTCAATGCCTCTTCGCCGGGGCCCATTGCCTGAAAGCATACAACAAAATGAGGCGTTAATTTCAATCAAAACTTAAAAAATGTTGAGGACTTACATTGTAATGCATAACAATGATAGACGGGCCCAATCCCATTAAAACGTAAAAGAATGTCTCGAGTGATTTGTACTTTTCGTGAAAAATTTGTTGATAGGTGATTCCTAAAAATGCAAGCACCTGAAACAAATCAATTAAAAAATATACATTGAGCTAGCACATATGTATATATGCATAAATCTGACAGTATCAAAACATGACATGGTTAGGAGAAAAGACAGCCAGTGCTGGAACTTTGTTATTTTGTTGTGATTAGGTTAGGAAGTCACGATGTCATTGCCGTTTTAGACAGCATGGAGGATCGTAAGGATGAGGGTTGAGGAAAAAGCTTGGGCTAGTGGGTCAAATGTGGAGGGATGCTTGGTTTGAAAGGTGATCAGATAGGTTGGTGGTGTAGAAGGGAGTGTTGAGGATGCAGCGGACTCTGTATTGAAAAGATTGGATTCATTGGATGTTGAAGTGCTTTATAAGCAGTATGCTCAGAGTTTCAGTCAAAGTAGGAGACTGAGTTGTACATTTTTTTAAAGTATGAGATATATGCTACCCAAATAAAAACCAAGGTAGCAAACATGGTTAGTTGGAAGGATTAACTTGTTTATATGCACAGGTGGGCAGGTCTGAAATAGTTTAACCACCAATGAGCACCAGTTGGTAATTAGGTTTAGGTTCTTGTATTGGTTCTATTCCTAGTATAAGGTGCGATATAATAAGTGAAGATTTGTGTGTTGAAATGAGTAACAAGTGTCCTAAGATACCTTGTGGAACATCATTAATGATATGATATATGAAAAACTGGAGCTGATTTTCTCTGTAAACCAGCAATCCAAGAAGGACTGGGATAGTAGATGTAAGGGAGGATACTTTTAACTTGAAAAGCAGACCGTGGTGCTGTACTTAGTCAAATGCTTCAGTAATGTCCAGAAATAGAGCTCAGCAATATTGCTTATTTTCTAGAGCTGAGGATATCGACAAAGGGATCTGAAACCAAACTGATGAATTATGGAAATCTGTGTGACAAAAAGAACACTGTTGGAAAACTTTTGTTTATAAAGAAAACCTATGTTAAATGAGATTTTTCTTTAAAAAATTGTTATATAAACTATGACCTGAAATGAACAAAGACGGATACAGCCCAAAATTTGGAGATGGATTACCTTGTTTATGGGCACTAGTAGCCACTAGGCAATTTTGTCTGAGCACAAACGCCAAATCGGCTTTTTGTTTGTAACTTGATCCCCCACAGGAGTGCATTAGTCGGTAATAAAGCTTAAGTGTTCTTGGATTGCTTTTGTCGCTAGAATAAGGTCAGAGTATGTGCAAAGGATAGCAGTGTTGTCAACATATGTGGAGGCCCTGGCAAAAGTCAGCAACACCAATGACCTAACTCTGACATGGGTCCCTGGCAATGAAAAGGTTGACATGTTGGCCAAAGATGGAGCCAACACGGACTCTCTAGGTCCTGAACTCTTCTGTGGCCTAGCATTTAGCCACAAAAGAGAATACATCTCAAAAAAGTCCAAAACCTGGTGGGCAATATCACAGACATGAAGCACGCCAAGGGATTCATAGAAGGGATGTCCACAAAGGATTTACTGGAAGGCAACCCCACTGAACCAGGATCCTGGTTGGACTCCTGAGAGGACATTGCCACTTAAGAAAGAACATCCAATGGAGTACAGATAGAAGAAACACTGTGCAGATACTCCAGGAAGAGGAGATCGCATTTTATGTTTTTGTGAACGTCTATGTAGATGCAGATTCTTGCAACTAGAACAGGAAAGTCAAAGCAAGATCCTACACTAAGGAGCTGCTGACAAGGCTATGGAGGTTGATTAACAACTTGAAGCTAGCCAGTTAGGTGTAAAAAACAGGGGAGTACAATAGATTTATTCAGGTTGGGGTGCAGAAGGCCTTGTAGTCGCCTCTTTTATCCCTATCCCCATCCCAATGTATGTGGCATGTGTTAGAAGCAGTGAAGATTGTGTAGAAGTCTGGTCTTAGTAGGATACTTCCTTGTGGAACACCATTACCTGCATGATGCTTAAGAAATCATGGCTGGTTATCACTTTAAACCAGTAATCTGAGAGAAACCCACATAATAAATTAAAATTGTAATTTGATGAATTTGTATTTTTCCTTCATATATATAGTGATTATGTATCATTATTTGGCACTAAGGGATTTTTATGTTCATTTAAAATTAAGCAATGGTATTGTGGACTAATTCTTTGTCCAATTTCTGAAAAGTCATTGCATATGTTTTCCTGTTGTTTTGAATTTGTTGAATTTAAAATAAACATACAAGGTGAGGCTAGGACAGTCATGGGGGCCACCAATTTCAACGAAACTTTTTAAATGATACTAGGTCGAAAAATATGAGACACGTGTCCGAGGGTTACGTCCAATAGGCCTCAGGAGTGAAGAAAATTTTTTTTTTTAAGGTGTAAAATGATCACAAATTACGTTCACAATACTGCTACTGCTCCTGGCTCTCTCTCAATTTTAATGAAATTTTAAAGGATGTTAGTACATCGAAAAATATAAATTTATATATGGTATAGCGAAATTAGCTCTAGGAAGCCTGGAGCCAGAAAAAAGTTTAATTGAAATAATTGGTGATCCCACGACCATAGCCTCCACTTGTCAGTGTGAAAGCATTAGTAAAAGAAATACTTTACAAAAAAAAAAAAAAAAAGATTCGATTAGATAATCAATTTTAAGTAGTATATCACCATGTCAGCTTGATTGTTCTTATCAGAAAAAAAATTATCAAACTAAACTCAATAGTATTAATTGTATATGAATAAATAAAGCCCACGGATGGGTATTTTAAATTTTGTTCAATTCTGAACCACAAATACGAAAACTGAATAAATAAAAATTACATAACTTTCGTAGTTGCGATTGTTTAAGTTGTTAAGAATGTCAAATAAAATTCAACACAAGAGCCTCTTATGATTATCACTGTTGATATTATAAAAGAATAATGACTTTGATCGGAACAATAGGGTATCAAAATTATCAAATTGATTGCAACGATAACGGATATCTTTTAAGTGATATATTATATAGAAAAGCTTCAAAAATCCCGGGTTTAAATATTATTAGTTTTACTACTACAAAAATAACTCTTAGATTCAACAATGCCTAACACTTCAATTTTAATATGTAGAATTTGTCCAAAAAAATTTTTTTTTTTATTGTTCTTATCTAATGTAATTTTAATTTATCTTTAAATCCACTCCCTGCCTGGTGTTCATTGACGCCTTTTGATTTTTTTTTTAAATAGTGAAGAGTATTATAAAGTTGAACTTTTCTTCTAGAGATTTTTCATCTGGGCATGATAAAAATTTAGTTTTTCGGTGCATACAATATTTCTCTCTAGTCAAATATATAATACATTAGAAATATAATTGATTTGAATCAAGAACTAGTAGATATTAAATAAAAAACTAAAATAGTGCATCAAAATTCTTGTCAATTGCAATTGAAAGATAATTTTTTCTTTTTAGAAGGCAGCTGGCATAAAAATTGGTTCAAAATATCTTCTTTGTGAGCCAATTAGGACAAATTGAATCATAGGTGGTAGTTACGTCACCACTTGTGCTAATAATTTTATCATAAAAGGCTCACAGCAGGATCAATACTTAAACGCTTGAAACCCGCTGGAACTTTGTTAATGTTCACTCACCCATACAATCCACCACAGATGAGCTGGCACCGTGTCAGTCGGTAGCGGTTGCAAAACTAGCCAGGGAAAGTAGGAGGCTGCTATAAAAACATAGATCATTGCCCTATCACCCCTATGCAAAATCTCCTTCAGGGGTCTTGTAATATAAACAAAATACAATAAATAACATCACAGTATAAATGTAATAAATGTAATATAAACCTGTTGTTCCCGCAATAAAATACAGAATGGAATATCGTTGAAACGGTGAAGCAAAGAAATAGGGAAATTCCGTACACAACTGCTGCCCAGAAGTGAGACCAGCTCGAAGAACGTGCGAGTAGTTCATAGCTTCCATAGGCACTCGGTAGGACCCAAACCTGAAAATTAATTGTAATTATATTTAAGCGAGGCTATCTGATAAATATTATAAGTCAATTGTAAATAGGTTAAATTTCTAGAATAATAACACCTAGAAATAACTTATTCCTGTAATCTGTGTAAGGTAACAGATTTATGTAAGCTCAATTCTGTGAATACAAGTTATTTAAGACTTTTCATGCCAAGCTACTTCAGGTTTTGGCAGTTTGGGTCAAATCCAGCCCAAACACATGCAGTTTTTAATGCTAGATACAGTCATATTCTTATTCATTCTTCAATAGATTCTTTCCTTCACTTTACCACTAATCTAATTGAGGGTTTATTGGATGCTCAGTATAATACTATCAGCCCTCACACTATTCATTCACGCTAACAAATACATTTAATCACAAAACACAAAATGAGATATCAACCAAGTGTACTATATTCAATAAAACAGTCCTGTTCTTTTCAAAAATTGGAACAGGGGATTCAAATATTCAAAATTCTCATATCAGGTGGCATTACTACACACTCTCTATATAGAGCCAAGTAATGACACCTTTCAATTAAGTGGGACACATCGAGCAAATTTTCTCGTTCTCAAACACGTGCTTTGGGCAAAAAGTAAAGGTCAATGTGTCTTGCCTCGCATGGCCTATTTTCAATCAGGTGAGGATGATACCTCTTCTACGATTCAGATCTGATGATATTTTATTTTAGTATTTTTAGTTGTGTTTTTTTATTGCATTTTTAGCATCACAGTGGTGACGTCCAAAGGTAGCTGTACCTTTTTCATTCTGTTCAAGGACAGGCTGAATCTTCAAACACTCTTCAGCAGGCCAGTGGCCGAGTGGTTAGGGTGTCTGATTCTTATTTGCCAAGCTAGTGGTTCTGGGTTTGAATCCCCCCCCCCAGCAAAGCCTGTAGTATTTAATGTTTATAGTATGAAAAATTTATGTGGTTTGACCCCTTGTGCACAATACCCAAAGGGTTTTTGGATGTTAGTCCTCCCATAGGACAGGAATTATTTGACTTTACTTTTTATTTTATAAGCTTGTACTCATTATATTGATGGGCAGGAAGTAAATCATCGTCTTTTCCACAATAGGTAATTATTATGTCAGACGCATTTTGGTCTAATATAAACCATCTTCAGTGATGTTCGTTAATTAAAGTAGTTTGACAGTTTGTAAACTTATAACTATGTAAAAAACCAACAAACTACTTTAATTAACAATAGTCATTGAAACGCGTCTGACAAAATGTTTATTGTGGAAAAGACAATTAAGTTCATACCCATCAACTTATTATGGATGGAAACTGATCCACAAAATCAGGATGGAAACTATCAAAAAATTAAAAGAAGCTTGGTTCATTATCTACATTTTAAAAATATCATGTTTTGGTTTTGCAATATTGGATAACTTTTTCTTATGATATAATTTCAATGAGCTGTTAAAATTAAACTAAAAGAAAATTTTAGAAACATTATTACGAGGGCTGGAAGGTTGTCAGCTCCTTCTAAAGATCATGATTGAGAAAATAACACAGACCAACCACTAAAGAACTGACAGGTCTGACAAGCAAAACAGTCGGACAATGATAGAATTACAAGAAAAATATTATTTCTCATTATGACATTTAATATAAATGAATCAATAATCAATAAGCTAATAAAAAAAAGGTTCATTTAGATTATTTTGGATCTATGTAAATGAATTTTGAAAAGATGTAGTACAATTTGTGTTATATACCTCGATAAAACATCGATCGACTTAATAGCTTAATATCCTTGTTTATAATCTTCTGGAGAGAAGAATAAAGCTAGAAATACTCCAACTAAAAAACATGCAAAACACGCAACCCCAAGCCAAGGTAGGGCTTTTTTGGAAAAATAAGAGAGATGTGTAGGTTTTAGTAAAAACATTTGTTTCAACAATAACTGTGTTAAGAATTTATCAGTTAGTTTGAGCTTTATCAACAGGATAGTGCCTATGTTTACATAGATCAGCAAGCTAGCGCAATTTCAGTCACAACTGCATGAACATTGCAATTTGATCCAGCCGTTACCCAATAGACTTAGTCAAAAGTCCATAATTGAGTTGGCAACTTGGATCGATAAAAGTTCAATAATTTTAAAGATTCTCCCCCAAGCTTGGAACCGTTTAAGAAATTTCTTTTAAAACAAAGAAAAATCCGGTCAACTGAATTCTTACACTAGCGCCCGTCTTATAAAATAGAAACAAACAAAGTGCAGTTGTGTATGCATTTTAAATTAGGCAAGTTTAAACAAGCTTGGAAGAATTTCGAAACAGTACTGTTGGCAGGAATGTAGTTTTTTTATTTTTACACAAAGAACAATTTATATTATATATGTATATATATTGTATCTATATATAAAGGTATTATCTAACATTATGAATATGTATATGAACTTTTATTTATTGTGTATTTTAATTTCTAGAAGGTATTAACTATTCTTTTAGAAGTGAGAAAGGAAGGATAAAAAGGTATAACTGGCTTGGTAATCAATTTAATCTATTTGTTCATGTCCGTGAAACCATAAAACTGTACGTGGAAAAGAGGCTCAAATCAATTCTATTAACTAGTGATAAAATTTTCAAGACTGTTTCATAACATCACGCATTGCGTAAAAATATAATGAAGATCTGATGAAACGAAAATACTTTTTTTTAACACAGATGATTTATTGAAACCAAACGCTTTCAACAATGGTATAATAATAGAAGATAATAATTGTCGTATGTGTAGTTCTAGTTCTAATTTGAACTAGGCCTTGAAAGCTAAATATCGCACCTCCTATTTTGGCAAATATTCACATATTTTCCCAAAAGGCATCTTTGAAGTAGAAGATAATCAAAAGATCTTGTAATACGAAACAAAACGCTGATGAAAACTTATAAAAATCTACATTGTATCCCAATCAAATTTGTAGTACCTAATTATATTTTATCAAAGTTAATCCATCTGTCAGTTCAGTTTAAAATCAGAGCCATAATTTTCCCCATGAAGTGTGATTCTAAAAGAAACATTCTGACAGGTTTTTTAAACATAATTTTTAATATTATTTTTATCTTTCACTTTTAAGACAAATTGACTTCTTTCTGAAAAAAGCATTGAAGTATGTTTTATCTTCTCCCATAGACCTTGGAGTTTATATTCAAATGTGTCATAACAAATGGGCCAATGTATAGATTTTGAATTCATATAATTACCATACCAAATTGGGCAAGACGATTTTTTAAAATTTACAATTCTTAAAAGGCAAATTGATGTAAATTGAAAAATTCAACCTGAAAACCTAATCTAAATTGACTTGAATTACGTTAATTAATTGAATTAACACACTTAGAAGTTAACATCTTAAAATATACGATTAATAAAGCTGAAAATATTAAGCCGTTAATAATGAGTTTTGCTGTTCTTATCTGTTTATTATCTTTGTTACTATTTTAATCTTTCCGTTTTCATGAATGTTGAATTACTCTTTTATAACTAATAACTCTGGTAATAAACACACAAGTGCTGTCATTTAATAATCAATCGATCATACTAATTATTTCGCAAACCACAAGTGTGTGCTTGTACATACACGTGTAAAGATTTTTTATTTTTATTTGTTAATATTAACTTTATAATAAATTAATAAAAACCTTTTTTAAATTTTAAATATAGATAATAGAACGAGTTTATTTGATTAAATCGAGGTTTTGAAAATTATAAATTCAGTAATTATAAAATTAAGTGTGATCAATTTGTATAATTCAAAAGGCTGAAGATAAGATTTTTACTTTATTAAAATTCTGTGAATATTTGAATTGACATAATTTTCAAATGATAGAAAATTTAACAGAGTGGATGTTATTTGTTGAAATGTTACAACACTGCTGAAAAAACATTCAGCCTGACTTCTACACAATTTCAAAAAAACTTTCACTTTATTTTGTTCTGTCCTAATGAACTTATTCAACAAGATAACAGATATTTATCCAAATTGTATTTTTAGACATATCTGTCCTATTATTTTGATATTCAAAAATATAAATAAAGGAGAATTTACAATTTACAATATTTATCCTTTCTTCCTCTACTTAAATAATAAAAACTGCTATTTTAATTTTATTTAAAACAAAACGAGGAAGAAGATTATTTCAAAATACATATTTGTTTAAAATTAAATTTCATAAACAAAAGATAAACATTGCTGTTAACGGCTGTGTCAAGATCTGTAGACTAGATTATATAATTACATCCCGTAAACATGAACACAAACACATGCACGGTCACATGTAGCATGCAAAAGTAAATTAATATTGCAAATAGTAATAATTTGATGATCCTGGTCTGATTATCCTTGATGGGTTGGTCTGTGGCTTCTCGCCATCTTCAGTGTGGGGTGTATTGGTGCTATAGGTAGACTAATTTTATCGGTATTTCTATAGTTCTATAGTATAATTGCATCTATATGACAACTGATTTATAGAAAACATTATTTATTGGCTCAATTATTAGCCAGAGGTAAAGAAATTACTAAGGCCAGGACATCCCCAACTAAAAACAAAGAAAGAAAAACAAGTAAAAAATGTGACTCATATAAAAAGAGTCAACCTTTACCCTATTAAGGATAGGCCATGAGGTCGTCACACGAACACTTACTTTTGGGCCAAAGCGTATGCAGGATGCCATTCCTTGACTCCATATAGAGAGCGTGTAGTAATGCCACCCAATATGATAATTCTGCTTGAGCATGGGGCCTCGTTCTGATTTTTGGAGGAATATAACTATATAACACTAATAGTTTTGTGTCTTTAGCGTGTTGAGAGTGAATGTATTTATTAGCACGAATGTGGGCTGCTCGGCAGCTGGAGATAAGAGGTCTGTCCCCGGATCGCCAACACCCAAGGTGGGTGATTCCCAAGGCCAGTCATTAATTTATAGAAAATTACAAAGGCTGAAAAACTGGACTGTGAGAAGTGATAGGCTCAACTCTACACATGTATATATATATATATGTACCTGTGTGTGCATATTTGAGCTTATATTAATCAATAATCAGTAATTATCAGTAAAAAAAATTCTTCAACACTTTCACAAAAAGAGAAAGATAAAATAGAGGGCAGAGATATCAGAGATACGAATGGTGAGAAATCGCATTAACAAATGCTTTCACCTTTTAAAAACCTTTATTGTTTTGATTTTTTATTATAACAATAATTTTTTTTAAATAAAATTAGAGTCAGGACTAAGTTGTCGATAATTTTTTTGAAAACCCAAGTCAGGATTCCTTCCACAGAAATTAAATAAATTTGTTATACCCGCGGAAACTACTGTTTGCTAACAAAGTTATCTCAAAAAGAAAACAATTTATAAGATTAGAATAAGAAGATAATACGCTGATAAGTATGGCACCAAAACACTGATTGCAAAATGATTTCACCTTTAACCTTTTTTTGAGTTTTTATTAAGATTAGAATTCCTTTTCAGAATCAGAGTTGAATTACATTTTAAATCTTTTTTATAGGTTCCTACTTATTTATTATTTTGCCAAATAAAAATTATTATGTTTAATGTAATATTAATAATGTATTAATATTATAATATATGTATTATTATGTGTAATACATAAATTATAATAATGATTTTTTATTGGTAAGAATTTTTGAACAATAGGGTCTGGATTGGTTCTATTTCGTTTTTGCCAAATAAAGTTTAATCATGTGATTTCCTCCTGTGGCTTGTGGGTTGATGAACCTATAATGTGATCCTTACTGATCATCTTCTTGGTTTAATTTCCTCATTGGGTTGGTCTGCATTTTGCATTTGAAATCTCACAATATAGAAATAATTAAAGTTAAAATTTCTCGTGTAGAAATGTGTGGTGATTAGTGACCGTTAATCGATAATCGGTCTGGACCGCATCTCACGATTTCTGAATAATTAGTTAAAATTTCTTTACAATATAAATTTATTTTGTATGCGACATGCATCGAAGTGCAGTTGTATGTGCGTTTTAAATTTGGCATTTGCCTTGAATTGAGACCAGCTCAGAAAAATTTAGAAATAGTACTGTTGGCACACAGGAGTGCAGTTTTTTATTTATACAATAATGAATAATTTTGTACATAAAAAATGTATGTTTAGTATGAATATTTATTCCTCAATTTTATTGTATATTTTAATCACTAGAAGGTATTATCTGTTCTTTTTGAAGTGAGAAAATAAGGGGAAGGGAAAAAAATGTATAACTTGTATAAAAATCAAATTAATCTATTTGTCCATGTTCCAAATTGTAAAAGTGTACAAAGAAAAGAGGCTAAGTTCACTCTATTAATGAGTGGTAACATTTTCAAGATCGTAATTATAAAACATTTATAAACAAAAATTTCACATACTGCGATATGCTTTTTTTTGTACAAATTTTATTGTAAAAAATTGTCAATTTGATCTATTTCCATTTGTTAATACTAGGAATTCAAAATACATATTCACTCATGCATGTGCATGCAAGCACACATGTGCTTCATACCAGAGAATCGCTTGATATTTAGTTGGAAATGGATTCGAATGTTATGGATTTTTTTTTTTAAGAACTACTGTTTTTCTAAGATTCCATTTTTGTTGACTGTTAGTCGAGTGGGTCAGGGAAGAAAAGAGATCAATTTTTAATAAAAATATATTTGCCATTATATTATCTAATGTTTTGGCTCTCTCGGAGCCATCTTCAGGGGTATATCTACAAAATACATGCAGGTTCAAGTGAAAGTACAAACATTAACAAACTAGGAAATTTTTATATAAAAAACAAACCTCATCTTTTAAAAAATAGCTTTAAAGACTAATCTAATTTCATAACTGTTTTATCTTATAGTAGTATAAGAAACATTGAGAGTTATAATAGTAAATATATTAAAAAACTAATCTCTTTTCTTCTCTGGCCGACTCCTTGACTAATAATCAACAACTTATCAATGTTTTTAAACTGTGACATTGAATCTTATTGAGTTTCTTTTGTAAAATAATTAAGAAGAAACCTCTTATGTTTATTGTAATAGAACAAACCAAAAATGTCTATTCCTATTTATTTATTATTTCATAAAATAAAGATTATGTTTAAATGTATGGCTGGTCCATTTTTATATTTTTGTATCAGGATTTTAAGTAGGTTGTCTGTTTACTTTATTATGGTATGGTAGTACTAGAAATAAATCTGTTATACATATTCACTCATGTGCCTGAACAGCAAACTGAATCTCTTTATATTTGGTTAAAAATTGATCAAAACGTTATGGATTTTTTTTTCTTTTAAAGAAAACTGTATTCGATGTTTTAAACCAGTGACATTGTACATACATTTTCTGTGACTATTCTTATTTTTTTAAATTACATTCATAGAACGATGTTCTTTGGAAAGATTACATCCTGCTTTACCAAAATAAAATAAATAAATAAAAAGTTGTTTAATTTTTCCCTTATCAGATCTATTCTCTTGAAGAAATTGTTTCCATTCCAAAAATACCTACTCTCGTTTTTTCCAGTTTCAGTGACCTGACAATTTTTTGTACTCTGAAGGTTTTGAGGCCCTTAAAAAAGAGATTTTTTTTTTGAGGAAGGGAGATTGAAAGAGTTATAGTGCAATAACACATCTAATATGTAATCAAGAAAAAACTATCGTAAAGGAAAAAGTTCAAAATCAAACCAAAATTACACAATATTTTAAAACATAAATTTTTTCATACATACAAAATGTTTACACACTTGGTTAAAATAATTTTATATTCATTTTTTTAATGTTTCAAAATGTGCATATATTTATTTTTAAATACATAATAAATATATTTATATGCACATATTATGGCAATATTGATTATGGAGTGAATTTTGTTCTTAAAATCTACTGTTTTGTTACCCACCCCTCCACCAAGGACAATTCTTCAGTTGCCTTAACTGATTAAAAAATATATATATCCTCTTACATATGTACACTGTATAAAAATATGCCAAAAAGATCTATTCCTTCTTATTTATTAATTTTTGATATAAAAAATTGGCATAATGTGTGGTTGATCGATTTATATCACAATTGTAAGTTGGTTTTAAATCAATTCTTATCTTTTTATATATAGATTTTTGTTTTTGTTTTTAAATAAGTTAAAAGAAATCTCTCTAATATATGCGTACTGCATTACAATATGCCAATAAGATCTATGCATACTTATTCATTATAATCTGATATAATAACAATTTGATTTAATGTACGTTTGACATGTTGATAAATTTAAATCAGGATTTTAAGTAGGTTTTCAATTCTTATTGTTTATTTCGTAAAATAGTTGAGAAGAAACTTCTCAAGTGGGAATTGTAATAGAACCAACCAAAAATATTTATTCATATTTATTATTATTTCATATAATAACAATTTAGTTTATATGCCTGGTTGATCAATTTATTATTTTTACATCAGAATTTCAAGTAGATTTTCAATTTTTATTGAGTTTCTTTTGGATAATAGTTGAAAAGAAACTTCACATGTGAGGATTGTAACAGAAACAACCAAAAATATCTATTCTTACTTATTTATTATTATTTCATATAATAACAATTTAGTTTATATGCCTGGTTGATCAATTTATTATTTTTACATCTGGATTTGAAGTAGATTTTCAATTTTTATTGTTTATTTTGGATAATATGTAGTTGAGAAGAAACTTCACATGTGAGGATTGTAACAGAAACAACCAAAAAATATATTCTTACTTATTTATTATTATTTCATAAAATAACAATTTTGTTTATGACTGGTTGATCAATTTATTATTTTTACATCAGGATTTGAAGTAGACTTTCACTTCTTATTTAGTTTCTTTTGTAAGATCATTAAGAAGATGAGAGACTCTCACGCCGCGGTCGTGGGTTCGATTCCCACCGTTGCCCCTGGCCCTTTTTTCCCAATAACCCCCCAAATTTGAACACACATATACGAATTTGTCACATGGCTAATATGCATAGTTCATAACGCCAAAAAAAAAAAACAAGTTAGAAATGTTAATGACAGTTTACGCACTTTCGGATGCTGGATTATGTGGGAGAAGGCCTGNAGAATCCGCTTATGTGTGTACTGTATTAAAATATGCCAAAAAGATCTGTTCTCATTTATTTATTATTATTTGATATAATAACAATTTTGTTTAATGTATGGTTTGTCAATTTATATCAGAATTTTATAGGTTTTTAATTAATTTATTAAATTTTAATTACTACAGATAGATGATTTAATTTTCTTAAAGAACAATGCATTCAATGTTTAACGTGGGGTTTCTTTTTAAGATTAAAGATTTTTTTTTTCATGTGAGTATGATCTTGATAAAAACAAATATACATTTGAACAAGTGTTGTTTCAGATATAAAATTTTTAGAATGAAAGATGTCCATGCAAGAAATGTCTTGTGCATGTATATGCAGTTATACATTCAAACCGATAAATTTAGAGCGTACTTACTCCATGAGTTATGACATTTGCTATATGTTCAACAGTTGTAGGTACGTAAGCCTTGTCCGAGGTTGCCCTCTCATTCATCCAGTTGATTCTGCGAAAGATGAAGTTGTTAAATTTAGCAAGGTTGTCGGTTTTTGTAATGTGACGATAAGTTGTCAGTACTTACGACTTGAGGTTTTGCAGGGATGTGTTGTGAAGGGGGCTGAAGAGTGATGTGTACTTTCCGAGTGCCATCCTTAGAGTTGACATGTTGACGGTGTCATGCCTGGGGGCCGTCGCTCTTCCGTCCTGAGTGTGTGCGCGCGTTTGTGTGTGTGTGTGAGTGTGTGACTGTGACCGCGAATCCGTGACCGGCCGGGCTCGGCTCCCTCTTTCGACTGGCGAGTGGGGACTGGTGTCTGTTCTGGCCGCCGTCGCACGATTACTCCATCGGCCGAGAAGAGGGAGACTAGAAGAGTCGCGTCGTGAGATTCGCCCGATTGATGCCCCCGGCTCCTTTCATCCTCATCTTCCGCCCTCTTCTTCCGAGTCTAGTTTTGCACACTTTGCAAAGCCCGACGCCTCTCGGTTGTATTTGTGAGTCTGTCTGTCTGTATGTGTGGAATTTTGGAAAACTTTCGAATTTGGAAGCACTGAGTTTGTCGGGACGTTCTTCGGACCGGAGGCCGGGAGTGATTTGAGGTCTTGTGTCTGAAAAGTTACAGAACAGAGAGGAGCCTCTCACCTGTGGGGGTAAACGACATCCATGCGCATTCCGGCCTTTTTACCTGCGAGTATTAATAGTTACTATGAAAATTAAATAAATATTCCAACAAAACCCTTTCCCGGTATAAGAAACAACAATCCTTTAAATTTTATATCGTTTAAAAAACATTCCTGTTAAATAATTTTCCAACAAACAATATTATATTTCCACCGAAATACATACTAGTTTTATAGATTTTTAATTAATTGCACCAATTATTCCTTCTCTGGTGTAATAAACAGTATTTATAACTTGGAAGAAACCTGTGATATTTTTTTACAGCTTATTCTCCGGCCAAGTTATGATGTTTAATCTAACGGTAACCAACTTTCTCTTTTCTTCTATCCTTTCTTATATATTTTATATCCTTATATCCTCCCTGTACATCAGGGCCTCGTAAATTTTGGATAAAATAACACAAATAACAATCAAAAATACACAGAAACAAGTTAAAAACATGATAGTCTGGTTAGGATTCACACTTCTCCATAGTGCTCGATATTCCTCGGGGTGATTGTGAATAAACCCATCCATTCGTGCTAATAAATTCCAAGCACACATCACAATTCATTCACACTACCCCAGAGTACTCGATATCTTCGAGGTAATTGGGGATCAAGATCAAGGCATCACTGGGCAGTACCACCATGGGGGAGTGCAAGGCAGATCGACGATCGCAATTGATGAGCTAAATACACGAGTAGCTTCAAATATGTCGCAGTGTTTATTTTGACATCAGCAAGGCGCTCGATCGGGTATGAAATCATGCCTTCAGAATTAAAAACTTCCAGGATACATTATCCGCCTGATGGGGAGTTACCTGAGTGATAAAAAGACTCTAGTGTAAGGTGGTAAAATGGGTGAGAGGCGGGTCGAAATGGGAGCCCCCCCCCAAGGATTTGTCCTGGGCCCCCTACTATGGTCCCTCACCTTCGAAGGGCTGCTGCGGAGGTTGAGTGAAAGAGGCTTCATGTCTATTGCATATGTAGTCTACTTGGCTGTGATCATCGAGGGCAACATAAAAGAAAACTGGAAGAAAGAGAATGCCGGTGCAGTGGTTTGCTGACTGAAAACGGCCTTGCTCATGCTCAAAGGTAAATTGAGTATGAAGTTTGTATCCAGGGAAGGTCTGTACAAGTTCGAGTACCTCGTTTGTGAGAGGAAGGTACGTCGGCTTCCAAAACTACGTTGAGAGCCTCAGGGACAAAGTATTCTACCATGCAATCCGGGGAGTCTCGTACCGACAAAAAATTAATAGCCTCAGCAATAAGCTTGTCGGTACTTACGTATGCTCGTCCGGTTTGGGCAGCGCACGTTGACAAAACGCGAGCTCAAATATTACTACAGACTCAGAGGAAAACCTGGCTGAAAATAAAAAGAGCCTACAGAAACGTTACACGCTGGTGAGCTGCCCGTGGATATCCTTGAGCAACAAAGGTGTTCCATCTGGCACCTAAAGAGAGAGGTGCCCCTGCAGATACCAGCCACGAATATAAGGGAAATTTAAGAGTGGGAAATGAGTGAGAGGCAACGAAGGTGGAGCGCCAGTTACACCTTTGCCATCCTGCCGTAGTATCGCAAAGACGGAAGCTAAAACACCTGCAGCCGTGGCACTACCTGCCAAGTGGCGACTTCGCAAGCAAGTTAAATAGCTTCAATTTATCTGAGTCACCTCTGTGTGCAATGCGGTGAAGAAGAGACGGCGATCTACATCATTACGCGATACTTTTTTTTACCGTTGCAGCCACCGACGCCCCCGTAGCTGAGATTAAGAGACTGGAAGGGTGGGGAGTCAAATTAAACATGTATGACCGATTAAAAAATCAGCAGATGGAGTCATATGTCGTTCCGAGATAATCAGCTGCGTTGAAATGCTTGCATGCGATATGCTAAGGGTATCTGTGATTCTCTGTCTCATGTTCTCGAGTGTGTGTTATAAGAGACAAAAGCTTGAGTTTGGTCATCATCAGATATCAATGGTCGAAGGGAAGACTAGAGGGCTTTGCGCCTTCTAAATCAGAATTTACACATCTAAATCGAGCAAATCACTTTCTTCTAAAGCGTCATCTTGACTAGCATCCCTAACCATTCCAATTAAACTCTCAACAAGACAGACAAGAATGACACATCTACACGGAAAACAAACACTTTGAGCCCTGAAGATGATCTCAATAAGATCGAAACGTGGCACGATAAAGAAAATGTTTTTTTAAACCTACATCACACCAGACCGCATCTCACGACCTCCAAATAATCATTCCAATTAAAGTTGATTTCAAGCCTATAAATCGGTCAATTAAATCTATAAATGGACTAAAATATTTCCATTTGGGAGACCGCGATGATCGAGTGGTTATGTCGTCCTCTAGCTGGGTTCGAATCCTGGCTACCTCTTGAAATTTTATTTGATTTAGAAAGAGTTAAGCAAAATTATTTTGACCTGTTATCCGGGAATTGGACGTTAATCCGTCCTATATGATTTTACTACTTACTTAAGCTTGGTTCTCATGGATACATTTTTGAAATCATCATATACTACCACACCACATATTTTACTTTAATTTATATTGTCTTGCATCAGAATTTGGAATATCATCTACAATTCTGTTATTCTTTAAAACAAAAAGGAAAAAAAGTTTAATTGGCAAAACCCGACCAAAAAAAGATCGTTGTATTTCGGGACTCTATTCAAAGGTTTGTAAGCTATTTGCTATTTTTAATGTTGTTTCAAGGTTTAAGTGGCATCTGTCAAATCGTCATCGATACATTGGAATAATCAGATATGCTTGAGATTTGAAGTTTGGGATGTTCATCAATTGCTTATTCGTTAGGAGGTTTAATTAATAACTTAAACGCCAATTGTTCACTTATACCAAGTCTACTTTTAGCTGTTGAAGCCTTGAAATTGCTTAAGCAAGGGAACGTCGCTATAAATACGTGGATTGTCAAAAGTGTAATCAAATAAAAAAAAAAAATAAAAAAAGGAGATGAGGTCTGTGAATGTGAAGAAAAAAAATGTGAAGAAACTGTATCTTGATAATCTCTAAAGTACATAATAACTTACAAAATAAATCAGTCAAATCACTGATCAAAATGTCGAACGCGTCTGACAGCAAAGCAACGAAGACCAGGATGGTCGGAAACCCCCAAGCGATTTTTATTTTAACAGGGGTTTTGTTTAAATTGATTTATGCATGTAAAATAATAAATAGAATTATATGTATTAATTGAAGGGTGAAAAATCGTGTTATTACGCGGTCTGAAAGGCGAAAAGCTTGATCGTCGCTGAATCAAAACATAGAAATGTATCTATTTTTTAGTGTACCTCTTTTTTTATTATTTTTTATGTCCATATTTTCATAAATGTCAAATAATGTCCCATATAAAAACTAAAGGATCAGAGTCACGACTTTTAGAATTTTATAAAACCAAAAATTGTAAGACAGTGCAAGGTGAAGGAACTGTAGCTTGACGGTTGCTTTAGTTGGAGAAAAAACACTAAGACCAACCTGTATCTTTTATTTATCCTACGGACACAGGCAATCGAGAGTTTGTTAAGGCGATCAAACCAGCAGAATCGAAATGGCTATTCTCTATCTGAGACAGATAGGTATTCTGACTGAGAAGACACCTCTTCGTAATGGGTATGCTACCAGGTCCCTTTTGCCGCTTCTGCTTAATAAATGAAGAAACGGCAAGGCACTACCAGAGTGTGATAGGTATGCTAGGTCTAGATTTGAAATCTTTGAAGGAGAGGACATCACCAAATCAGATAAAATGGTCCAAAATCTTGGGGTTTGTGAACAAGTCCAAGAGGTTTATGCAGGACAGGTGAGCCGACCAAGTCCCGGACCTTTTAGGGATGGGGTACGAGTCTACCCAGGCATTTAACCCCTCGGGTCTTGGTCACCTACCCTGCATAATACATATGTATATATAAAGACCAACCTGTAACTAAGAGACCAAGTTGAATTGAAAAACGCCAAACTATTAATTTATTAATTTCAACGATTTTATTTATAATAATGATGATCAACACTTGGCAATGTCTCTTTTTTATTGCATCTCTCTTTTACCATTGGCAACCTTAACCTTGCGCAGTGACTACATCGTATTAATTAATTGTTGTTAATAAATTAATTGTCTTTCAGTTGTCTAGTAAAAAAAAAAAAAACAGTACGAGTGGCAGATAAAGAATCGTCGATTGTTAATTGTATAGTCAATTTATACTTGTGGTGAAGTTTTATTGGATTTTAATTTAAATATTAATTATTGGGCATTGTAAAAGTTTGTAGTAATTAATTAATAAGTAAATCGCAATGTGGACTTTTATATTTTTCATTTTATTTTATACATTTAAACTCTAACGGGAAATTTTTATCATATTATAAACAATATATTTTCCTTTATAACAAAAAATACTTTGCCCCTGTATTTTTTTATGCAAGAGCTAACGGCTCCTCGCAATTTGTAGCCCGTTAGAAGTTGTTAAAGTTCATCTGATTCCGGACGAGGTGGGGGCAGCACGTATCTTGACAGCTGTCAGCTGGCTGTCAAGCACAGGAGAAAAAAGCACTACCTGGATAACCGAACGGTTTTATCGACAGCTTGCTTTCCCTTTTTATCATTGTAATTCTTTTAAAAATGTTATCTCTTTTATTTATCTCGGTAGGGGTCAAAGGTGGGATGTTTTCTATCCTCCGGTGGATTACGAATGAACACGTGCTGATAGATTGAATGGATAGAATTAAATGCCCAGTAGTGGCCTTTAGATACCTCCAAGACCATCTGTCCTGTTTGAAAGAATGGTTCAAGAAATGGAGGGTCAGCCTTTATGAAACGAATAGCAACACTTTTGTCATATCACCTCTCATCCAAACAAATTACGACTGCAACTCTACCAACAACCAATGTCGTTCGCTATTTGAGGCTTTAATTCAACAAAAAGACTTATTTT